ACTTTTTAGATACAGTCAGGAGCATTTCTTTGTTCCTCTCAGTATTGTTGTTTCTACACCGGGTTGGTATTCGATGATGGTTCGCAAGTAGTGGCCGACCTTGTCATCTTTGCAACTGGGTAAGTCTTTTACATATCTACCTGTCTGATCGCGCACTTCTGACACATCATTTACAGGTACTTGAAACCTACAATCAAAGAAGTCACTGAGAATCTTTTTGGGCCTCAGGTCGCTGATACCGTCCACGACCTCAGAGGATTAGATAGTGATTGTGAGTTTGCAGGTATTTGGAGGCCGACTGGACGTCAGTATTCTGTTGATTTGATTGTGCGACTCAATGATACTGACATTCTACTCCAGACAATGGACTCTGGTTTGCAGAGGGCGATCTCTTTGCTGCACGATTCTACTCCCAGTTCATTGCGTTACAGATAATGGCGAGGGAGATGGGATTGCTGAGTCCAGACCAGAAAACTTACATCGCATGTTGATTTCTGCGATTAGCTTCTCAGTTACCCTAAATGTTATGTAGATGAGTGCCAACGACCTGCCGATAATATTATTTAGATGCGTGGATTGATTCTGTGAACACGGATGGTGCAATAAGAAGTCTGCTCCTAAGCCAGTATATGATAATATACAAGTCCGATCGTCAAGGTACAAACTAAAATCACTGGTAGATTTTTAGAAAACTACATACAGCTACAGCCACAGTACCTGATTTCCATCATGTCTTTAGCCTTATCATGATCCGACGTGATCTTCTTAAATTCACCGTCGTGCTGCCACGCTAGCAAAAATGCAGTCCAAAGCGAATTATCACACGGAAGGCTTGCAAGTGGGCACCCGTATCGAGCTTGGGTACAGGACTCTGTGGTTCTCGCTCGTCACAAATCTTTGAAGAGTGTAATTCTGTGTGTCAAGGCTTCCGCATGTCCCTTCCTGCCAGGATCGTATTCTTGAAAGTTATGTGGACGACCACAACGACGAGTCAGTTTTGAATCTGGATCGAAGACAGGACAGCTTCGTCGCATATTAACCAAAATATCAAATTAGTACAGAATAGGATTATCAAGCAACAGAGAGTTTAGTAGATAATCTCATGACTGATGCGAGGTGGGACGACGACGACCAAAGAAAAATCCGCAGCAGCTCACTCCTTCATAAAAAACATCTTCCGTCCCGCCACCTGCACCTTGTGTTTCCGTCGGGGGTCCTTGAGACACTTGTGTCCCCGACACAGCCTGAGGTTGACCTGCTTGCGTCGAACTGCCGGCCTCGCCGCTATTTGTGTGTTGCGCTGCTGCCGCTGCCGCTTCTGCGCGGGCCAATTCTGCTGCGCTGGGAGGGGAAACATAAATTCTCTGCAAATGTATTAATTTCCATGGCATCAAAAAGGAGCGATGGAAGCCACTCACATTTTTCTTGCGACCGGCAGCTACTTCAACGGTGCGTATAGAGCTTCCTCCTGACAATGAGTTGAAATTCCAACGCCGGGGCTGCAGCGGGACTGATTGTGGCGCGTTTGGAGGTTGAGTGTTGAAACGCAGCGAACCGAGCAAATTGCGCCAACGAAGGGAAGACAAAGGGCTCGCAGGAGGAGCTGCAGGATGGGGTTCAATGTTGGTATCAGCGTCCCAGAAGTCGTTGCCCTGTACCAGTGTCAAATTTACAAGAGCCAGAAAGAAATATTATACTGACATATTTCGTCGAGCCTCTGTTGATGGGCTGCTTCTTGGAGACCTGACCAGCGTGTAAGATCTGAAGAGACGAATAAGTAAACGAAAGTGTTGACAACTGATCGGCGCACAGTATCTATCGATCGAACTGGACGTCCCTGGTGAACAAGTAAGATACCATAAGAAAGAGAAACGCAGACGATTTGCCTTGAGCTTCGCATCGGGTTTTGCTTCAATCGCAAGCTGAATTACAACCAAACCCCGCTTAGAAAAGACACTGACAAAGAATAAACACACTCACATGATCATCGCCTGCATATTTGAGCGCTGCCTCCAGGTTCCACACATATATCTTTGCGTTTGATCCACCACTAATGATATATTTTCCATCAGCAGAAATGACGACAGCCCAAACTTCGTCGTCGTGCAAGAGCGGGTCTCCAACTGGCTGATTGGTCTTGGGGTCCCAGATGCGAACTGAGTGGTCAATTGATGCGCTAATAAGATGGCTTTCGTCAGGAGAAAGACAAAGGGAGATGATGGCATCAGTATGACCCTGAAAAACAACGAGCTCCTTCCCATCAATCGACCGCCATTTTCGGATGGTGCGATCGAAGGACGCTGAGAAAATGTATGCGCCGTCCCTGGACCAACACAACGATGTCACCAAACTGTCATGGCCCTCGATCTCCATGAGCAGCTCGCCGTCCTTTGACCACATACGGATCGCCTTGTCTTTTCCGCCGCTCGTGAATTTGTCCCCTTGGGGAGAGTATCTGACAGCGCAAACCCACCCATGGCCGGTCTCTATCGGTGGTGCTATCTGTCGACCAGTATCTGGGTCCCAGCGTCGTATGGTGCCATCTGATGATCCACTTGCTATCTCCCGGGCATTGGGAGACCATTCGATGCACCACACTGAACTCTCATGCCCCTCCCACGGGTCACCGACCACGCTGCCCTCCCTGATATTCCACAGCCGTAGCTTGCCATCTGTGCTTCCGCTCATGACCATTGACTCATCTGGAGATATTGCTATTGAGGGTACCGCTCCTCCGTCACTAGTCCAAGGCCTCTCCAATGGCTCTCCGTCTTTTGTCCACTGACGAATTGAACCATCACCTGACGTGCTCAGTATATTGGAACCGGTACCCAAACGGACAAGGCCCCAAATGACTTCGGAATGACCCTCGATGATGCACTCTGGCGTCAAGCACTCTGGTGGACGCTCAGACACTGGTTTCTTCCACGACGTGGTTTTGGTATTGTGATTGACAAAGTAGGAACGACCGAGCGGTGAGATGTGCCATTCGCATCCGGGAACCAGTTGTCCAAGATAATCTATGTTTCACCATGAGTTCCTCGTTGGTAATGACACATTCTTCGCTCACCCATTCGCACTCCTGGTAAAGGTCGGTTTCCTGAAGTCGTAGCAAGTGTTGTATCTTGATATGCTATTTTGTCATCCAGTAACTTATACTGCCGCCATTGAGGAGGAAGCGCTTCATTACCGCCTGCTGCTTGTTGAGTAAGTCAGTGAGTATCACAACGCAGCTACTCACCTTCCCAAAGTGCAGTCTGACGATGCTGTGCACCATAGGGTGGTGGATCCTTCTCCTTCGTCCGACGACTCGGAGGTGCGCCAACCAGCGGTGAGTTCAACAACGCTCGTTTCCCATCTCTCTGTTTCGCTGATGTGTTTGACTCGTCCATGACGCTGACGAAGGAATTTTTAATTACTGCTGTCTGTGCGGACACGGTGAGAGAGCTCGGTAGTACGGAAAATGAACTGTCGAGGATGTGGAAACGAAGAGACTTGCTAGATAGTCAGCTGTGCATACTATACTTGTAGGCGCATTTTTTCACCCGCATGTCGGGGAAGTTTTATACATTGCTGTGCATTACACAAAATTCGTCAGCGAGCGTCAAGCTAATTCCATGCGTATCTGTATGAATTAGTACTAGAGGACGCCAACGCCTGAATCACTCGCTTTTTTAAGTTTGACTAGACCAAGAGGCACTTGCGCACCTCCAAGTCTAGCAAGGAGAAACGATGGTGAAGGCAATCAAGTCACCTGCTAAGTGATCATCGTCACATGCTGTAGTTTACACACTGAACAGGCGATTATAACGAGCCAACAGTGTAACCCGCTGTGATCCTTTTTATCAACTCAATCCCAGCGAGAACCTATTCGACTCGTTCGAGCGATGCAATTGACATGCCTGGTATTGCCAACGCAAGGTGTGGAGTGGACTCTATCATATGCACGACTTAACTAAATGACTTGGTGGAAGCACAGTTTGGGCTCACCGCGTTATGAGAGTCGGACCCGGCGACGAGGTTGATCATCATGCTCGCTGGTGATTTATCGAGGGGCCAAAAGATGACGTGGATGTGATTCGGTTGGCGACTCCTCAACGATGAGACCCACAAAGTCGCAACCACGTAACTTTGGCCCGTTGTAAGTGCATCGATACCGGAAACGAAGAGGAGAATATGGTCGAGTCGTTTCGATTAGGATCAGCAGACAGCAGGAAAATGCCGGTCCCCGGACTCTACATACCTCAGACTAAATTTGATTTCCCTTACTAGTCATGCCAAGGCAAGGTACGAAGTTGTAATAGAAGGAGTGGGGCAGTCCTCGAGGTGATGACTGTGTGGAGCAGGTCACTGTACGTGTTAATGGTAGAAGCTTCCATGAGGACCCACAAGGGGAATTTCGGTTCGATATGGGATCATGTGAAGGTCGATGGAGCGATAAGATGTGAAGAGAAGCGTAATTGAGTGGTGCGATGATAGAGCAGATGGTGAATTGATACAAGCTTGACTCACACCATCCCTGGTTCCCCAACACGAGTTTGCCAATTTTCTCGTCACCGGTCCAGTTGCCTAAGATATTCTCGTAAACGTAGTCCGGAACTCAGCATGAAGAATTTCTCAGGTTGGTGCAAAAGTAACTTTGATCGATTAGTAGGCGGCGTGGGAGTCTGAGACAAATTTAAAGTTAACAGCACCCTGACTTGGAATTCAGTGTTTATGTAATTATAAGTTCTTTCGTTTCAGGGAGATTATACTATACTAGATGTTAGTAAAGTCTGCTGATAGAACTACCTCTCTTCTGAGGACACTAGAACTTCAAAGTCATTCGTGGATTCAGAGTCCGGAGTATGAGGTGTACTGCCAGGGCCAGCCAGGCGCACACTCAACTGGAAACAGTGATAATGTTATAAACACGAGAAGGTGTATGGCTTTTATCTACACGGACGAGTAAAATATAACGGGTACGGCCAGGTACGAAACAATTTGCCAATTTCAAGCCCTCAAAATCAACAGAAAAACATCGAAGCGAACAGTTTGTAGATGACCTCATCACTGATGCGAGGAAGGACCACCACAACTAAAAAATAATCCACAACACCTAACTTCACAAGAAACTTCCGTCCCACCACCTGCGCCCTGCGTTCCTGTTGGCTGCCCTTGAGACACTTGTGTCCCCGGCACAACCAGAGATATACCTGGTTGCATTTCCGCCGGGCGTCCTTGAGATACCTGTGTCCCCGACACGGCCTGAGTTTGACCTACTTGCGTCAAACTTCCAGCCTCATTGCCATTCGTACGTTGAGCAGCTGCTGCTGCCGCCGCTTCTGCGCGGGCCAATTCTGCTGCGCTGGGAGGGGAAACATAAATTCGCTGCAAACATATTAATCTTTATGATATCAACAAGGAACGATGGAAGCCACCCACATTTTTCTTGCGACCGGCAGCTACTTCAACAGTACTTATAGAACTTCCTCTTGGAAATAAGTTGAAATTCCAACGTCGGGGCTCGAGCGGTATTGATTGTGGCGCATTTGCATGTCCAATACTGAAAGGCAGCGAACTGAGCAAGTTACGCCAATGAAGGGAAGACGATGGGCTCGCAGGAGAAGATGTGGGGTTGGTGTCAGCGTCCCAGAAGTCCTTGCCCTGAACCAGTGTCAGACTTGCAAAAGCCAAGAAACGAAAGATCGCACTGACATATTTCGTCATGCCTCCGAGTCTGTTCGCGGGCTGCTGCTTGGAGACCTGACTGGCGTGCAAGATCTAATGAGACGAATAAGTAAAGAATGAGGGTGTTCACAAGTTGATTAGCACACAGCATCTCTCGATCGAACTGAACGTCCCTGGTGAAGAAGTAAGATGCCATAAGAAAGAGAAATACAGACGACTTGCCTTGAGCTTCACATCGGGTTTTGCTTCAATCAGAAGCTAAATTACAACAAAACCCCACTTAGAAAAGACACTGACAAAAAATATACACACTTACTACATGATCATCACCTCCATGTTTGAGCGCTGCCTCCAGGTTCCATACATATATCCTTCCATCCAACCCGGCACTAGCGATATGTTTCCCATCAGGGAAAATGACAACAACACAGACTTCGTCATCATGCAAGAGGGGGTCTCCAACCGGCTGATTGGTCTTGAGGTCCCATAGGCGAACTGAGCAGTCAGCTGATGCGCTAACAAGATGACTTTCATCAGAGGAAAGACAGAGGGAAGCGACGGCATTGGTGTGACCCTGGAAAACAACAAGCTCTTTCCCATCAATCGACCGCCATTTTCTGATGGTGTGATCGACTGACGCGGAGAAAATGTGTGCGCCGTCCTTGGACCAACACAAAGACGACACCCTATCGTCATGGCCCTTGATCTCTATGAGTAGCTCGCCGTCCTTTGACCACACGCAGATCACCTTATCCTCCTGACCACTCATGATTTTATCTCCTTGTGGTGAGTATCTGACAGCGTAAACCATCCCATGGCCGGTCTCTATCGGTGGTGCTATTTGTCGACAAGTATCCGGGTTCCAGCGTCGTATGGTGCCATCTCGCGATCCACTTGCTATTTCCTGGCCATTGGGAGACCAATTGATGCACCACACTACATCATCATGCCCTTCCCATGGGTCACCGACCAAGCTGCCCTTCCTGATGTTCCACAGCCGTAGTCTGCCATCTATGCTTCCGCTCACGACCATTGATTCATCTGAAGACATTACCATCGAGCCTATTGCTCCTCCATCACCAACCCAAGGTCTCCCCACAGGCTCTCCATCTACTGTCCACTGACGAATTGAACCATCGCGTGACGCGCTCAGTAAATTGGAACTGGTACCCAGACAGACAAGGCTCCAGATGACTTCGGAATGACCCTCGATGATGCACTCTGGTGTCAAGCTCTCTGGTGGGCGCTCAGGCACTGGTTTTTTCCACGATGTGGTCTTGGTATTGTGATTGACGAAGTAGGAACGACCGAGCGGTGAGATGTGCCATTCGCATCCGGGAATGAGTTGTCCAGGAAGATCTATGCTTCACCATTAGTTCCTCGTTGCTAGTGGCACATTTTTCGCTCACTTAGTTGCACTCCTGGTAAAGGTCGGTTCCATGAAGCCATTACGACTGTGTCATCTTGATATGCTATTCTGCCATCTAGCAGATTAACCTGCCACCATTGAGGAGGGAGCGCTTCATTCCCGCCTGTTTCTCGTCGAGTAAGTAAGTAGGTATGGAAATGCAAACACATACCTTCCCAAAGTGCATCCTGGCGATATTGTGCACCATAGGGTGGTGGATCCTTCTCCTTCCTCCGATGAGGCGCGCTAATTACCGGTGAGTTCGACGACGCCCATCGTTCTTTATCTCTTCGTTGTGCTGATGCGCTTGATTCGGCCATGACACTGAGGAAGAAAGTTTTGAATTACCGCGGTCTGTACAGACTCGTTGAGGTCACAGACAGTGAATTGTCGAAGGCGAGAAGAGATGATGGAACCGATGGAGAGACCTGCTATATAGTCAGCTGTACATGCTGTATTTTCACTGGCAGGCGCCTCTTTGAGCCACATGTCGGGGGCAGTGCTTCGAATGTTGGGGCAGTTCTGTACATTATGCCAACGAACATCAAGATATGAACGTCAACGTCTGAACGTGAGTGGCACAACGTCGAATAACCGACTGCATTTTATGGAAAGCCAGACAACCGCGCTCAATTTCTCTCATGCATGCTTCTCCCGACGCACCATATAAGGTATACGCTTCTACAGGACATCTGCCACCGTGAATCACAGGCGGCAGTTTGCGAGAGGTTATTGGACCAAAAAAACTCAATGACAATAGTACAAATGTTTACATCAGGTGTGACAACATTAAGATACGGCGTGTTCAATATTAAGCTTGCCTCCCATATGCCTCCAACTCGAAACCGGACCATTCACAGTAATGGTTGCACACATGTTTCTTCTCAAACTGGCTTACCACATCTTCAATATTTCCATCACCGAAAAGATCGTTGCCTTCAGAAACAGACCTGGAATGAATATGAATAGTTGAAAGTAAGGTCACAGCTAGGGTACGTACGGGTGTGTTAATATTTGCGGGTCTGTCAGCAACTCCGTGCTACCTGTGGTAGTACACCATGTGAGCCAACAAAACAAACACAGGTGACTTTTACACACCCTGATAGTCGGAGATATATGCCAATCCCCCGGTCTTCTCATACTGAACGTGTTGAGTAAATGCCAAGAAAAGTGCTGTACTGTACCCGTCCTCGCCAGGATCAAGGAGAGGATCACAGTCCGTGTTGTGAATGAATTTCACGAAGGCGTCGGGCCCACCCGGAATAAGTTCCTCTAAGAGAAATGCAGCACGGACAGAGCATGGTTTAGCACCCGGTTTAGCAACGATCATCTGGCCAGGTAGGAAGGATAGTGCGAGTCCAGCATGAATAAAACGAAGATGTGGAATCTCAAAAGGAGGGGGGTTTGACGAGGCTGTGACACAACGGTTAACGAATGCATAGGTGAGATCTAACAACGAATTTGCCCAGTACAGGACATTGGCTTCCTTGAACTGCTTAGACAATTCGTCAGCCACAGCGTAACGTCCAACTTTGTATGTGCCTGCCGATGGTCCATTTGGAGGAAATATCTTGATGAAAGGTCTCTTGACTACGACTTTCTGATGCAGGATTGAACCTAGTCCGGTTGTAGGAACGTGTGATGCGAGTGTTAACCACCCAGGATGGGCAGTCTTGAATCCACCTCGGCCGATGAGATTGGCAGAGGATGTGTCGACTGTCAGTTGCCCAGTTGCCGATTCTGCAGTATGCAGCGTGAACGACTGATACTTGCTATTTTCCAGAATTTTGGACATTGGGCGAGTAGCAATCCAGTACAGCTGGACATTTTCGTTCTGCAGGTCATACACTTTGAAAGGACATTAGTGCCACAAACAAGATACTCAAGATATGGAACTCACCACTCTGTGCATCTACATTTGCTATTCCGCCAGATCGGAGTGCTTCTTTCAACTCATTACGATTGGGTGACTGAAAGATATTGGCAGAAGCAGCTTTCTTTAGTGGTGGTGATGTAGATGAGGATGTAGAACTAAGGCTACTGGCTGTACGGAGGTGGGTCCTCTTTAAGGGAACTTCGGGAAGTGGTACCTCAGTGGCAAGGTAGTCTCCGCCCTGGAAGACATCAACGGAGGCTTCAGAGATAGCTGTAGTAGCTATTGGAGCTTGGCAGGTAGCCTCGTCCTACAAGAGTCCCAAGTCAGCCTAGATGCACAAGAAAAAGTAGTAGCATTACCTCTTCAGCTCGCTCAGTCCATTCTTCGACTCGCTCAGTCCATTCTTCATATTCGTGCCACTGGCTCTCAGGTACGACGACCATGAGTGCAAACTGTTTCGTCTTAAATATCGGTGACTTTAAGCCTTTACGTCCAGCTTGAACGCATTGGGAGTAAAAATATGGCTCGCGTGCATGATGACCCGATAGATCCACCCATCGTGAGTCTCGGATGACAAATTCTTCATACCGCCACTGAAAGGCAGGACAGAATGATTGAATCTTCGGATAAACGGTATCAAGGGCTATTTTGATGAGACCTGGGGCGTCAATTTGAGCGTCTATATCCTTTTTTCCTTCGCAGATACTCTGGATTGGCATTAGTGGTTGTATTGCAATAGAGTAGTCAAACACATACCCCGAAAGGTGTACCATGCCCACCCTTCTTCCGGCTACCTCCCTCATGAACAGCTGAAATTTCGAGTGAGATCGTTTGAGATGGAGGAGGAGCATAGGATAATTTTGCCCAACGATCACGCTCCGAGCCATAGTGGGCATGGTGTGGTGTATATCTGGTGGAACTACGCAGAGTTGGCTGCAATGATGCCTGCCACAGTGACGGAACACTAATGTCAGGCCCTGCAGAAAACTCGGACTGTCCATGGGACAAAGGTATCACTGGTGGTGGATTGACCGACACTTGGCAAATCAGTCACAAGTTACACCAGGTAATTGATACAATGACTTACATTTTCTTTGGCCTGCGTTCACTGACTGCCGAATGACATGTGGATCTGGAGGGCCTCGACCAGCGAAGCCAGAACTACCACCACTGGCAGAGCCTGGAGTAGGGCGAACTGAAAATGCTTGTTAGTTATAGACATTGTGCCAGAACTTGACTTACCAGCAGGTCGCACAGATGTTGCTGCCTTCTTTTGATAGCGTTCATGGCAGGGACCACAGACATAGCGCCCTGGTTTACCATGCTCTATGGTGGCCACATAGAAGCAAGGGTCACCCTTGGCGATATTGGCACCACATGCAGGACGCTGGCACAACCGGTCCTCTTTTGCAAAGGCGTCCTCGGTGTATTGAGACACAAGCTCGTAGTTAGACATAGCCACAAAGAATAGTAGTTGAAGAGGGAGACTGAAGCTCAGAGCGCAATGTCCAGGATGCTTAAATGCACCATGAACCACTTAATTTAGATATGTATATGTACAAGAAAACATACCAAATATCCGACATTGGAAGTTGCACTGCAGAGAACGAGACAGATAACGATGTGCAGAGAGTTGCACTGCAGAGAGATTAACAAGGATCCGGAACATTGTTCACCGGAAGTTGCGCAGCAGAGAGCTGCAGAGAGATCAGTTATAGTACATTCTATATACAATTTGACGAGACCTAGCACGCTGTTGGCATTCATTGGCGTTGTTATTAGAAATGTTGCTGGCACTATTGGTATTTGGAGATGCCCTGTTAGGGTTCGAGTTGGTGTTCGCAGTGGTATTGGCGTTGTTATTAGAAATGTTGCCGGCACTGTTTGCAGTGGTATTGGCATTGTGATTAGAAATGTTGCTGGCACTGTTCGCAGTGGCATTGGCGTTGTTATTAGAAATGTTGCCAGCACTGTTCGCAGGGGCATTAGTGTTGTTATTAGAAATGTTGCTGGCACTATAGGTTGCGGTTGCTCACTATTGGTATTTGGAGATGCCCCTGCAAGGCTAATCATGAAACTCATGGTCAGAAGCAATAGTGAGTTATCTAGCTGCGGAGTAAAGTTTACGGTCAGAAGCTGCAAGGCTACTCATGAAACTCACGGTCACGGTCAGACCCAGGAACTGCTCTCTAGATCCAGGCCTAGAATGTCAAGCTTGGGTAAGAGGGGAAGTTGAGCGCTCTCCAGATTCAGGCCCTGAATGGGTAAGAGGGGAGGATGAGTGCTCTTTCTGAATGTCAAACTAGGTAAGAGGGGAGGATGAGTGCTCTGCAGACAACTAATATTGAACGTGGCCACAGCCAACTACTGAACGTAAGTAATCTCCTATCTCCTCCGAAGCAATTCCCATGCACAGCAAACAAGTTTAGTAAGACATTTCCTACACCATTTCAATGTACAGCGGTCAAGGAATCGTCAGTATAAATATGCCAACTTCATGGGCTCAAGCCACTCAACTGACAATGCCTAACCAGAACAAACCCATATGTTCGTCTTCCAACCTTTGACCTTGCATTGACGCTGACTCAGACGTTCTAGCACCTTTGGCTGACATTGCGCCCCACATCCTTCGGCTGTGGAAGTCACGTCTCACGGACAAGCAGATAGTCCAGGCCTTACGAAAAGAAATCGATACTGAACGCTATGGAATTGGATTAACTAAATTTATACAGGTTCATACAGACATGGGGCTTCTGCGCACACGCCAGCAAGGCCATACCGTGGAGTCCATTCGTGATGCCATGCTCGAACTTCGTGAAATGTACCCCAAGGCCGGCATGAGAGAAATAATTAGCTTACTACACCACTGAGGAGGGTATGAGTGTATCAAGGTACGGACACTTACCTTTTCTGATTGTTCCCATCGAATGAACACTTCGACAGGAGTGTCATAAAGTCTTATTTCGCCATCTATGAAGCTGACCTTGTTCGCCAACGAAAGGCCCGCCGCCTGCAAAGGAGGCGCTTTTGGGCTGCCGGAGTAAATGACATAGTCGCAGTGGACCAGCATGACAAATGGCTGCAGGTTCGGTCTAGCTGTTGCACACCGGAATCGAACCTTTCTCTGGTCGCATCATGTGGATGCAAGTTTGGCATTCCAATCGAAATCCGCAGCTCATTCTGAGCTACTATCTAGATACTATCGAGAACCTTGGTCATGAGTACTTTGATTCGGAAATTGTCACAATGTTCTAATGTCCTCAACAGATATGCCCTTGGTTACACAGAGTGACCCTGGGACCGAAAATTTTGGGATTGCCAATGGCCACACCATGTTGCATCAATGGTACGATCCTTCGCTACAGGGCACATTACAGCATCGCTGGATGCGAACCAAGAAAAATGTCATGCCAGAGATCGCGTGGTCGCAACTACGAACGTCGATTCACTCCAGGTTTTGAGTCCCTGCTGGACCACGGAGTCGAACAGGACTGGTATGACAGTGATAATACACTTCAAGTGTACGTGTTTCGAGTTTCAATCTGTCGCACTGATTAATGTTTCTTCAGAATGGTCTTTCGATGGGTCTTCATCCCATGGTTGCAGCGCGAATTAGACTCTTACCAGGACCTGGATCAATCATACCTGCCAAAAGGTGTGATCGCAACAAGGTACTGCCGCATGGAATCCCAGAACTTATCTATCGGTCCGCTGAAGACTTTGGTGCCCTTGACTTCAAGGTGCGCACCATCTAATCTTTGTCTTAGGGAGCTGACCTTGACTCGTCAATAGATCAAGATAGAGAAGGCCGCTGTGGATCATGTGCGAGCGACGTACATCAAACCTGGACACCCTGTGTTCGATCTCGTGCCCAGTGACCTTGGAGACACTCTCCAGATGTGCTATGAACGTTTGGGACGTCTTGTCGTCAATCGCAAATCAGCTTGGACAGTGTATCTAGGACTGCTTCATATATTTTCTACCCTCATTGAAACACGACCCCAGATGCCGCTCCCTGACAGTATTGAAGGAGATGAAGAATTGCTGCTCCTTCAGGAGCATCGAGACCTGCCATTTCATGAAGAGACTAATGGGTATTATTATATGGGTGGCGTTCGTGGAGGACTTGGACTAGATGATGGTCATCATCGATTGCTCAATGACCTTACTCACGAAGACGAACCAGATGTCCCTCATGAGGCTGACAATGCCGGTCTTGTTGTTTGGGAAATTTTCGGACGAAGAAGCAGGTGCGATGGACGAGTGGTGATTTGCTGGCCATGGCGAACAGGTTTCGAAACAAAGGCAGGTGTTGAAGGGTGGCAGTTGGCTTGGTGTATCATACTTTGATAAAGTGCACATTTCTTGATCTTGACATTACTCCATCGTAGTGGCGCGAGCGCCAATCCCTGACTCCGCTTGAAGACACTGAGACAAGATATGATTCGCAGATATTTGTAAGACAACAATGTATTCCCACAGTTTATTCCCACCCGAGTGTTCGATCGTCACCTGACACAAGCCACATGGCACTTTTTCCTTGAGTGACATCATCACTCAAGGAAAAAGTGCCACATTTTCTTGATCACATGACTGCGCCTTCCGTTTTGTGAGCGTAGATGGCCAAATATAAAAATTCAAAATTCAAAAATATGCTCAGACTTGAATGAGAAGGAAAATAACAATAGCACTATTTAATGTTTGAAAAGGGTGTTCAAGGTCCCACAGAAGCTACCTGCCTTATATGGTATCCCGGGAGAAGCATGCACGAGAGAAGTTGAGCGCGGTTGTCTGGCTTTCCATAGCATTTCTAATATTACACGCGTGTCTATATGGCATCACATGACGCCAATTAACCACCAGTACCCCTGTGATCGTAGCTTAACAGGGAGAAACGCTAACGATGGTACCGATCTGCGAGGAGCTTTGCAGAGTGGCATCTCGAACTCGCTGATATGACATGATCGATGTTGCCGGTGATATGCATCCTGGAACGTGGTGCATGTGCATCAGGGGCCAGAAAGCGACTGGACAGTATTTGCTTGGGAATTCTACCCACCCTCGTCAACTACATGCTGGCGATAAGAAGATTAACTAATCGGGGCGCACCGGTGCAATGGAGACAGTGGTAGTTGTAGGCCGTCTCTGAAATCTCAGGGTCTATATCACCAAGACGAGTTAGGGAGTCGAGTTGAGTCACGATGATGTTGTTGATGCTCGCGATAAACACGTTTTGATAGAGTCAATGAATTCCTTGATGGAGATGGAAACTGACCATTCGTGAGTCGGTCCAGGTCGGTCCTCGAGGTGATTGCCGTGTGGCTTCCATGAGAGTGCTGTGAATGCAGATAACCCTAAGCGAACCCCAAAACATAGTAAGCCCTGAGATTGTAGGATTACAGCGAGTGTCGCTCAAAGTAAGCTGTAACGATCATTCCAAGTAAGGCGAGTATGGCCTGGGGTCTTGTCGCCGAACTCATGATGTCGAACTTGCCATTGCCTGACTATTCGAATCGAAATTTGTACCTGGTTCCCCAACACGATTCTGAATCTCGATCGACACGAGTTTACCGATTTTCTCGTCACCGGTCCAGTTGCCTAATTCTTGTAAACGTAGTCCATAGAACAGGGAACGAGTTAACATGTCAGGTTGGTGCAAAAGTAACTTTGCGGTGCAGGCAGCGTGGGAGTCTGAGACAAATTTAAAGTTAACAGCTTCGGTGAAGCAAACCGTGCTGACATTGTAAACATGAGAACGTGTATAGTTTTCATCTACACGGACGAGTAAAATACAACGGGTACGACCAGGTGCGAAACAATTTCCAAAGCTCTCAAAATCAACAGAAAAACATCGAAGCGACCAGTTTGTAGATGACCTCATGACTGATGCGAGGAGCCTAAGGACCACCACAACTAAAAAATGATCCACAACACCTAACTTCACAAGAAACTCCCGTCCCACCACCTGCACCTTGCGTTCCTGTTGGTTGCCCTTGAGACACTTGTGTCCCTGGCACAACCAGAGATGGACCTGGTTGCGTTTCCGCCGGGCTTCCTTGAGACACCTGTGTCCCTGACACCACCTGAGGTTGACCTGCCTGCGTCGAACTTCCAGCCTCATTGCCATTCGTACATTGAGCAGCAGCTGTCGCCGCCGCCGCCACTTCTGCACGGGCCAATTCTGCTGCGCTGGGAGGGGATACATAAATTCTCTGCAAATATATTACTTTCTATGATATCAACAAGGAGCGATGGAAGCTACCCACATTTTTCTTGCGACCGGCAGCTACTTCAACGGCGCGTATAGAACTTCGTCTTGGAAATAAGTTGAAATTCCAACGTCGGGGCTCGAGCGGTGTTGATTGTGGCGCGTTTGCACGTCGAGTATTGAAAGGCAGTAAAACGAGCAAGTTACGCCAATGAAGGGAAGACGATGGTCTCGCAGGAGAAGGCGTGGGGTCAGTATCAGCGTCCCAGAAGTCCTTTCCCTGTGACACTTGTTAGACCTGCGAGAGCTTCGAAATGAAAAACTGCACTGACGTATCTCGCCAAGCCTCTGTTGACGGCCTGGGGCCGCTGCTTGGAGATCTGACAACATGAGTAAGCGAATGAGTAGAGTGTTGATAACTGAAATATTGGCGCACAGCGTCTATCGATCGAACTGGACGTCCCTGCCAAAGAAGTGAGATACAATGCGAAACGGAAGCGCAGACGACTTGCCTTGACCTTTGCACTGCTCTCATCCCCACTCTGAACAACAACCAGACCCCGCTTAGAAAAAGACATGAACAACGAATAAACACACGCACGTGATTGTTGACTGTATGTTTGAGCGCTACTTCCAGGCTCCATACATATATCTTTCCACCCGATCCAGCACTGACGATATATTTCCCATCAGGGGAAATGACAACAACCCGGATTTCGTCGTCGTGCAAGAGCGGGTTTCCGACCAGCTGATTGGTCTTGAGGTCCCAGATGCGAACTGAGCGGTCAGCTGCTGCACTAACAAGATGGTTTTCATCAGGGAAAACACAGAGGGAGCGGACACAATAGGTATGACCCTGAAACACGACAAGCTCTTTCCCATCAATCGACCGCCATTTTCGGATGGTGCAATCGACTGACGCAGAGAAAATATGTGCGCCGTCCCCGGACCAACGCAACGACGTCACCTCGCGCTCATGACCTTCGATCTGCACGAGCAGCTCGCTATCCTTTGACCACACGCAGATCACCTTGTCCTCTCCACCGCTCACGAGTTTGTCCCCTTGTGGTGAGTATCTGACAGCGTAAACCACCCCATGGCCGGTCTCTATCGGTGGTGCTATTTGTCGGCCAGAAACCGGGTTCCAGCGTCGTATGGTGCTGTGTCGCGATCCACTTGCTATCTCCTGGGCATTGAGCGACCAATCGATGGATATCACTGCATCATCATGCCCCTCCCACGATTTGCCGATCATGCTGTCCTTCTTGATGTTCCACAGCCGTAGCCTGCCATCTAAGCTTCCGCTCACGACCATTGATTCATCCGGACATATTGCCATCGAGCATACCAATCTTCCATCACTGTTCCAAGGCCTCCCCACTGACTCTCCGTCTCTGGTCCACTGACGAATTGAACCATCGCCTGACGCGCTCAGTATATTGCAACTGGTGCCCATGCAGGCGAGGCTACGAATGAGTTTAGAATGACTGTCGATGATGCACTCCGGCGCCAAGCACCCTGGTGGACGCTCAGGCGCTAGTTTCTTCCACGACGTGGTCTTGGTATTGTGATTGACGAAGTAGGACCGACCGAGCGGTGAGATGTACCATTCGCATCCGGGAACGAGTTGTCCGGGATAATCTATGTTTCAACATTAGTTTCTCGTTGCTAGTGGGACATCCTTCGCTCACCTATTCGCACTCCTGGTAAAGGTCGGTTCCATGAAGCCATTGCGACCATGTCATCTTGATATGCTATTCTGCCATCCAGCAGCTTAGACTGCCACCATTGAGGAGGCAGCGCCTCATCCCCGCCTGTCGTTATCGAATAAGTAAGTAGGTGTGAAAATGCAGACACTTACCTTTCCAAAGTGCATCCTGGCGATATTGTGCACCATAGGGTGGCGGATCCTTCTCCTTCGTCCGACGAGGTGCACTGACTACCGGTGAGTTCAACGACACACTTCGTTCTTTATCCCTTCGTTGTGCTGATGCGCTTGATTCGGCCATGACACTGAAGAAGAAAGTTTTGAATTACCGCTGTCTGTACAGACTCGATAACACTGACCATGAATTGTCAAAGGCGAGAGGAGATGATGGAACTGATGAAGAGACCTGCTAAATAGTCCGCTGTACATGCTGTATTTTCGCTGGCAAGTGCCTCTTCGAGCCATGTGTCAGGACTCAGGGATAGGCTATCCCTGGGTCCTGACAGGCGGGTACAGGTACGATGTGGATTATGAAGACCCGCACGTACGCCGTGCATACCCGTCGCAGTTTATGGCGTTGGACGGGTGTGGATCCCCGACTTGTCCCAGGGTGCGAGAGTCAAAACTTCAGTACTCATAAATAACCTCCTGAGCTGTCACCATGTGAACTTCGACCGCAGGTTCATTGAATAGTAATATTTGTCGAATCAGAGTGATAATCGACGGCACCGGCTATGCTGATTTGCCAGTGAAATGATATTCCGTGCGCTCGGACAGGAGCATTAATTTGTGGTACCCAGGTTCTGTACGAGTTAAAAGGCCAATGGGTTGTGAAGAAATGCAGAATACTGTTCACCTTCCTCTCATGCGCCACTCAAAGGAGGCTGATGAGTCTTCCATCCAATCATACTCGTCAAAATCGCCTTCGATAGCATCGTCTCTGAAGTCTGTCAGCCAGGCAGCTAAGAAGAGTGTAGATGTGCTTACCCGTCCTTCGAAGAGAGTGAAAACCGTCTTGCTTAGAACCACGCCATTGGCTGTTTCGGTGACGAGGCTGTCAAAGTCGCATGTGTTCATAAGCAAGCGCCCGACTTTAGATACGCAGGACTTCCTCAGGGTGGTGATGAAGACGAAGAAGAGAAAGCGCAGTAGTTCTACTTAAGTTACTTGCCATGTATACCTCAAAATACTATATGACCCGCAGGTCTGCGAAAAAACCGCGGTATACCGCGAACACCGTGCACACCCGCAGAACTGGCGGGTCGGTGTACACCCGTACCGTGGCGGGTGCGATGTTTGCGGGTACGGGTGCGGTGTGGCTTCAGCGACCCGCGGGTTCACCCGTGCTCAACCCTAGGGATAGCGCTTCGAATGTTGGGGCAGTTCTACAGATTGCTGTACATTACGCCAACGACCATCAAGATATGAACGTTATGAACGTTTGAACGTGAGTGGCACGACGTCGACAATTAATGGTAGATAACCGCCTGCGTTTCCAATATTACATGCGTGTCTATATGAATTAGCATCACATGACGCCAATTAACCAAATACCCCTGTGATCGTAACCTAACAAGGAGAAACGAGCGATGGCGAGGAGCTTTGTAGAATGGCATCTCGAACTCACTAATACGACATGATCGATGTTGCCGGGGATATGCATCCTGGAACGTGGTGCATGTGCATGAGGGGCCAGCAAGCGACTGGACAGTATTTGCTTGGGAATTCTACCCACCCTCGTCAACTACATGCTGGCGATAAGAAGATCGACTAATCGGGGCGATGCAGTGGAGACGGTGGTAGCCGTAGGCCATCTCTGAGATCTAAGGGTCTATATCACGAAGGCGAGTTAAGGAGTCGAGTCTAGTCTCGATGAAGTTGTTAATGTCCGCGATAAACACGTTTTGATAGAGTCAATAAATTTCTAGATGGAGATGAAGATTGACCATTCGTGAGTCGGTCCAGGTCGGTCCTCGAGGTGATTGCCGTGTGGCTTCCATGAGAGTAATGTGAATGCAGATAACCCCAAGCGAACCCCAAAAACGTAAGCGCTGAGATTGCAAGATTGCAGCGAGTGTCGCTCAGAGTGCGCTGTAGGTTGTTCCGATGATTGAGGCGAGTATGGGTCTTGTCACCGAACTATGTTCGAACGAGGCCTGACTATTCGGATTGAAATTTGTTTGTGATACGATTTGAATGGTTCGATCATAGTGGTTCGAGTGTGGCTGTGTAAATTTTAGATCGTGTGAATATTGGGGTATAAAATAGCGTCTTATACAGGATGATAGACATCGTTTCCTCCTTCTCCCTACAATGTCTTCGAAAGGTCCGTTCTCATTATCATCGCGCTACTAACTTGTACTCACTCATTATAGCAATCAGAGAATACGACGCAAAGCTTCTATTGGCCTATTGGCTTCAGCGTGCACCTGCACCAAACCCAAACTTCGCCCCTTCACCATCTTCTACTCTTAAATTCCCCGCTCCAAGAGTAGCGCAGATCTTATGGGATCCTTCAACTGATTCCATCACACCAGATACCCTTCTTCCTTCTTGGGTATCCACAACAAAGCTCGTCGCAAAACCAGATCAGCTCATCAAACGTAGAGGCAAAGCAGGCTTGCTAGCTCTTAACAAAGATTGGCAAGACGCGAAGAAATGGATTCAAGATAGAGCAGGGAAGCCTCAGAGAGTAAGTCCTTATCTCATCTAATCGCATCTCCTTCCATATTTAGCACTTCTCCCACAGGTCGAATCAGTCACGGGCACTCTCAGCTCTTTCATCGTAGAACCTTTCCTCCCCCATCCATCAGACTCTGAGTACTACATCTGCATAACTTCAGCACGTCACGGTGACACTTTACTCTTCACCACTGCAGGTGGTGTCGACGTCGGCGATGTTGACGCAAAGGCTCTCAAACTCGACATACCCGTCCTCGGTCCTTTCCCAAGTCGCGCTGATCTCCAGAGAATCCTCCTCCGCGATGTCCCAGCACACAAGAAAGAAGTCCTCACCGACTTCCTCGTCAGACTATACTCTGTTTACGTAGATCTCCACTACGCTTACCTCGAGATCAACCCCTTGGTCGTCCTCGATGACGGTACAATTCACTACCTCGATATGGCTGCAAAGCTCGATCAGACAGCCGAGAGCATTTGCGGTCCGAAGTGGGCTGTCGCGAGAGACTTGACAGTCTACGAGGCCGCTCCGGCTGGACTTACCACTGGCTCCAAGATAACCGCTGATCGTGGCCCACCCATGGTTTGGCCTGCTCCATTCGGTAGAGATCTCACAAAGGAAGAGGGTGCGTACTCCGTTCGTCGTCGTCGTGTCGTACTCATTTGACATAGCATACATTCAAAAACTCGATGCTTCAACTGGTGCTTCTCTCAAGCTCACCGTCCTCAACCCCAACGGTCGTGTTTGGACAATGGTCGCAGGTGGCGGTGCATCCGTCGTCTACAGTGATGCCATTGCTGCAGCAGGTTTCGCACATGAACTTGCGAACTACGGTGAATACTCTGGTGCTCCAAGCGAGGGCCAGACTTTCGAATATGCGAAGACAATCCGTGCGTATCTCTCTCCACGTCAATCGCATCTCGCTAATCTATGTATAGTCGACTTGCTCACGCGCCCACCTCCCCGCCCTGATGGCAAGATCCTCATCATCGGTGGTGGTATTGCAAACTTCACCAACGTGGCTGCCACCTTCAAAGGCATCATCCGCGCACTCACATCCTACAAAGCACAACTCATCGCACACAATGCCAAGATTTATGTCCGTCGTGGCGGTCCCAACTGGCAAGAAGGTCTCAAAGCCATGCGTTTACTCGGTTTGTCCATCCCACGCATACATTGATGTTAACATCACCACTAACACTAACACAGGCGAATCCCTCGGCGTCCCCATCCGAGTCTTCGGCCCTGACACCCACATCACCGAAATTGTTCCCCTTGCCCTCGGCCTCAAATCCACAACGAGCACAACAGCACCCATCAGCATCCCCGCCACCGCACCTGGCTCCCCCAAGATCTCGCCCGCATCGCCCGAGCCCGGGGCCAGCGACGTTGGGGCTATCCACGCAGATGGGGAACGCACCCAGCCCAATGATGTCGTCGTCCGCTTCGATTCCCTCAAAAGCAACAAAGGCTCCAGGCCCGCATACAGGCCATTCGACGAAGATACACGCAGCTTTGTTTATGGTCTTCAACCACGGGCCATCCAGGGAATGTTGGACTTCGATTACAGCTGTAAACGTGCGCGTCCGAGTGTAGCGGCTATGATTTATCCCTTTGGAGGACACCACATTCAGAAATTCTACTGGGGCACACGCGAAACGCTTCTCCCCGTATACACCTCTCTCGAAGAAGCCGTCAAGAAGCACCCCGACGTCGATGTCGTTGTTAACTTTGCGTCCAGCCGGAGTGTATATAGCAGTACGATGGAGTGCCTGGGGTATGAGAGCATCAAGGCTATTGCGTTGATCGCCGAGGGTGTCCCAGAACGTCAGGCAAGGGAGATTTTGTGGAAGGCGAATGAGAAGGGCGTGTTGATCATCGGCCCTGCTACTGTTGGAGGGATCAAGCCTGGTTGCTTCAGGATCGGCAATTCTGGAGGGTGTGTTTGCTCCTTATGCTGACATGAACGTTTCGCCCTTCTGACATAATTCCTATTCCACAGCATGATGGACAACATCATTGCCTCCAAGCTCTACCGCCCTGGCAGCGTCGGCTATGTCTCCAAATCCGGAGGAATGTCCAATGAGCTCAATAACATTCTCAGCCTCGTCACAAACGGTACCTACGAAGGTATCGCCATCGGTGGTGACCGCTACCCCGGCACGACCTTCATCGACCACCTCCTCCGCTATGAAGCCGACCCCGCATGCAAAATGCTCGTCCTCCTCGGTGAAGTCGGCGGTGTCGAAGAATACCGCGTCATCGAAGCAGTCAAGTCTGGCAAGATCAAGAAACCCATTGTTGCATGGGCCATTGGGACTTGCGCCAGCATGTTCACTACGGAGGTGCAGTTCGGACACGCAGGCAGTATGGCGAACAGCGATAGCGAGACTGCGGATGCTAAGAACAAAGCTATGCGTGAGGCCGGATTCATCGTGCCCGCCACATTTGAAGAGCTCCCCAAGGCTCTTAAGGACACCTACGAAGCGCTCGTCGCGCAGGGTGCTATCGTCCTCGCCAGAGAAGTCGAGCCCCCTGTTATTCCGATGGATTATAAATGGGCCCAAGAGTTGGGGCTTATCAGGAAGCCGGCTGCGTTTATCAGTACGATTTCCGATGAGCGTGGACAGGAGCTGCTTTATGCTGGCATGCGTATCTCGGATGTTTTCAGAGAAGATATCGGCCTTGGAGGAGTTGTCTCTCTCCTGTGGTTCAAGCGCCGTCTTCCCCCTTGGGCGACCAAGTTCATTGAGATGGTGCTGATGCTTACGGCAGATCACGGTCCAGCTGTCAGTGGTGCTATGAATACCATCGTCGCCACCCGTGCGGGCAAGGACCTGATTTCGAGTTTGGCGAGTGGTTTGTTGACCATTGGTAGTCGGTTCGGTGGAGCACTGGATGAAGCTGCTAGCATGTTCAGTGGGGCTAGAGATACGGGGTTGACGCCTCGGGAGTTTGTGGATAATTCCAGGAAGGCGAATAAGCTCAGTGAGCGGCCTCTTTTCGTCCAGTTGTGAGCTCGAGACTAACTGACGCATAACAGTCTCTGGTATTGGTCACAAGATCAAATCGGTGAACAACCCCGATCTCCGTGTCGAGCTCGTCAAGGAATACGTGAGGAAGAACTTCCCAAGCCACTCACTTCTTGATTACGCGCTTGCCGTTGAGAAAGTAACCACGAGCAAGAAAGATACCGTACGTCCTCATCCCTCACCAAAACCAAATTCCAGACTAACATCCCAACAGCTTATCCTTAACGTTGACGGCTGTATTGCCGTTTGCTTCGTCGACCTCCTGCGCGACAGTGGTGCCTTCACCCCTGAAGAAGCCGATGAATATATTAAGATCGGGACCCTCAACGGTCTCTTCGTCCTTGGCCGCAGCATCGGTTTCATTGGACACCACCTCGACCAGAAGAGACTCCGTGCGCCGCTGTACAGACACCCTGCTGATGATATCTTCATCAACATTGCGGATTTGAATCAGCCGAGGGTGTTGGGGAAAATGCAGTGAGCGGCGCGTGTATCAATGTGAAGCTGAATCATTCCGCCGTTGTAAACTGAAAACTATTAGACGTGCATAATACAAACTGAACCTCATAGCATATCGTGGATCCTTTTCTTCCGCTGTTTCTGTACTCATGGCTTAGGAGATTGTCTAGAACGCATTTTCATACTGTTTGCAATGGATAGATTTTTCGTGAAAGATGTGCTGCGTAGTATTATGTCTCGCAAGTCCCACACTCGGTTGTTTCTAACTTCACAAGTTAACACTACAGACGGTGCCCACTGACATTTCAACCTTGTCCCAAATCTGAAGAAGCTGTGTGAACACCTTCATAACTACATGGGTTTCATATATACCTGCGGTTCTTTATTGAGTGAACGATAACTCACAGTTCGCTGCCTCGGACACATGCGAGTTGGGTGAGAAAAGATGCTTAATACTTTTCTCATCCCCCTCGCATGTGCCGTGGTATCATCTATGTTGGTATGTTGAAACAGGTTATGGTCTGAAGGCGCCTGCGGACGACGCACACTAGGTCGAGCAAGCTTTAGCTCTAAACCGCAATCTAATGATAGCTAAGAGGTGGTGCGGGTGACTTGGCCTGCGAATAAAAAGGTGAGTCGCTCGTGCCCTGGTGACTTATCATCTTGCGCTAGAGCATTGGTCGAACATGTGCATGAAGGGGCACTGGTACTACGCATAGGGCTTCTTATGTAGATATTTGCACAAGAAGTAAAGTGACAACTAGTCCGCAAAGACGCATGAGCAAAAGCTATCAAGTACAGATGACCTCATGACTGATGCGAGGGAGGACCACCACAACTAAAAAACAACCCACAACACCTAACTTCACAAGAAACTCCCGTCCCACCACCTGCGCCTTGCGTTTCTATCGGTTGCCCTTGAGACACTTGTGTCCCCGGCACAACCAGAGATGGACCTGGTTGTGTTTCCGCCGGGCGTCCTTGAGATGCTTGTGTCCCCGACACAGCCTGAGGTTGACCTGCTTGTGTCGAACTGCCAGCCTCGTTGCCATTCGTATGTTGCGCAGCTGCTGCTGCTGTTGCCGCTTCTGCACGGGCCAATTCTGCTGCGCTGGGAGGGGAAACATAAATTCTCTGCAATATATTAATTGATATCACAAGGGAGCGATGGAAGCCACTCACATTTTTCTTGCGACCGGCAGCCACTTCAACGGTGCGTATAGAGCTTCCTCCTGGAAATAATTTGAAATTCCACCGCCGAGGCTGCAGCGGTATTGATTGTGATGCATTTGTGGGTCGAATGCTGAAACGCAGCGAATCGAGGAAGTTACGCAAACGAAGGGAGGAGGATGGGCTCGCAGAAGGAGGTGTGGGGTTGGTATCAACGTCCCAAAAGTCATCGCCCTGTACCACTTATTAGACTTGCGAGAGCCCCGGAACGAAAAACTATACTGACATATCTCGCCGAGCCTTTATTGACGGCCTGGGGCCGCTGCTTGGAGATCTGGCTAGCGTGCAAGATCTGACAAAATAAATAAGCGAATGAGTAGAATGTTGATAACTGATTGGCGCACAGCATCTATCGATCGAACTGGACGTCCCTGCCAAAGAAGTGAGATACAACGCGAAAGGGAAGCCCAGACGACTTGCCTTGACCTTCGCACTGCTCTCATCCCCACTCTGAACGACGACCAGACCCTACTTAGAAAAGATACAGACGACGAATGAACACACGCACGTGATTATTGACTGTATGTTTGAGCGCTGCATCCAGGCTCCATACATATATACTTTCATCCGATCCAGCACTGGTGATATACTTTCCATCAGGGGAGATGACAACAACCCAGATTTCGTCGTCGTGCAAGAGCGGGTCTCCGACTGGCTGGTTGGTCTTGAGGTCCCAGATGCGAACTGAGCAGTCATGCGATGCGCTAACAAGATGTCTTTCATCAGGGGAAAGACAGAGGGAGATGATGTCATTGATATGACCCTGAAAAACAACAAGCTCCTTCCCATCAATCGACCGCCATTTTCTGATGGTGCGATCGACTGACGCAGAGAAAACATGTGCGCCGTCCTTGGACCAACACAGCGATGTCACCCTATCGTTATGGCCCTCGATCTCCATAAGCAGCTTGCCGTCCTTCGACCATATGCAGATCACCTTATCCTCCTGACCGCTCATGAATTTATCCCCTTGTAGTGAATATCTGACAGCGTAAATTGTCCCATGACCGGTCTCTATCGGTGGTGTTATTTGTCGACCAGTATCCGGATTCCAGCGTCGTATGGTGCCGTCTTCCGATCCACTTGCTATTTCCTGGCCATTTGGAGACCAATCGATGGACCGCACTACATCATCATGCCCCTTCCACGGTTCGCCAACCATGATGCCCTTCCTGATGTTCCACAGCCGTAGGTTGCCATTTGAGCTTGCGCTCACGACCATTGATTCATCTGGAGACATTGCTATCGAGCATACCGGTCTTCCATCACTAACCCAATGCTTCCCCACTGGCCCTCCATCTATTGTCCACTGACGAATTGAACCATCTTCTGACGCGCTCAGTATATTACAACCGGTACTCAAATGGACAGGGCTCCAAATAACTTTGGAATGACCCTCGAGTATGCACTCTGGCGTCAAGCACTCTGGTCTGGTGGACGCTCAGGCACTGGTTTTTTCCACGATGTGGTCTTTGTATTGTGATTGAGGAAGTAGGACCGACCGAGCGGTGAGATGTGCCATTCGCATCCGGGAATGAGTTTTCCGGGAAAATCTATGTTTCACCATGAGTTCCTCGCTGCTAGCGGCATATCCTTCGCTCACCTAGTCGCACCCCTGGTAAAGGTCGGTTCCATGAAGCCATTACGATTGTGTCATCTTGATATGACATTCTGTATTCCAAATTTCTACGGATACACCAGAGCGGAGGAAGCGCGCCATTCCTGCCGCCTACATCTCGTTGAGTAGTAGGTCAGTAGGTATTGGAATGCGGTGACTCACCTTCCCAAAGTGCATCCTGGCGATGCTGTGCACCGTAGGATGGTGGATCCTTCTCCCTCATCCGATGAGGTGCGATAGTCATCGGTGAGTTCAGCATCGCTCCTTGTTCCCATTCCCTCCGTTTTGCTGATGTGCTTGACTCGGCCATGACGCTAATGAAGACAGTTTTATACACCGCTATCTTTGCGGACGAGTTGGCAGTGAGACAGTGCTCGATAATACGGAATGGGAATTGTCGAGCACGAGAAGGGACGGTAGAAGTAACGAAGAGACCTGTGGTTAGATGTGATGCTGTATGGGCAGGCACCTTTTTCAACCACATGTCAGGGCAATTCTATAGATTGCTGTACATTACGTTAGATTCGTCAGCGAGCGTCAAGATGTGAATATGGGGCGTAAAATATGTGCCAGTCTTGCAAATGTAAGAGCCCCGAATATATCTCTGATATGAATCAGTGCCAAAGATCATCAATTTGATGCGTGGCATACCGTGAACTTCGTTATCAATAGAATCAGGAGGAAAATGGTAGACTCGTTCGAGCGACACCAATGAGATCAATAGAGGGTGGTGGCGCCGCGGGACGATAATTCTATGTGGTGTCTTTGAGGGTCAATATCGCCAAGGCGAGTGGACTCCTATTGATTTACAAACCAAAGCTTTTTATGACTGCACGATGCAAGCTCACGACCCTATGGTAGACACGGTGACGAGGTTGATCTTTAGACTCACGAAAGATGGATCAAGGGCCAGAAGACGACATTGTTGTGACACAGTGTACATGGTATTGTTAATCCTCGAGACGCAAGAACGATGGTCGACTCTTTTGATTAGAATCGGTAGATAAGGTGGCCGTGTCGTAAATACGAGCATAGGGTTGATCTTGATCAAATCTTGTCCTTCTCACATGCATCAAGGCCCCAGAGGATGATGTGATTCTGACCCGACAATAGTATTGAACCTCGCCGGAGATGGTCCGGTTTGACTCGAAACACTCGCAATGAGGAGAAGACGAGGCGAGGTACAGAGCTGAATATCAGATCTGTATTTTGCCTTGACTCCTGAGTTGGGATGGGGCCAGTGCTCAAAGTAATCGCTGTTGTGGTGCAGGTCGAGAATCCCGTGGAATCGACTCGCTTGTACGAGAATGGTAAAACCTTGCACGAGAGGGTGAATATCGGTTTGATGCTGCGAATGTACGAATGTAGATGGTCCGATAAGATGTGATAAGATGGGAGTTGAGGAAGGTAAAAAAGAAGCCTGCCATACAAAAAGTATCAAAGCGAGGCTAGATCGGACGCGCACGAGTTAAATTGCCTTTATAATGATTCAATAGTACTGTTAAACGCAGATATTAAGCTCTGGGCGCACAATTCGCATACACGACAAGGTTGAGTTTCGTGGTTCTTCTGCTTACTCGCGGGTGATGCATCAGATCTGAAGGATAAGCGATGAGTGAAGCGATAAGAGGATGGTAACAGAGAAGATAGAAGCGTAAGCGAGGCGAAGTGTGGGATGCCAGTGCCAAGAGCTCGATGGTGAATTGATTAACAGCGCTGAGCGCTGGGATCTGAGACTTGCTCACACCAGTATCCTCCGTTTCCCGAGTCGATCGTGAGTACTGAGTACTGAGTATCTACCCTCCTCTCTCGACTATTCGGTTTGAAATTGAATGGAAAGTCGCGCTGTAAATGATATTTTCATTAATATTGCGGATTTGAGCCAACCGAAGGTGCTAAGGAAATGTAGTGAGCGCCGGGCGCGCTCCGTGGTGTGGACTTGGGCATCGTGATGTTATTCAGCTCCAGGACTTGGTGACTCGATGCTAAGCAAACGGAAAAGTGATCCTGGCGCCGCCGTGTAAAATAAACATTGAAGATCACGTGCCAGTGCATAATACGAACTGAATGCGCATAGCATGGTCTGTCACTGATTCAACGGCGTGTAATGCCTTGACACATACAATATCTGACATGCTGGATGTTCATCGTTGCCGTTGCATGTGTCACGGTACAACCTATGCTGGAGGGTTGAAACCGATCATCATCCGAAGGCGGTCTAGGATGTGTGTCGTACATGGGCAATGCTACCAATGCACCCCAACGTTGCTCAACCCTTCGCTTCAAGGGGTGTAGCCAAGGATGCAACTACATTTTGATTTATGAGCAAAAATGTGAGTCATCAGGCCCTGGTGTCATCTCGCGGCTAAAGCGCTTCTAGTTGAATATGAAAATGCTTAGTCGCACTGTGACAACGACAGCCCGAGCCTCATCTTAGCGCTCATGCATGTATTCGGGCGTGAAGAGGTGCCTGCAAATGCAGCTTGCACACCCAACCTTCTCACACGCTTCATCACTTCCACATCGTCTGCTTTCCCCCGTGGACCCGTCATCTCCCTATCATTGGCGCAATCTGTTCGTCGCAATTCAACACTCAACTTGCAAATGTGTACCAACTAATGCTGTGCGAGCCCCGGTGTTCGAATTTCGACTGATCTCGCGCGAGATTTTCCAGGCGTCCCATCAAGGTTGCTCCTTGTCGAGAATGACTCGCTCGATATCAACTATGTTTGTTCCGAAAACCTTCGAGCTGGGTTTACAGAAATACGGCATCACCCCTCCCACCGAGGCGGAACTATGCGGCATGCGAGTGGTAACGAGGCCCGCAGTTCAACGCAACGCGGCCAACCTGCAGCGGGGACACAAGGGTCTCAAGGGCAATAAACACAGAACTCAACTAATACTGGAGAGGCGGAAAAAGTTTCTTATGAGAGAGTGGGCTGTTGCGGATGGTTTGTTGGCTATCATCATTCCCATTCTCGTTAGTCATAAGGTCATTTGCTGGAGTTGTGCCTCTCACTCGATAGTTGTTTCCTCTCTCTCGTGCAACTCTATAGATTGTTCCGCCCTCCAGTTTTGCACTTCATGCTGTACATATTGTACATGATATTTTTGTTATCTACATGCAAGTTCTATCGCTATAGCTCAATGTATCACGGTGAGACCGACCCAGATACTAGTGTTGTATCCTTGAGCTCACGCATCCACTCCCGCACGGTCTCTTAGCTGAAAACCCACTGAACATAGAAAGTAAACTGCTGATTAGCAGATGATGCCGCAAGATAGAGCTCCCCAAGATGCGCACGAATACTCAACATGGAGTTGCAGTGCTTTGGCGTCTTCCGAGCTCGACATCATCAATAGGGGGCGACCATGGTGGATAACCGGTCCGATGGAGATAGGGCGTACTGCACAGGGATGACAGCTCCTGATCGAGAGGTAGAGGATAGTTCGCCGATATCACGGTCTCCATCTGGAAATGTTCAGCTGGTCGGATCTGGATTATGAGAGCCATTGACATTGCCCAAGGTGGATCCTATTTGCGTGACAATCGGGTCCAAAGACTGAATAGTCCGTTTATTTCCATGACCAACCTGGGAGAACGCTATGCTTCATGTCTAGCAACATCCCTCGTTGAAGCAACTCGATCGTGTCCAGCAGTACATATATCATGAACCGCGAGTGCTTGAACACCTTTTGGGCTTGTCCCTTGACATTAGCACACCAGAGAAGACTCCGGTCAACAAACATGAGTGCCTGGATGTCTGGCACCCCATCAAGGATTCACAGCTTTCTTGCACCCCCCTTGGACATCTAATCAAGGGGCATGAACGGAAGTGTGTACCAGAAGAAGCTGATATTGACACCAACATCGCCCGAGCCCCAAAAAAATGTCTGAAACCAGTCCATATCTTGATATGGGCACAAGTTTGGCCCTCCTGTGAAGATGCATGAATGACGCTTCCTGTAGTTCCATTCTTCTTCCGAGATCGGTCCCTGAGGCCTGATGTACCATCGACATGAAACGCCTGTCAAAGCTACTTGGCTGAGAGCATAGCATGTCTTATTCATGGTGATGCCATGGCAATGTCAATTGAAAATTCCAAAAGTTATCAGTCGTGTGCGGATGTACAAACCATTTCCCTCCATTTCGTAGTCGAAGGTCGGCACGTGGCTCAGTGAGGGCGTACAATCTACAAATTTAGCATCTGTCCTTGGACTTGAACAAGCTCCACTAGCCATATATATACATTAGACCAGCATCAAGAGATTGATAGGGCCACGCACACAAGAAGGATTGGGAAGAACGTTTGTCACTTCCAGCAACTAATAACTTTGATGGTTTGATTGAACACAGGTCTTTCCATAATAGGTTCAAACGACATCACCGAGCGGTTTTCTATCATCTGCTGGCCTTGGAGAGCTGTCCCACCCCTCTCACATATGGTACAGTGATTCCGGTGGTTCGCATTGGAATAGGGACCCAGTGTGCAGGAGCGGTGCCAACAGCCACACTAGTAGCACCAGAGATTAGCGCTTAGTAGCCACGGAGTTACCTTGGGGCTTTGTCGCGTAGGTTTCACCATTTATCATGCCTTGCTCGTGATAACGCAATCATAGATACACCTCTCCAGCGTAACCCGCCGCTCTCGTATGTCATTTTTGCTGGCCGTCTGAAAATGGTTTTCTTTCTTCTCACCATAGAATGCGTTATCATGCGCACACCTGTACGTATCACCTGTGATAAAACTATAAGGCAGAAGTATGCCTGAAAAAGATGTTCCTTACTATGAGCGTTTGGCCACTGACTACTCCTGAGTGCGCTGCTGCCTCACCGCCTCAGTCGCAGAGAACAAGGCCCATTAATTAATATTACGCACCCGTGACTAAGAATTCCTACCAACTACTTTCACACACACAGCCACGCAGTTGCATAATGCAATGCAGACTCTCCGCCGTTTTCCACTCTGGAGCCACACCGTAGTACGTATGGCCCTCAGCCTGCTCAGAGAATACAGGTTTAAATCGGTATCCGAGGAATTACCAAAGGCACAGCACGCATCCAAGAATGCCCATCCGCAGTTCAATTTACGAGACGATAAGCTTTGCGCCGAGTTCTAACCGGTCCTGGAACGAGAATCTATGTATCGCCAGGCGGAATTACTTTCCGGAGCCAAGCTATCAACAAATGCTCCATCAGGCGTGAGATACAGTCTCTGATGCGGAGCTCGATAGATATGGCGATTTGCTGTAGTCAAGCGCCTCTCTTAAATCCCGAGCCAGTGCAACTACGCATTACCCGTCTTTTGACATCCTGCCGACTACTTCCTCCCCCAACCCTCTGGCCTAATCTCAGTGTTGCAATGGAGGAAGGATATGGGCTCCAAGAGCGCAGGCAATCAAAGAATGTCACTCACGTGGAAGTACTTCAAGTCAATTCAAATAGTCATCTTCCACTGGATGTTGCTTCCATGGATCTTGTGAAACGGAGGCTCAAGCAACGGCATATACAGATGTAAGTCTACGACAGATCTGTCAGCTTTCCTACTTATTTTGTTGGCGTTCATCCATCTCTCTCATCATAGGATAGCCGCAAGTCGCTGAATGTCTTGCCTTTGAATCTCTTTGACCATTTTCCTAAGATCGCTGGTACTTTGGGTACGGGACTGTTTCTAGGCACAGGGGGAGCCATTCACACGGCTGGACCACTCGGTGCCTTGATTGCATTTGCCCTGGTTGGTTCTGTAGCGTATTCGTAAGTCTACGATTTGTGCGGGTTTCCGCCTATTGATCCGGCCAGGTCATTATGTTCACTTGGGGAGATGACCTCCCTAGCGCCGATATCAGGATCATTTCCTCACTTCGGTTTGTACTTTTCCTTTTGAGACTGAAATGATATCAACTTGCCATCACTCAGCCTCCCGTTGGGTAGATCCCGCATTGGGATTTGCAGTGAGTGACCTACTTAAGTACTTACCTTCGACTGACCTTTCATACCTTGTAGGTTGGTTGGGTGCATATTTTATCTTCTCACTATGTTTTAACATACCTAATCAAGTGTCACTCGCTAGAATTATTTTCTTGTAAGACTTCATTCTGTGTCCGTCGAAACTGCCTATATCATGATCGCCCCTTCATAAGACTAATGCGTAGGCGTATACATTTTATCACAGCCATTCAGCCATTCACATCGCCATTTTCAGGTTCTACGTTCCTGTGGAAATATCCGGAGCTCAAATACTGATCTCTATGTGGGATGTGAGTTTGCTCAACTACATTTGACGTTCCTGTTGCATCCTAAAGGTTGGAATTCTGTCTAGTCACATCACGCTGCAGTTTATACTGTAGTGATTTGTATCGTTATATGCGCTACAAATGTATTTGGTGTAATGTGAGTCGTCGAAGCCGGTCGCGCCACGTATATTCATTCCTAAATTTCAGATACTTCGGAGAAAGTAGGTCCATCATCCCTTTTCAATTTACATACTAAAAGATGAATAGCCGAATTTGCTTTTTCTATTTTAAAGCGTAAGCTAGCCTTCTGCCGGCATTTGTAAAACAAACTCAGCGTGTTTATCAGTGATAATGATCATTGGTCTAATCATCGTTGGCCTCGTCATTGATCTTGGCGGAGCACCGAATCACCAGCGACTTGGTTTTCAAGTACGTGTTACTTTATGAGTGGACTAGTGAGCTAATTATCCAAAGTACTGGAGTAATCCGGGTGTCTTTGCCGGGCCTCCTGATCTCGAACCTCGGTATCCTGCGCTCAATAATTTCCTCGGAATATTGAGTGTCATCACTCAAGCCGCATTTGCTTACCAGGGAATGGAGATAGTGGCTGTGTATGTGGTATCTCATTCTGGGCATATATTCACCAACAATCCGATAGTGCGGCATCTGAAACGCAGAACCCGCGGAGGAATATTGCCAAAGCTATCCGCAGAGTTTTCTACCGAATCCTCATTTTCTACGTTGAGCATAGTGATATCTTACGATGAATAGCTTCTTACAGCTCAGTAGATTCTCGGCGTTTTCATTGCAGGACTTATTGTACCTTCAAATAATCCGCAACTGTTGGAGGGAACTGGTATCTTTGCCAAGTCGCCATTTGTGATTGCGATGCAGATTTCAGGAATAAGAGGTGTGTACTTAGTTTTCCATAAAGTCATATCTCATTTTCCACTGCCGTGTAGTGTTACCCACTGTAGTAAACGCAGGTTTCATAACTAGCGCATTCTCCGCGGGCAACTCGTTCCTTTTTTGTTCTTCGCGCATCCTCTATGGTTTAGCACTTCGTAAACAAGCACCTCGGTTCCTCACTATCTGTACGAGGAAGGGCGTACCAATTGTGGCAGTGCTCTGTTCGGTATGAATGAACGCTTACTTAGTCCCAAGTACCACGGACACTGATGTGGGGTCAACAGAGTGTCTTCGCTTTTTTGTCTCTGATGAGTATATCATCGGGTGCAGAAACTGTGTTCAAGTGAATTTCACGAGTCACCTTGTGTTCGCAATGTCGCTCATGTCGTATCTTAGCTGGTTCCAGCATCTCAGTGTCATGGGTGGTTTCTTCGGCTGGCTTTCGATTAATTTAACTTACATATTTTTCTGTGAGTACCCGGCGTATCTATGGATCATTGATGAACTGATGAATCGTACAGATCGCGGACTGCAATACCAAGGCATTGAGCGACAGAAACTCCATTACTATAATCCCCTCCAAGTCAGTCAGGGTCACCAAAACGCATGGAATAATCACTGATTTCAATCTGTAGCCGTGGCTCTCCATCTGGGGCATGGTCTGGTGTATACTATTTATCCTAATAAATGGATTTACCGTGTTTTGGCATTTCGAAGCCTCTGACTTCTTGACATCATGTAGGCCGGTCCTTCTCTACCAAGATGACATCTGACCAATTATCGCAGATATAAATATTCCACTATTCTTTGGACTGTTTCTCTTCTGGAAGGTTACGCGAGGCACGGTGGTTTGGAAAACAGATGAGATGGACTTCATTACGGTGCGCATTCGACACGTCAGCTTACCTGGGACTCAGACTCACTTCGTGATCAATCAGGGTATTCCTAGCTGTGAAGAAACTGAACGACCTGAGATCCCTCCGAAAGGCTTCTGGCAACACGTTGCTGCGGTGCTTTTTTGACCGAACTTCGTGACTGTCTGCTGAACATGGAGGCTATGTGGGAAATAGCATGTAATCTAATGACATAGTTTGACTCGAGTGTTCGAACTTCTCCACTGCTACATTGATAGCCCTAGGATGTAAACTATGGTATTCCCAGAGCTGAAGTCATGCTAAGCCTTGCTCCAAACATTACATGCGCCAGTGCTGAAGCGCCATATCATTTAGTACAATTGCATAAACAATTAGTCTACATGCGAATCTATTCGCTGAGAACTGTGCCGCCGCGATGTGAGATTAAACACAGGAGTTTTTGTATGTACGAGGATAGCATTGGTCCCGGGCTGGTAGCTATGACTCCGTCCCCACGAAGTTATTCAACCCATCCACCGAGCTCAACAACGAACCCAACAGCAACTTTTGCGAATTCAAGAGCATGCTGTTTGTATTCCATGGTCAATGATTCACGACATAATGTACATCAATGAAAAATATCGCACCTCAAATGAAAACTCTCCGTCGGCAAGGTCTATCTTGTCTCCTGCAGTGTGGATGTACGGGTTGAATGTTTTAAACGGATCGCCCTCTGCTGCAAATATGGCAGGGTACCCCGCTCGGTACCATGACATGTGGTCTGAGCCCGCACCAGGGCTTACAACAGGTTCAGCTAAGAATGCTGCGAGAACTATGGCACCGCACTTACAAGAGTTTTGCACTGCCCACAGCAGACGTACTGTACTCTTCTGCAATCCCAATCGCCCAGTTGGTCAGATTCGAATCAACGTCCGTCGAGATAAAGGTCACAACAGGAACTTCTCCCTTTGGTACATATGCAGTCATGTCCTAGTACCCAGTTAATTCTCAGTTCAGAATGGATGGACTTTTGTGCTCACGAATTGAATCATGGCGCCCACTTCCTTCTTCAATTGCTTGTACTCCGACACGACCTCCTGGCTTCCTAATAAGCCACCTTCTTCCGCAGCATACCAGTGGAACTCGACTGGGCGTTCTGGAGCGAATCCAGATTGGACAAGAGCTCTAAACGCCTCGAGGATTGTGACCGTTCCTGAGCCGTCATCATCTGCTCCGGGCGCAGGGAGTAAGGGGAAGCGGTAATTTGCAGAGTCTTGATGGGCGCCAACGATGATGCGAGGAAGGGCTATCGTCGGATTGGGAGAAGCGCGTCCAAAGAACGGTTCAAAGCGAGCGATGATGCTGGGCTGGGGAATATGTGAGTGAACGTCTCGACTGAGAGACGGACACCAGGAGGGGCAGCAGAGATGATCTGTACAAGCGGATTGAGTACATGAGTTCAAAAAGTTTAATGTGATGACACTAACGTCCAGAATCTGATTATACAACCAGCGTGAACTCTTGACACCAAACTCCGAGCGATAATACCGGTTGTGGAACGAAGTAAATTTCTCCAAATTTTTCTTCATCTCGTCCTTGCTCAGAAGCTCGGTGACCGACGTCACCTTCTCTTGATAATGTAATTTAGGCCATGCTATCATTCGACTCTCAGCTTAATGAGAATAGAAAATGGAGGTACGAGAAGTACGTACATGATTGAGCAGACCTATGACACGCGTGCAAATCCTGATGATCGGTGAGATCGATGAACCCGAGGCCCTGCTGTCGAAGACGTAGTTTGTCACCTTCGGTCATCCATACTGCCTCGGTCCCAAATACTTGTAACAACCGTGGAGCATCTAGTTCTGACGCGTTCTCTGGATCTAGAATACGCATAACTTGTACAGGATCATCCGCGTGGGTAGCAAGGAGCGACTCTATGATAGCGTCACGGTCAGTTAGGGCATCGACGGTGGGTTTGCCGAGTACATCCTGAGGCGGCTGCTGATCGAAGACTGCAGCAGATACAAAGAGAACAGAAATGAGCGCATACAGCGCGGTGAATGTCCTCATCGTCTACCTGTAAGGTGGTGTCGGTGAAGATGAGAGAGCGACTAGCTATGAGAATTCTCAACCTTCAAGAAAAGCACCCGGTCCGCCACAGCCGTAGTTATTCACACCCGCGGTCAGTCCTTACTGCGATGTGTCACTTGAATGATGGGACTGTTTTCAAATCCGAATGCCACGAATTCGTTGCGACTCCGGGGATTCTCGATCATCTTCACCAGGCTCCAGATAGACATATAATATCAGTATTGGATTATTAGAACACGATGGGGTATGGCCGACAGACTCGATGTCAAGAGACATAGCGAGTAGGCTATGGATGCAGCCTGAAGGCCTGACTATTGGCACTAAATTGTTAGTGTAACCCAGCGAAAGAACCAATCATATGATACGCATTTTCACTGGTCATATGTGTCACGTTTACGTAACGGAGTAATTTCAAATCTTACTTTATACTCTAGGGGTCTGCGACTCAGGCCTCAGGCCTCAGGAGTTGAAGCGTTGAAGCCGGAGGACGTACAAAGGTGACCTAAAATGCTAGGTACATCCCCTTTTGGTCCACGGACAGGCGACCACAGTCATCAAGCAAGGATTGTACTAGTCGAGTTGAGCAAAGATCTCATATGAGCACACAAGAAAAGCAAATAGAGTGTATTATTATGTAGTAGTAAGAGGGCGAGAGATATCGAGATCAAATGAGCGACCTTCCAACCTTATATTGACCAATTGTCCACCAAAGGTATACTGGGTATCTAGGGGCTGATGTTGATGGGAGTGCAACCAACATTCACAACACCGTCCTAAAGCACGGTCATTATTAAGCAGTTATAGGCCATCATGAAAAGCACGTACGTATTTGTTGTTGCTGCAGCACATCGGTTCCTGGTTAGCCTCGCAGCCTGCGCCGCCACCCACGATGGTGAGAGCGCTGCAGTCAAGGCCAACAAGGCCAACAAGGTCAGCAGGAATAGTGATGAGACTCGGGTCATTGGAGGCCATCAAGTTGTAATTCTCAACCTGCGAACCATTCATTAGCTATCTCAGTATCCCGTTACGAAAGATACATCCACACACAGAAGTAGCACTCTTGCAACACTGGATGTTGCCGGTGTTGCACTGGCCATTGGCAAGAGCGAAGGCGACGAGAGAGGCAATAGCAAAGATGCGAGCGAACATTGTTGAGAGTAGAGGATTAAGAAGGTTGGTTAAGAGTTCAGCTGTCAAGGCTGTTCAAAGAGCGGTGAGGGAATGAAAAAAAGTCGTCTTCAAAGCCCATGTTTTATACGATTCGGAAGCCCAGCCTCAGGGAATTTGTTTGGGGATACTTCCCGGGTAGTATTGCCCTACTTCTTGTTACCGCGGTCGAATCTGAAATTGCAGAACGTAAAACACTATAACTTATAAGACGCCGAGACGCGTATCAGAGCACGTGACTTGATTTTTGGCACCTATCACGACGGTTATTGATTTAAATTTATGAGGGATTGATGGGCGGATCGCCTTGTCAAGTCTCGACTCGACAAGGGTTGGTGGGGGCTACATGCGAGCCTAGCAATTCTTACCTAGGATTATAAATTTGAGAAGGACGAGACTTAGCGCTGATAATGGCGAACTCACTGAGATTATGAGGTGCAGACTATGGCATATATGCAACGCAACGTTCAAAAGGTGGGTGTCCGCCTGCCCTATCAGCGACAGTCTTGACTCTCGAACGATCTTGACCTGAGAGATATTGTGATGGATATATGCGAATGATCGATCGCCAGCACTTGACCCAATATTAAGCCGGAGATTGTAAGCCACTCTGGAATTCAGGGGAAAATAAAAACTCGTAAGCGTTCACGGCGAGACGGTCGAGACTCTCAGGAAAAGGAAGATGTATGATATGTTGCGTCCTGCACTATAGATTTAGAGCTCGGATGGAGTCCTACGGTGCCACTGGCAGGACCACGATGATTGCTTGTTCTCTAGGACAGTTCAACAGCGTATATAGATGAAATGTCACACTAGTGAAGCGCGAACCTGTCCTGCTGGAGGCATCACATAATTCTTCCCAGCAAGACGCAAGTCGTCCCTGTGTTTGATCGATGCGAAGAGCTTTAGTCTGTGCATCCGAGACACGCGGATATGTCCCTCTACAGTCAGGATCAACGAGTATTCCTTCCCGACATTTCAAAGAGTCCATCATGGTCTCGATGTCATTCCTTTCAAACGTGCGTTACGTAAGTTCTTCTTACACAGCCGCAATTAGACTTACAAATGATATTCAGTACTTAGAACGAGCAGCGGCACGTTGCCAAGTAGGCGAAACTTTGAAAGCCCTGAAGTCAACCGTCACCCTGCAAAGAGATTAAAAATGCCTTGATTCAAGGTCAGCTGAAGCCAATGACAAAGCAGTTGGTGGATCCAAAAGATATCCGAGCTAGCTAGTTAGAGAATTTCGAAAATGGGGCAGCCAGCCACATGCGTCCTCCTCTAGAGTGGAGTCATGATTGGTAATATCTGCGAGAAGGAAGTTGCTCGGAAGGGTGGGAAATGGCCTGAAGTCCCAGAAGCCTTGTCAAGCAGGTAATCCCATTAGAACGCAAAAGTGCCGGGACATGCACATGCTTTGATGTGGACGCTGCACAAATCAGTATTGCAGCTTGGACACGTCGGGCATTATCTTCCGAAATGGGTGTAATACAGTAAGGCAATAAGATCCACAACCTGCAATTACGCGAAAGGGTCGTATCAGTCGGTCATATGGAGCATTTTGCGTTTCGGTCACGTCGGACTTACTGTGTATGCACGTTTGTTTGTTGATACTTCTGGGCCCGGACTCCTCCTTTCCATTCTAACGCGGTACTGGTACTTGGTGATAATGTATGAGCACTCACTAATGGTCTTTTCTCTCAACATCCAGGTCATTGTTGGCTATGTTTGAGTCGTGCCTCGATCCTGAGTCGTCTGATACAGTCACATGGATTTCGCATCAAAGTATGACCTGGGTTTGAAGTACAATTGGCTGCCGAGTGACAGGCAATTGACTCACAATTGACGTCGTACCGGGATTGCCGATGGCATACGTCACGTTGAGAACGCGAGTGACTACAAATTGAAGAGGAGTCGAAGAGGAGTTGGAACTGTAGTGTCATACTGCGGCGGAACCTCCTGGGCAGAATGTGGCAGAACTCGGGATGTACGTGACTATGGCTTTGGAAGAGGCTGAGGTTGCTGGATATGTACGTCACGGAGGTGCCTTGGCGGTGTTTGAAGAGAGCGTCCAGTGCTAGTTCCGAACCAGCTCCATTTTAACAGTCCATTTGGGCAGCGATCCGACCGTTGATGTCGCAGTTGAAGTCAGCGACTCGCTACAGCTAGATGGATCCGGAGGTCATCGATCACGCATATAACGCCATCTCCAACTGGACATCGCGTCAACACTTTCCTTCATTTGCCAAGAAAATCTAGAGCTTCTCTTCGTTCTCTCTCCTCTCTCGATATCGATACATTCGACACAACTCCCGTAGTCGGTTAATAAACCTTGGTTTGGCGACAAACAGAATACCAGACAGCATGTCTGAAAGTCCTGGAGGACGTCCAGTTTCAAGGGCATTTCTACAGAGGCTGAGTCGGGTGTATACATATGACAGTGATGATGATGGGGCGACGTTGGTGAATGAGCCAAGTGAGTTTTCTGTTTCACATGTGTGTTGTATTCGCAAGAAAGATGAGTGCCACTTTGGAGAGATAATCCAGAGAACTTTGATAAGGGGTATCGCACGGCCCCGCATTCATTTCAGTACCCGGCCTCAGCTGTCTCTTTGGGTTTCCCCTTATCTCCCAGGGAAAGCTGTCTTCCGGCTGTCACTCAAATTTGAGCGCTATTGCAGGTAAAGTTCGTGCAGGATCCGACCTCGTGCACAGCATTGCTTGACTCACTTTAGACTCCCTGTCACCCTTTCCAGCACCCTTTTTACGGCCATCTTCCTGTCTAACTTTACTCCACTTTCTTTCTTCTCGCCATCATCATCGTTTCTCGCTGCAGAAACTAATTCGTGCTCATGGCAGATTCAATTAGCAATGAGAGCAGGTCTATATCCCGGGGACGTGATTCATTTGTAAGTGCACTCGTATTTGCCAAATACATCTAATAACGTTTTCGTGCGTCAGCAATCTTCGGGCAGAGGTGGAGCAGGTAACATCCGGCGCTCTTCCGTCTCAAGTGATCCTCGTCCCGTCGATGATCTGAATGATTCTGATTCGACTCGTGGGCGGGAGCAAGCCGTACATCCTGATAGGGTATGTTACACAGCTTTCGCTCCAAGATGCTTGCTCAGTAGATGCAGATGATCTCTGTGGGTAGGGGTGGAGTGGGCAACATGCGCACCCCTTCTCAGGATGTCGGAAAAGACCACCCCCAGACCGTAACTATCCTCAACGAGCACGCTGCGGTTCAGGCAGGATATGAACAGCAAGTCAAGAAGCACCACGCTGAGTCCAACCCGATTGTATGTCCACCTGATGTCATGTCTCGCAAACACTGATGCAAGCCTAATACCTCTTAGTACTCTTCTGGAAGAGGCGGTATTGGCAACATATCAGGCTCGCGCTCTCGTTCTCAGTCTCGTGGTCCAATAGTTCATTCCACGGGACGAGGCGGAGTGGGTAACATTCAATATGGAGCTGCTGCCACCGTCGACAACATGGACGAAGAGGAAAGAAAGAAGCATGTTCATGCTCAAGCGATGTATGTTTGTTGCATTTGGTCTTAAAATTTTAAACTTATGATCCCCCTATCAGACACTCAATTGGCAGAGGCGGAACTGCAAACCTTACCAATGTACACTCGCCTGACGTTGAACGTGTAGTCCATCACCACGCTGAATTCGAGTCCTCTGGACGGGGCGGGGCTGGCAACATACGCTCCCGCTCCGTGTCGCGCGACCCAAGTGGACGGACACCTTCCCGCGATCCCAAAGGGAAGCATGGAATTACTGCTCTGTGGAACAAGGTTTCCCACCCCTCGAGCCCCGGCTCTGGGGATCCTGGATCCCGGGCTGAGTGACTCCTGCTTGAGCGTCTCCGCACTCCCCCTCAAATTCCTTCTTCTCCGCTCTCATCCCAAGTTCCTTACTCTCTCATGCGGAGGCGCCCATATCTTGTTGATACCCCATCATCGCGACGGAATGCACGTTATTTCTCCTATCAGTCATCATCTAGCTCGTCATCTGACAGTGTACGGATTGGCCAACTTCCAATTGTATTAGAGGATCATGAGTATGTGTCTTTTTTGGAACTTTAATATCTTTCCTTTTCGATTTCTTTCGTTAAGTTATCTTATTGGCTCTGTCGTATTGCTCTCTTGCTTTCTGTCTGCTGGATGGTTTTTGCATTGTTATTTCTGCTGAGGTCTCATGCTTTCCGGAACGTTCTCATACCCACTATCATGCTGTATATTCTCACACTCATTTGCAATGCGCATGTCGCCCATTCTCATCTTCATGTGCTCTATTCCCATTTTATAGCTTTCCCTTCTTATCACTTTGCGCCATGCCGCCAGTCTTTTCATAGATGTCTTCTTTGATGTGTGCTGTGCAGTAGACCATGGCACTCTTCCGTCATATAACCCTGTTTATCGTTAATTTGACTGTCCCTCCCGAGATAACCTCATCCCGGAACCGGTGATGGTGGCAAAACTCCTGAAGGCCCTTACCCGTTCCCGTCCCCCTTCCCATTCCACCTTACAAAGCCTTGAACTCAATCTGATTTTTTCCTGTCATGACCCTTTCTGATGCCTGTTATTCTCTCCATTGTAGGCGCCGTATCCGATGTGACCGAAGGAGGTATTTCCGCCACAGGTGGGGTAGAAGTGAGATGTGGGCATGACGTACGGGCGGGAGGGGAATCCCCGGTAACTTTTCGAGTTTATGTTTATATTGTACTAGCGCCAGATATCGATTGTAATCCCGTTTGTCTCTCTATGTAGTTATATTTGCGATATAATATTGGACATATAGTATATGTGGTGTGGAGGGAATGTGGAGAATTATTTTTTTGAGTTCTGCTAGAGCATGTCGAGGAGCTTGTCAGGGACAATGATAAGCAATCTAATAATAACTGACATTCCCCATGGAGTGCAATTATGTAAGCGAACTATACTTTGCAAGGACACGACAACCACACGACGTCGGACCAGTTCTGGTAAATATGTCTCATTGGCAGAGGAGAGCCGTCATAGGAAAGCCCAACTATCCAAGGACGCTGAGTTCCACACACCAAGAATCAAATCCAGATTTTTTCCAACCCGCGGTGCTCCGCCGAGATGTATGAACTCTACTAGTGGCTGTTGGCGGAAGTGACCAGGGCAATGCGGTACATAATACTGCCCAACACACCTAGAAACAGCACGTAATACATCAATCAATGTCAATTCGAACCTGGGTATGATAGCCGGAAGATCATCAGCTCGTACAGCAGGTTAGTCATACAGTTTGAGCTAGAGCGCCGTGTTCGACAATGCATAGCCTTCGCTTCTCTTTTCTGTGGCATCTGGATCTCAGTGTGATCCGATGATATAGGCACTTCGATAAAGCCCGCACAATTGGACTTGGGAGGCTTGCTGCCATCTTTCGAGTTCAACTCAACATTAAACCATTGCACCAGTGGATGGATTCAGTTGTAGTGTACAAGAAATTTGAAGGCGTTATAGCAGCAGCATTCTGAAGGGTGCGATCAATCTGGTTTAGTTATAAGTAACTTCTTATCGATCCTTCCTGGCATGGCCCCCGGACCTCCTGGTACCTCTGTGCTTTTATCGGAGTTACAACCCGGATGGGTAGAATAATTCTCATCCTAGGCTTTGCGCTAGGAACGAACGACTCTATTGGGTTTGTCTACAGGATGCGAATAGCAGACAGCCCTCGCAAAAAAGGCTCTTCTCTCCCCCTACTGGAATGAATGGTCGGGCCATAGCATTCCTGCCTCAGTAAGCGAGTCTCGCCATTATCATACCACGTGCGCCTCAAATGTCACCCGCCTGCATCCAAAGATAATACAAGTACCATGAATCTCCATAGTATGCACGCGACAAGTTGCTCCAGTTATCATCAATCGTAGAACTATCTCAGACCGGTTTAATGGACCTCTCAGGAAAGACGTACACGAGACATACCACCGCCGATACCAGCTAAATTTATTGTCCAGTCGAGGATCTCTAATTCTACCAATGGATGAGAAGCTTGCGGAGTATGGTTGCTCGGTAATTCCGTCGGTAGTGGGTGGTCCACATGAAACATTTCCAGTGCCCGACTTAGATCGCGTCACACAGTCAGCAAGTGGATTTCTCCATGTAGGATGAGAAAGGTCATTGGACCCAGCTGATGCTGCGCCCTGTATTTATCCCCGTCGAATGCCTTGATGGTTGGAAATGCGGCTAGGAATTGCAAGTTTGCAAAGTCTGCTTCAGCGCTATCCCATGATGTGAACATATAACTCACTATGCACTATGGCCAATTGAAGTGAGCATGTTAGATGAAGAAAAAACTTTGGGCGAAGCTGCCGCGCCCCGTATTTGTGCGGGGCCCGTGCTGTGAATGTCTCTCTGAGTCACCGGTCAATGGAAGTGGAATATCCGAGAAATATCAGGTGGCCACACGGTATGCAGGGACTGGTACTGTGAGATTCGAAATTTAAATAGATATGTGAGACGGGAGATGCGAGAGAGTTATCGGGTTGGAAGTCGAGTTGAAACGACAAGTGAGGTTTGTCTTAGTGAGAGTGAACGCTGAAATGTGATTGGCTGGAAAAAGCTTGCTAAAATTGGCTAGCTCAATCACGATAGCCATCCAAGTAGGCTAACCCATAAGGGAAGATATGGCAAAAGACAAATAACATCGCTGCGCATAAACGGAGAGTAGTATTGGACTGTAAAGTCAGCACGATTATTGTGCTTGTAACATGAAAGATATGGAACCAAATATCATATATCACGAGTGACCACGCTGCAGAAAGTTACGGATTACGTTTTGGATGTGTCTAGAATCATTTGACATTACAGCGGCGACGAACCTGAGCAAAAATCTCGCACGGATCTGGAGGTTTTTGCCACATCCGTCTGCGACATAATTTACCTTTTCTGCTATGTCGGTTGCTGTCTTTAGATAATCATGTACACGTCGCAGCACCAGGACTTCATGTCGCTACCACAGTGGCATAATCACGTTGACATCGCGCAACCATGTTGTTTGGAGATCCTACTAGGCCGTTTGTGGCATTCGAAATCATCTTGCAATACATACTTACTAGGCTCCAGGCTCCGCTCACTTCCGAATCGACTGTCAACTGGGCGGCCGGAAGGAAAGTTCAAGTTTGGCTTACTGGGCGGCAGTACTGGTAAGCCCCAGGCGGCTATCAATTTCAAGCCTTTCAACTCACTTCCAACAGCAATTGACTCGGAAATTCAACATCGGACTCGATCACTGGGCTAGTACTCGGAATCTGAGCCGACGTTGGACAGCTTCAACGACTTCAAGTTGGCAACTCGACACTTGTGCGGGCAGTTGGACTCTCGGCGTCCAATTGAAGTTCCCAGTCTATGGTTCGTTCAACTAGTAGCCTGAGCCTCCGAGTCCGAGTCGCGTTTATCACCATCGCATTCTGCCTACTACAAGTCATCACTCCGAGTCTCAATTCGGATCTCACTGTTCAAGCTGGCACTTCCGACTTACAACTACGAGTACCGTCTACTACCAGCTCCATCAACTTAAAACCCAAGCCATACTCGGGCTGGTCTGAGTCACTGCCAGACTCCCCCTCGATATTTTCAGTGACTTCGGGCATTATGCCTCTTCGGCGCCACACCCGATTGAACGTTGGACTCGGCGTCGCCCTGACCTACACACAAAAATATTTACAAAAGACGTGGACGAAAATAATGGACACACGCCGCATGGCAGCCCTACGAGCGCGTTCAAGTGCTGCTTCTGGGCTCCACACATAAATTTTGTATTCAGTCCGGGAATAGTACTGTCCATCAAAGGACATGGCAACAACCAAAACTTGGTCGTTGTGCCTGAGTCGGATTCCGACTTGCTGGTAAGTTTTGAGGTCCCAGATGCCGAACTGAATAGTCATTTAATGCCAGATAGCGTTCACCAGGAGACAGACAAAGGGATATGACGTGACCCTGAATAATGAGTTCTTCCCGTCAATCGATTGCCCTTTTTGGATGGTGGAGTCAGAGATATATGCGTCATCCTTGGACTAACATAACGATAACGTCCAATTTGTCATGTCCCTTGATCTTAAGGAGCAACTCGCTGTCCTTTGACCACCTGCAGATCATAGTGCCCTGACCGCCACTTGCGCACTTATAGCATTGCGGAGAACATTTGATTATTTTCACCCATTCATTGCCTCTTCTTATGGGTGGTAGCCAGCAGTCGTGTTCCACCGTCGTATAGTGCTGTCTTTTAATTCACCTGCTGCCTCCGCGCCATTTGATGACCAATCAAAGCACTCTACTCCATGATTATTCCCCTCCCACGGGTGACCTACTAAGCTCCCCTCCTTTATGTTCCACTGCAGCCGTACTCTGCCACATTTGCATGTATCGATTGCTTCGAGAACACTGTTTCCATCTCCTCTGTCACTGCCGTCCAGGTCCACTGGCGAATTGAACCACCACCCAGCGTAGTGGTGCTCAAGCAGGCGGGGCTTCCACCACGAAGTGCCGCAGTTGACGATGCATTCTTGTATCCGACTCCCTGCTGTATACTTCTACGATATACTCCGAGTGTTGTGGTCGACTAATTAGGGCCGACCGCATGATGAGGTGCGCCATTCGCATCCAGGGATGGCTGCTTCCCAGGGATGTCTATGCTTGACCATGAGTTTCTCGTCCCCTTTCCTTAGACTCTGCCCACACAGGCAGCAGGGAGCACCTCATTCCTGAATTGACAATATGTTGTGTCCGCGTTTGCAGTAGCAACACAATCTCGTCCTTTGTCCGTCTCTTCACATTCTCACGCTCGACACTAACGCTTTGTACAAATTGTACAATTGATCGTGAGGGATCAGTTCGGAAGTCGAGCACGGTTCGGCCCATCGGTGGACCGGTGCGTTCTTGCTTGCGATTATGTTGATTGTGGTGCCGTGCTTTCACATGTAACGAAATTCTTTCATATGTATTATGATATGTCACAACCCATTAAATGTAGTCAGAGTTGTGTTCTGGCGCGTTCAATAGAGTCTGCTTAGCTTCTTTGAGGTTGTCTGAACTACAACAAGATTCTGCATTGCTTTAATATTGTAGATGTAGATACAGTTGGGTTGGTATGTAATTATGAATAGTTTGGTTCTATCGACATCTATGAGGTCGGCATGTACGGCGAATCAACATAATACTATATTTGCCGTGCTCTAACGATCGACAAAGACATCGACGTCGTTGTGCTCTAACACAACTCATCCGTCTTCGTCTGTTATCCCTTCTTAATGTCCAAAGTAAGCTCCTCGGTCTTGAGGGAACGGGGATGCGACTCAGAGAGGTCCTCCAGTACGGTCGGAATACATTCAGCACCTGTAATAGTCGTAGCGAGAGGGTCGCGAACGCGCTTTTTAGGCTGTGATCCGAAAGTTACGATGGACACCGGAGTCGAATCATCTTCTGCACTCAAACGGAAGAAGAAAGCGACGACGACGCTCAAATTAGCGACGATTAGAGACACGGAAGCCTAAAGCATGATCAGCAGTACTCGAGGTCTATACGCTGATACCGTACCTCGACTACACCAGCCATGACCTCCTTTGTCCCTCCATTAGAGGAGATGTAATATGCATGGGTGAGACTGACGATCGTGGTTATCATTGATGCAGAGAAGACGGCTAGTACCCGTATTTTTTGCGGGCTCGACAATCTGATTCTGTAAATGAGGGAGAATGGAGCGAAGATGAGGACAGTGTCTCCTAGAACGTCGGCTGAGATACTACATCAGGAGACCGATGTATTCGATGAACAATAAATCCTCACTGATTATCTGCGCTATCGCAACACTTCTGCCGAGATCGCATTGCGGATGTGGTTGTATTTTCCAGCCGGGCTGGGTTTCACAAATCCACAACACTTGTGAAAAAAGTAGAGCCCATACAACACCGAAGGTAATGGCAGTGGATATGAGAGCCTTCCTAATAAAAGTTCCCGGGATTGTGAGTCGCACAACGGTAAACAATATGGATAGCCTCGATGACCTGTGCGTGCACGTCAGCCCCGCCACTTTTCTATGCCACCGCTAGAACGTCGGTGTCTTCATCGGGAAAAAGCTCCTTCACAAAAACAAGGTAATTTCAGAATTTTTTGGAGAATTCCTCGTAATTTCAGTGAAATCCAGTGAAATCGAGTACGACCAGATTTCTCAAGCTCGGTCGTAGTTACTTCGAATTACTTCGAATTTCTTCGAATTTCTTTGAGTTTTCAGTCATTATTCCTCGAATACCATCAAATTATTTTGAATTCGGTTGAAGTCGACATACATAAACATTGATTAAAACGAGATATCACAATCAAAAGATGTGAAAAGAAAAGAAAATATCAGCAAACTGAGAAGCAACTGACTCGGTGCCATATTCATAGCTTGATTTATTCTTCGACCATTGCATCGAGATCGAGATAGTCGCAAGTGCTTGATGAGGCAGTGGACGCCGAGTTCTCGATTGCACTGGTGTTGAGTTAGTCAGAGTGCCCAACAATGAAGAATGGCGCAAGCAAGACGCACCTGACTGCCTTGTAAAGCCGTGCCATCAGTGCATGGTACTTCTTTATACTGCCATTGAAGATGCAGTTGAGAGTCGCTTGGTGAGCCTTGTAAACACCGACGTGGGAGGAGGCATTGAATGATTTGACTTGCGCATTTGAAGGCGGGTTGCCGCTACTCCAATCCTTCAATATCGCATAAATCTGTGGAGAATGTTATGTAGTCAGTATACAGAGTTTGAAACAGTATCACAGCCGGTGCCTACCATAGTTGCAGTCAAACACACCATAGCCACCGGTAGCTCTGGCTCATTGTTTCCATCTAAGACAGAAACGAAATCATCATGGCACTGACTGCCAAATGAGTCCTCGCCGCCATCAAAGAATGACAATCGGATGATGTCAATGGTAGCCTCATCACAAAACGGTTGGTCCCCAAGGACCTTACCCTGGGTAGTAGATGAGAATCAGAGAAATGAAGAGAGAGATAACAAAATACTAAACAGACCTTGGCATCGGTTGGAAAAATATACTTGTGACTTTTAAGAAGGTCTTCTACCTTGTCAGCGCAGCCTTTCTGGAGTCCAAAATGTGATACAACAATTTGATGTGCGAGCTTCTTGAGATTGGTGCGGAAGGAGCTCATTCGTCCCTCCGGCTTGTAAGTGTATTAGTTTCATTCAAATAACCATGCAAAAAGAGTACATACGATCCCGGCCAGAGCCAGTGCGTAATCAAAGTCGTGCTTCATCCTCTTTAATATCGCATATTCCTTGCGCTTCCCAGCAGCGGTATGGACCGCTTCCAGGGCCATCTTTCGCTTCTGAGTGATGTTGGGGAATGTGTTGTCGAAGAGAGAGGCTTTCTTGAGTTCGAACATGGCGGCCTTCAACACATTCTGTATCCGGGTGTTTTGAGCCTTGAGGTTGATAGAGCCGTCTGCTGAGTAGACTAGATCTGTGAATATGGGCCATGTAAAAGAATGATCAGATTCAGAAGCTGACACATGAGTGACATCTGAAGCTGGCCGCGGCGGCACCACAGTCTCCACAAATTTAGGTCTCTACACAGTGTGATGTGAGACGGAATCATGGGAGTGTGCAGTGGAACACGTCACCTCAAGGTCTTGTCGTTCTTCTAGCTTGCTCTTTTTCTTCTTGTCTTTCTTCTTGTCTGGCTGGTGTTTGGTGACGGCTGTTGCTTCACGGTAATATGGCTTGGAATGACCATCAGAGGCTTTGTCAGCAACATCAACTTGAGGAACACCGGCAGTAGTGCCAGAGGCCATCCATTCAGATACATTGCTACCCGTGCGCACAAAATGGGGAATCTATGTCAAAAGGTCAATTTCAATGTTTCTGACAATGGGGTCAAGTACCTCTTTAATGAGTTCCTCCTGGGAGAGTGACTCAAAGTCATCATCCTCAGGAACTTCCATGTCGTTGTCTGATTTTTCAGATGCATCGTCACTCTCTCCGTATTCACTAACAGTGTCACTATCTTCAATTGACACCGTGGCTGATTTCGAAGAGTGCGTTGATCTCTCACGACCTCGACTTTCAGCATGACTGATAACTTCATGTGCTTCTTGACCACGGTCTGCTGTTGAGTATCTCATCTGTCTCAAGTAGCAGTCTGTAACTAACCATTGTTGTGATCTAGCTTTTTTGCAGGTATCTTCCGTGCTAATTTGGCTGCAGGTGCTGATTGCAGTCCAGTTACTGTGGGTGCGCGCTTACGACTGTTGGCCGTTGTCTCATTCCAAACTGAAATCAGGTGCGTTTTAGTAACTGCTTTCTAACTGTGCAAGTGCTAACCTTTCCGCTCTAAGGCCTTTATCTTCGACGACCGTTGCAATGGTTCTTGATGATTGTGAGTCCCTCACAATTTTCTTTTATGTACTACTTACTATCTGTATCGCCTTGATTTTCACCACCAGATTCTTGACTCGCCTTGGCCTTTGTTTTGCTGTTCCGCTTGTGGGCGGCTATTTCTGACGGTGTTAGAGATGCTCTGGGAGGCATGCTGATGAGGGGGCAAACGGGAGGAAGGACTGAATGCTGATGAGGGGGCAAACGGGAGGAAGGACTGAAAAAAACTGCAAGGTTCGCAGTCCGCTGCCATTTTGAAGCTTGTAAGTTTGTTTGTTGCTGCCACAGGGCCGCATGCCATCACGTTAAATTTTGCAACTAAACCTTTTCTGACCTGGATCTTCACCAACAGGGCGCGTTTGGTATTGCTTTCACTTTTGCACTTTGTGAGGGCGTGTCTGCTGGGGTACTGCTTTCGCTCTTGCACTTTGTGAGGGTGCGTCTGCCAGTGGTAATACTTTCACTTTTGCACTTTGTGAGGGCGTATTAGTCCACTGTCATTTGGTTGCTGTGCTGTATGTTATCACGTCAATTTTTGCAACTAAACCTTTTCTGACTTGGCTCTATCAACAGCCCACGCACACTATTTGGATACCTTTGTCTCTTTACGCATGCTGTTCGGATACCTTCGTCTCTTTATCTACGCCTGTTTCTCGCCTGTTTCTCTACTGTCAGAATGAACACTTGCCCAGGCTGTGCTAAAAACTTCGAGCATACTGGATACGCTCATCACCTAGCCCAGACCATAAATCCATCATGCGCTGCTCAACTACAACTTTCTGGTCTTTTTCCAGAGTCGAGCGATAACGATTCTGATGGTCTTGCAGAGGATGGAGATACTGACAGTCTCAATGGAGGAGATGCAGAATTTACAGGAGACTACTTTGGCTACTACGATGAACAAGATCTGGAATGGCCAGACGATAACCACGATGAGCTCCCCTTGGAATCTGATGGAGAGGATGAAGAGTATCATGACACGGCACTTGAGCATGGGTGGGAACGCCCTGCAGATCCTGTCCAGCAGGATATCAATGGTGGGGATGATTTCGAAAACTCGGACAACTCGGACACACTGTCACAATCACTCCCAGCCAAACGACAAGAAGCAGAGGCGCCCCTTGGTCACCAGCCCATTGTTGAGAAATTTCCAAGGCGCCATGCAGGTGCTCCAGTCCACCACTTCCGCACTACAGCTTTCGAGTCTTATAAGAATGTACTGCAAGGTGCAGAAAACGTTTGGGCCCCCTTCGTGTCTCGCACAGATTACGAGGTCGCAAAGTGGGCAAAACTTCGTAGTTCTGGCTCAACTGCTTTTTCCGAGCTGCTTGCAATCGATGGTGTGAGCTTTCTCAATTGGATCATGATGGGCCGATATTTACGATGACATTTATATAGCTTCGTGAAGCCTTGGGTCTTTCATACCAGAACTCCCGTGAACTCAATCAAATTATCGACCGACAGTTACCATGTCAACGACCGCGTTTCAAACACGAAGAAATTATTGTTGCAGACGAGGCATTTGATGTTTACTCGCGCGACGTCATGGAGTGTGTCAAAGCTCTTTATTCAGATCCTGAATTCTCACCACATCTCAACTATGCTCCTGAACGCCATTATGCCGATGCCGACAAGACTATCCGAATGTATCATGATATCCATACAGGCAAGTGGTGGTGGTCCACCCAGGCAAGTCGTCAGACAATCTGTTCGAGTCATATTGAACTTAATGGAACCTCTTTTAGAAAGAACTTGAAACAAAGAAACCGGGAGCAACAGTCATACCCATTATCCTTTCGTCTGACAAGACACAGGTCACTATGTTTAGAAACAAATCTGCCTATCCAGTCTACATGACAATAGGCAATATTCCGAAGGAGATCCGTCGAAAACCATCTAAACGAGCGTGGATTCTGCTTGCCTATCTACCAACTTCGAAACTCGATCATATCACAAACAAGGCTGCTAGGCGTCGAACGGCAACTAATTTGTTTCACGCTTGTTTGCGCCGCATTCTTGAGCCTCTGAAAGTCCCTGGCGAGGACGGCATTGCTATGGCCAGTGGGGATGGTGCTGTGCGTCGAGGGCATCCGATTGTCGCTTGTTACTCCGCAGATTACCCAGAACAGCTGTTGACGACTGGGGTAAAGTCAGGAGAGTGCCCGAAGTGTGATGTCCCACACAAGGAGTTGGGAAGTCCGCATTTCCCGGTAAACCTGCGAGACCTCAATGCAATTCTTGCCGCATTGTCCCTCGTCGACGAGGATTATGACCTGTGGAGACGAGCGTGCCAGGAGTGTGGCATTAAGCCTGTCTTCAAACCATTCTGGCTGGATCTCCCGCACACCAACATATTCCAATCCATCACGCCGGATGTGTTGCATCAGCTCTACCAGGGTATCATAAAGCACCTCACTGAGTGGATCAAGGAGGCATGTAGCGAAGCTGAGATCGACGCTCGTTGTCGTAGGCTTCCCCCAAACCACAACATCCGCTTGTTTCTGAAAGGAATCAGTCACCTCTCACGTGTTAGTGGAACAGAGCATAACCAGATCTGTCACTTCCTGCTTGGTATTGTCATTGGCATACAGTTGCCTGGAAATCTCAATAGTGGTCGCCTTACTCGTGCCATTCGCAGCATCCTTGATTTCCTTTACCTTGCTCAATACCCTTCTCACACAGATCAAACTCTAGCACTGCTCGATGATGCCTTGACACGCTTTCACGATAACAAGGATATCTTCCTTGATCTTGGGATCCGATCGAATTTCAACCTCCCGAAGCTTCATTCCTTCCGTCACTATGTACATATGATCAAAATGTATGGCACGACCGACAACTACAACACCGAGTACACCGAACGCTTACATATTGACCTCACGAAGGATGCTTACAGGGCTACCAACCATAAAGACGAGTATAGTCAAATGACGCTCTGGCTCGAAAGACGTGAGAAGATGTTGTGGCATGATAACTTTGTTAAGTGGCGTCTGGTTGGTGATCTTGCCTCACAAGAAAGGCCACCACCAGACATGGATTATCATCGGGCAATCAAGATGACGAAACACCCGACCGTCAGACGTGTTCCATTGGATCACATTGTGCAGGACTATGGCGCCACTTTTTTCACAGCAGCATTGGCTCGTTATGTGGTTGGCAGGAATCAACCTGGTTTATCTGCAGCGCAACTGGAACGAGAGGCTGCTCATATCATTCTTCCCTTTGATGCTGTGGCTACATTCCACAGGATCAAATTTCACGCAATCGATGCTCACGGGTTCCAGGACTCGAGTGTAACAGTAGATTCTGTGCATTCTCAACCATCGCGAAAGGACAAGAGAGGGCACACGATCCCCGCACGCTTTGATACTGTTTTGGTCAACGAAGGGGATGGTGGGATAACGGGCGTGAATGGTGCGTTTGCATTTGTGTGAACACGGCCGTTAATCTGACTTTATTCCAAAAAGGATACCGTGTTGCGCAAGTTCGCGTCGTCTTCACGCTGACAAGTCAAGCTACAAATTTGTTATTCCCCACTGGACCTCTAAAACCACCCGCCCACCTTGCGTATGTGGAATGGTTCACACCCTTCCAGCAACCTGAATCACACCATGGGCTGTACAAAATTTGCCGTCTGATGCGTCATGGAGAGCGTCTTGCAAGCATTATCGATGTATCGGACATCCGCAGGAGTGTTCATCTTTTTCCAAATTTCGGTGCAGTAGTACCTCGTGAATGGACGAGCAGTACCGTTCTGGAGCTCTGTCCCAGCTTCTTTGTAAACTCGTTCAGTGACCGACACGCTTATTTAACTATTGTTTGAGGAATATAACGAGATTCGTTGAAATACTCTCGAAATACATGTAATTTAACAGATTCGTTGAAATACTCTCGAAATACATGTAGTTTAACAGATTCCCTGAAATTCCTTCTTTTTTGAGCCATTTTGTGAAGGAGGTTTTCTCTGATGTTACCATACGACTGCGTAAAAGAACTGGGCAATCCTGATGTGGTATTTGTAACGTCTCTCGAGCATAAGAAAGCATAACGCACATATAGTATAATGCTATCCTCGTGTCTTGAGGGTACATTTCTGCGTTTCTTCAGCAAGATGTATGCGACATCCACACTGGGGAGACCCTTACCATAGTATTGCAGATACAAGCAATCAGCAATTAATAGCATGAAGGTGAATACCATGCCAAGGGCCGCCCACATATCGTCGATCCACAGACAACGCTTCTGCGTACGAAGACACAAGCGGAGGGATGTGACAATGGCAGCTACGATCGTGAGGACGATATCTACTATTACAACTAAAAAAGAGTATTAACTCAAGCGACACAGCAAGTCAAGCAGCCAGACTCACCTTCGATCGGTGTCAGGGTGGGGCCTGAGGACGACATGATACGTTTTCTGGGAAATTAAAATGGACGAACTGCATAATATGTATGCGCTGTTATATGAATTTATACCTCCTCAATCCAAAATATTTCAAAGTCGTATTCGTGTCGACTTGACAGTGCCCTCTATAAATGTTTCCTGATTTTTTTAACCCCCCGCGTCGGCTAGTAAACGTTAGCATGGGAGGAACAAGTCCGCTCGTCACACAGTGCTGTCGCAGATCTGATGGTCGTCCACTATGTAGAGCCCTGCTTAGTTCTAGTTACATAATCCTTGCGATCGCATGTTTCATATGCATCTTGCCGGGCACTAAATAGCCTCCGCCGATCAGTGTCATGGATGTATCCCCGACTCCCACGTTAGTGGAAGAGGGCTTTGTCGAACACAAACGAATTCCCATGCGTTAGCCGATGTGCAAAGCTGTGCACTTGGACAGAATCCTAACTTTATTATCATCTGCTGAGTGCTCTACAGTTTTCGGCAAATACTCACCATCATACTTTTGTCAGTAGCTGAGCGCTGAGCGCTGAGTCTTATTACATGAATCTCACCGCTCTCGGACATCCAAACCTGCGCGACGGCAGTTCTACATCTGTTTTTTTTTTTCGTTTTCACTGCGAAAAGGAATTTCTTGAAGCAATTGAATAGGTTGGTCCTTGGCTCATTCAATGTCGTCTTCAGCCTGGTCCTTTATTTGTGAGACACTACAGACTTCAAAGCACGTTGATATATAAACGATAAAAAATTAGAATTTCCGTACCTGTCAAGGGGCTAACGCTGCAAGTTAAGCAGTGCACCGCAGTGACCTAGTGCCGTCTGCACAGATCTGTAAACGAAAACACCGACTCTCGCTGTTCGATTCATGGATGAAGTAAAGTTTTGGACTAGTCTCAAGTTCACTGGGAGACTAGGCTGAAAGACCCCTTCATCTGGGAGGATCCTTCGTTTGTAAATATAGCTACAATCTAAAAATATCTGGTTGCCTCATTGTCCTCCTGCTCTGCTCTGCCCCTGCGCAGCGCACTCCTCCTGCGCGTCCCGTCAACAATTCAATACCTCGGGGTTGCTCGGTGCCTCATCATCTATTGGGGAGAATCTTCCGTTTGTAAATATAGCTATCCTCAAAAAATATCCGGTTACCTCGTCGTCCTCCTGCTCTGCACGGCCCCTGCGCAGCGCACTCCTCCTGCGTATCCTGTCAACAATTGAATACCTCGGGTTACTCGGCACCTCATGCTATCTACTATACCTTACATTTTGCCACAGAGCATCCAACGCCACCTCAATACCACTTAATAACAATGGTCCCTTGCCACTTGGTCGTCTCTCTCAACTCTCCTGCTTCAGCCTCCAAGACATCATGGCCCCACGCACAGGTACCCGCGCTGCTCAACCTGGCACGTCGTCTGGGTTGGGTACCCACTTTTCCAGCCCGCGGAAACTCAGAGACAAGCGGAAAACCCAGGTACTTGTTGAAGTACCAGGTCAGAAGGCTAAACAGCGCCAGTTGCTCGCAAAGATGGCCAGCTTACTTGCAGGTTCGGCGAAGCCTGAATAAACTTTACCTGTCCTGGCAGGGACAGAAGCAGACACTGTGGTCCACGAGGAAGACGCTCATGAGGCTTGGGAAGACATCCTTGAGCCTCACGACAACTGTCCTCTCCAACCTGCCTCACAATCCACACCGACTCGTCGTACCCAGTCTGATCTCACGTCTACTTGCTTGTATAACAGCTGGGAAAACTTATTCCTACCCTGGTCGAGGCCCAGCTAGACTACACTGCGCGGACGCTAGGAGCGCCTCTCGAACGAGCACCGAAGGTTTTGTCTTTGTGCAGCTCCCACACACGCGCACAAAAACGTACATCTCTTACATGTCTCTTTTTTGACCGTAAGTATTCGATCGCATACATGGAATCTTGGACTTGAACAGCTAATCTCTTTTAGATTTCATCTCCATCGATGCGATGAGCTGTAGATGCGCTAACTTGGCGCAAACACTTGTTTTCCACGGCTTATTTCCTACTGCTCCCTCTTAGCCACGAATGGCCATATCAGTCGAGCTGTTCGCCTTCTATCGCTCTTTTTTTGAGCATTCTTGTGACGCCGTCAACGCACTTGCATCCACACTCAATACTCACTACATCCGACGAGGATACCGAATAACAAATGCAAAGGTATGTGGCCGACTTCGCATGCTTGTTCAGCTACTCACATGAACCAGGGTGAAATTATTCAAGAACCTTTCCGGCGGAGTCTAGGACACGCCATTCAGTGGTTTGATGTCCTGCAGATAGAGGTCGAGAGCCGGTTAGAAGGCTTTTGAATACTCTATATATTCTTATTATGAAGATACCGCATGGCATCTTGCCCAGACCCTGTGCAGATCAGTGTCATGTATGAATCAATTTACGATAGAAATTTTAAACATCCGTGTTTGTGTAGATTGTCAATGAAAAGCTGGAGGATAACGCTGCAGTGCACCGCCGTTCGATCAACTTGATGCCGCGTCTGCATAGATCTGAAACGAAACCACCGATCAGTTCGATCATGCGACACCATGGGCACTAGCTACGTGGCTAGAAGCCTTGCCATCTGATACAAGAAAATCACGAGGACAATTCTTGGCTGAGACGATGTTCCACGGTCCATCGCTGTTCGATTCGTGGATGAAGTAAAGTTTTGGACTAGTCTCAAGGTCACTCGGAATTCCGAGACCCGCCAGGAACCTTGAACCGTGGGGGGGAACGAATTATGCGCTGCAACTAGTGATAACAGGCTGATATGAATTATAAGAAAAGGCTGTAACTAAAGAGAAGAGCAATACATACTAGCACTGAGGATTGACCGAGATTCATATGGTATATAGCTGAACGGTCGACACCAAAATTTAGGAACAGCGTCTATCAAAAGGACTTGTTAACAGGGCGTGAATGTGACACGGACAGACCGGGTCACCAACCAAATCAAAAAAAAGTTGAAGTAAATTTTAAAACGTACCACCAAAAAGTAGTGTCCTTAAGCGCTGTAGCGAATATGTCACCGCTTGCATCAGACATTAGTATATGCATGACAAGCAGCTAGCTAGGCTCTTTTTGGTTGACAATTCATTGGGATCGACTCGGACATATCGCGAGGCAGTTCTCTTGTGCGAGAAATGGTCTTGTGTGGAGCTACTCCCAGAGTGATAGGTTGAAAGAACTGGATGAGAAGACGAAAGAATATGATATCCTGTAGAGAAATCGCGGCACATTGTCAAGTAAATGAAGTCTCGAAAGTCCTGCAATCAAATGTCAACCAAAACAGTCTTCCAAAATCTACAAAAAAATACCTGGAGATCGGCTGGAGGGAATCACAAAGCGATTCGTGGATCCGAAAGACATCGACAAGTATGACGAAAATGAAGTGTCTTTATGATTTTGTAGAATAGGAGCATGTCAACCGAGGTCTTCCGCCGAAATCTTGACGAGGATATCATCGCAAACGTTGTTCCCACCTCACACGACGACGGACAGTGGGATGTGGACACGCTGATATCTTCTGATGGTGTTTCCTAGTGACACTTGCCATACATTAACCGTTTAGTACTTTAAAACTTTTGCTGCCAGTTATGCCGGCACAATTGCCCACAAATAATTCTGCTCCCAACACGCCTTCGGGATCAGAAACCTTATCAAGCAAGGCAATAATCTATCCGATCAACAGGACTTCTGAAGACTTCCAGGCCAGGGAATAATCTCCATTAGGACACAACTACCGTTGTGAAATGCCAACGCCTAAAAGGTTATCCAAACTAAGTGAAAGCGCCATGAATTCATAGTACAGTGAATACGCTTAACAAGTAACTGCGAGAACAAGTTGCAAATGACGACGATCTACACCTTGAAAATCATGAGTCCCGAAGCGACATGTCACAAGACAAAATGCACGGACCTCTCAAAGTGCCGTGAAACTCCTGATCACGCAATCTCCATCTTCGTACCCGCCTCCACCTCTAGAACCTTTAGATGCGTCAGACCACATGCCCCGCGGACCCAATCGCGTACTAGGCGGTATTTTCGTGTTTGAGTGCATCCAGGGACGTCACACTGTGGTTTCTCTTTTGGTAGAGGTGGCTGTGGTGCCAGCAAAGTGCTGGAAAGGACAGAGATAGGCACGCCTAATGTGAGGCGCATCTTGCCCTGAGCAATATCCTCCCGTGGCAGAGGTCGTGTGCTGGACACCCACCGCCAAGTGGTCGGTAGGATGACCTCCTTTTCCTCTTGCTCGACCTCACGCTCACCTTCGGATGCACTGGCCTCTGCGGTGGAGAGCGCACTGCGCTTGGCCTTTGACTTGGACTGCTTTTTGAGGAGGCGGTTGATAGTCTCTGCCTGTAGGGGTGAGATCGACATAGTAGGGATGACAAATAGAATATCGGATGTTCATGTGATGGTGCGTGAAGTTACGAAAAATGTTCAATTCCCTCCTAGACACAGTAAACATAACTGACGAACCTTTTCGTCCTCGAGCTTTTTCTCAGTGAGATTACGACGTTTTCGTGCCGTTTCTTCGCGTCGAAGTGCAAGCTCGCTCTCTGTGAGTTGTTTCTTCTTTCGAGAGGATTCACCAGTGGCTGTCAATGAAAGTCAGCGCTCAGAAGTGTTTAGGAACTCGAAGCGAGAGTAAAGAAGCAGACAACAAAGGAACACACATAGAGATACATGCGAAGAGCCAACAACACTCGCGAGAACCGCCTGACGGGAAGTCATCGGGCGCGTAGAGCCCACCGCCTCCCCTTCGTCATCTTCATCTTCTGATTCTACGTCGATATCTACGCGTCATAAGCTCAACAGTCAGTCGCGCGCGCGAGGAGGACTATGTAGGACACACCACCAGAACGCCCACGCGATCCAGCATCTTCAGTGCTGGGCGCGCTCGGTAGCTTGAGTTTGATCTTAAGACGGGGCTGCTTGGGTGGAGATGGAGGAGGAGAAGCCTCCTCAGACTCTGGAGCATCCTGAACACATGGTATCAGTATGCTAATAGCCAGAAATATGAGATCGACACACCTCTTGTTCGGGTTCAGGTTCTTCATCCTCGTCCTCAGGCTCTAGTTTCTCATCCTCCCCTTCATTGTCATCGTTTTCTTCTTGGAGCTTCCGATTCACCTCATCGACCTCCATTTCCGCGTCAGAGCCCGAATCCGACATTTGCATATCTGCTTGTAGTAGTTAGTGTCAAGTGAGCAGACACAGTATATTTAGTCGAGGTGTGGGAGCGGGAAAGCGGAAGAAGGACGGTCGTGAATCACAAACCTGAACCGTTGTACTCGTCGTCGTCATCGTTAGACACGCTTCTGACGACTCTCCTCATCGTGTTGCATCGATGCAAAGAAATTGAAACCCAGATACCTTACACAGGACATCGGCAGTGCCTCCACATAGTTCAACAATACACCAACACATCGCAAACGACCATGCTCAACTCGTTCTATCGCCTATAGCCGTGTCGCTTAGAGGGACTCGTGAGTCATGAGCACAGTGATTTCTTGATTGCAAGTCTCGATCGAAGGACACTCTGATCACAGGTGGCAGCTCCACTGTAACAATACAATAGCTCGAAATGCAGTTGCTGGCCAGTTCACAACACGATAATACACAGTTCGTTACCATCATGCATCATGGCCGGGTCTGCCTATCACCGCTACAGCTCGCACCGCCTCTGGGTACCATTGTGACTACGTAGTACGTACTCTTCAGCCAATAATGACGTCTCTGCTGTATATCCGCTGCTTGTTGCTACTATAGCTATATAAATAATACGAACAACGCGTCGTGAATTCGAATAAGACTTTTATTTTTGGTCCTTTCGTCAAGGCCGCGCCAAGATGAAGCGTTTTTGCCTCACTCTGTGGTGTTGCTTGATCCAAACCTGCCCCAGTGGCGGCAGTGTCCAGGGTGACAAGCTGATGTTGTTGTCGTTATCGATATCCGGTTCAAATCCGGTTCGAGAAAATTTTTGTCAGACCTGAACACAGCTGCAGACCAGACAGGTTCTGAGGAGTACCTTCGAACCTGGACCCTGTTCAGTGGCGTTCGTTTGACCTCCATCAGTGAATCATGAGTCATCATCCCACCGTGCTTCCTGCGAGCTCGGTGTGAGTCTGTAGTTGCATGTCAAGGAGAGGCCGCCACTAGTGCACCCAATCAATTTCGGATGCCATCCTTTAACTCTTGGACGCGGCAGATTTAGTTATGGTAGTACTAAGGTCCGGCCGGCTGAACAACTGAACAGTTTTCAACATCACATTTCACATTTTGAACATTACATCCAGTTTCTTCAAGAACCGGACAAGTTCGAACGGTTCAGTATTACAAGAGTTAGAAAACGGAGCTCCGGAACTAAACAAAATATGAACCGGACGCGTTTAAGATGGGGATAATCGGCAACATTAATAATTAATTTCAAAACGTAAAGGTGGAAATAGATTTTCTGTGCCACTCCACTTGAACGTTTGCACCTCACCGAGTCTGATTCAATTAATGAGATCCACCACAGCCCACCCCATAGGATCATCCAGTGACTAAATCATGATGAGGTTTGGGAGGCCATCCATTTGCGCCAAGTTGTGCATGGCAGGTTGTGGCAGGGCGCTAGCATAATTTTAGAGACCATCCGTCGAACCATGCCGCACATATTAGACGCGGACAGCTGTTCTTAAACCTGCTCGCTCCTGCTGACCCTTCTGTTCAGCTCAACGCAGACTTCCATTTACTTCTCATTACTATGGGTTGCTGCGCGTCATTTTTTCGAAAGTCCCAGCGACAGACTCAAACTGTGAGGCATTGGTTTTCTCAGTCGTTAGATACAAACACTGATCCTCCCATCATATTGACAGGTTGAAAATCATGGCAATGACAATTCTGTAACAATGCTGCAGTCTTCGCAAATCCTGCAATGTGAGTTTTCAACCAAGGATCATGAAGAAATGGTTCTCTCATGCTATAACTTGAACAGCCGCTCATCGACGATACCAGTCGTACCATTGTCAGTACTATCTGATATTACCACTCTGCAGCCGTATGTCCAATCACCATATCACGGTGGATAGCGCTGAACATGCAGGCTACAGAAATGGACCAATTCAACTATCTGCACCGCAAGCTCAAGTGCAGGTTAACCTTTCCATACCATCCAACATCGTGAATGGTAATCTTGCATCGTGAGTATCTCGCATAGCTCTGGGTTATAAGACACTTTCTTATGAGATAACAGCGGCGCCGTGATTGTGCTACAGCCGATTACCTCTGGTGCACATGAAGCGCGACCGTAAGCGCAAATTTCCTCATAACTGCAGATATTGAGACACGAGACACAGAGTGGCCTTCGATACGGACCCAACTGCCATTCCGCCTACATCCATCAGGAAGCAATCAGAATATCCCACGTCATCTGGCGGCTTGGGCGATATCTGGAGGTGTTCAAGGATGATCGATTCAACCTCTACTGAGGTACATATGATGTCACCCTCAGGCTGCGAGTCCCGTCGACTAATATCTGTTGGACAGGTTGCTGTCAAAGCTATTAGGATTACGGACGTACGCAATAAAGAAGCCGTTCAAAAAGCGAAGAAGGTATGCTAAGATTCATTCCGTAATGTGAAGTACATTGAATGTCTATTCGCAGAGACTTCGCCGCGAAGTAGCCGTGTGGGCCAGACTGAGGCATGCGCATGTTCTCACTCTTCACGGAACGGTTTCCGGTTTTGGACAATTGCCTGCTCTTGTTTCCGAATGGATGCATAACGGGGCACTTGATAGCTACCTGGAGCGTACGAGCCTCACTATGGGACAGAAACTAAAACTGGTGAGATTTATCATGCCAAATATAAGTCCTTACTCAATAGATGCCCTTATTTAGCTGAAACAGGTAGTGGATGGGTTGAGATATCGTACGGGATTGCCGTTGCAGATACACGTTTTCTCTCTGACAACTTCTCTAGTTCACGAACAGAAAGTAATTCACGGGGACCTGACCAGTGTATGTACTCTTCGATGCTTTAGAGTCCTTCAAGCTAACCCTATCATTGGAAGACAAATGTTGTAATCGACCACGACGGCAATGCATTTTTGGCAGATTTTGGTCTCTCAGTAGCTCTCGCAGAGGCTGACAGATCGTACTACAACTCTCATTCGAGTGGCGCTGTCCGGTGGATAGCGCCCGAATTGCTCGGCTCATCGGAACCACAAAACACTCCAGATGGCAGTGACAGCGATGTCGATCTGCCAAAACCGAACAGTCAGAGCGATGTATTTTCGCTCGGTTGTATCATGCTCCATGTGAGTCGAGTATGCTGGACCCTGTTCGAGTTTCACCTGAATCTTGTTTCGTACAGGTCTTCTCGGGCAGACTGCCCTTCTGGTGGCTTAAAAAAGTTCAACATATATTCAGTGCTCAGCTCAATCGTACAGAGCCATATCGGCTCGAATCTAGTGTGACCGTTAGCCAGCAGCATTTGGATTTCATGCGCAGATGTTGGTCAGCCGAGCCTCAAGTTCGTCCTTCCACTGGGGATGCTGCTTCCTTTGTGGAAGAAGAGCTAGCCAGTGTTCCTTCTCACTAGTTCAGCGCTCGATATATGTTATGGTACGCTTTGGATATAGATTGCGGTTGTAGCTCACCTATATATAAAGTATCTCGATGATCGTTGGTTAATATACTACTTATTTTGAGTCTTATTATATCACCGAGCACAGTACACGTGCATCTTCTTAAGAAGAAAGGGAGAAAGGTTTCGGAAACGTTCGCGCGCTCGCGTGGTTTGCGCTTACGCCGCGTAGATACGCTTAGAGCCACATGGCTTTCGCTTACCTCGCTTAAACCTGTTTTTGGAATCTCGCGTGGCTTTGTCACGTGTTTTCGAGCGCCGACTGAACTGCCGTTGCCCATTAGAGCAGCACACTACGCAGGATTTTCCCTATTGTAATTGTTTAGGGTACATACATACAGTAAATAATAAAACTAAAATGGAACAACAAATATATGTGGTGACAGGAAATGAATGACAAAAGGTTGTGAAAAAATAAATCAAAAGGAGACATTGATAATATAGAAACTCAAAAACTGGAGAATGGGAGGACAGAAAATTGGGAACAGGAAACAGGGAGAATGGGAAATGGGAGAACAGGAGATGGGAGGATGGAAAAATGGGAGACGGGAGACGGGAGACGGGAGACGGGAGACGGGAGACGGGAGACGGGAGACGGGAGACGGGAGACGGGAGACGGGAGATGGGAGACGGGAGACGGGAGGACATGGGGCACAGTGGGAGATGGGAGGCAGGGAAAAATGGGAAAATAAATACATTCAATGATACTGTTACATATTTTGTATTTTTACATTTGTCAAAATCCTGCTCAAAGAACATAGGGAAGAGACTGATCTTATGTACTACAAGAGTACCAATCACCTTCAAACATTGTGTGTCTGTATACTATGTTTGCCATAGTCTTCTCCTCAGCCTCTGTAGGAAATAGTGCCTGAATGTCTCTTTGACATTGCACACTCAATAGTGCAGTGTAAAGCTGACTGTGTGTGAACAAATCTGTATGAAGGCCCAGCACAGGCAGGAAAGTCATGGAAATTGGTTCCACAGGATCAAATGTTTCATCCTTACATATTGTAAATGTACTTTTATGTGGTGTGATAGATTGTACTTTGAGTTTTTTCAAAAAAGCTACTCATAAATGTATTTCAAAAGTGTCCAAAATGTACAATTTATTAGGATGCAGCCTGAAGTCAAAAGAGGGTGCAACCCTCCTTGGCTTCCTGTGACGAAGGAACAATGCTCATCAGGAGCCTTCTGAATTATTGGGATGAAGCTGAGGCCAGGGAGCTTAAAAAGAGCGCGAAGCGCACTTTTTTTGCGACCTGTGCCGAAGGCAGAACGGGTGTGGACTAGTGCTAAATTATGATGGCTGGCAAGTTGTATTGGACAAGTTCACCAGTCCACGGACTTTGCGGCCGCCACGTGTAGAGCAATCAATTTAAATCTCCGACCGCTCAACCTACCACACTACCTTTCACTTTTCGACTTGTCACTGTGCTAGCGTCGCCATGTCAGCTCAATATCAGGCACTCTCGACCGACGATTCTGCTGAAATAGGAGCTGATCCACAACTGCGGTCTCAAATCCAGCAACTCCATGCAGATCCCCGTTTTAACCGCCCCGCACCTTCGCTCTGGAAGCGCATTGCACTCCTTCTCGTGACTGCGTTCCTCTTCTGGGCTGCATTTCAGGTGCAGCCCAAGAGATCACAACCTAAGATCATTCATGCTGAAAGGTGAGTTATCCTTCTCTGTGCAAACTGTGATTTGGTGAATGGTGCAGAGTCTGACTCTCCTGTTGCACAGATACTCGAAGGATTACAAATACCGTCCAGCAGCGAGTCCTGTGATTACGGAGCGACTCAAAGATGGTGTAGTCCGCCTTCGTGGGGCATATTTCTAGACGTATGGGTATCGTTAAGGTAGATTTCACACCATCACAGTACTTTGGTAACTGAGCTCACCTTTCATGAGGACATGGTTTCAGTCCAATCGTTGTATATGTTAGATATCGATATCATTCCTGCCTTAGTCTCGTCGTACTTATTGCCATTCGCTCTTTTCACCTAATAACTACACTCGTTTTCCAGAACTGAGGGGTTTTCCCCTTTCTGTTTCGTGGATGGGTATAACCCTCAGCCGTGGACTTGATCATGTATTCACGGATCTAGAGTTTGCAGATGACAATTTCATGCCTGCATCACCTTTGCATCGTGCTTTCGATTGTGTTTCCAGGCTTACCTTCAATACTTCGTGTTCATGCGCCTTGCTCGTCGCTGTCACGATCCTCGCGTAGGTAAGTTGGTCGTGAAACTTATTGGGTCCGTCTAATACATATTTCAGGGACGTAGCTCAGCAGTCGTCATCTTGGTAGTCTGGAGATTGAGAACTGGGGGGTCGAAATGAGATCACAAACGGGAGGCGACGCAAAGTACAGATTTTGGGGCAAATTGTACTGTGCATTGTGGAGACCCGTCTTTTTGTACGCGAGAACATTCGTCATTTCGGCTTATGCGCGCAACGCGTTTAAGAATAATTATTTACAAGAACGACAATACTAGCCTTCCCCTCAGACCAATGCATAGACTAATTCGATGCGGGCCGACGACGAACAAGATCAAATCCACAGCATCCTATCACAGGTTCTTCTGGAGAACTTTGCCCCTGAGCACCTTGTACTTGAGATCCTTGTGTCCCCGCTACAACTTGTCCTTGCTGCGTTGAGCTGTCGGCATTGTTGCTATTCGCGCGTTGCATAGCTGCTTCTGCTTCTGCGTCGGTCTCAGGGACAATCCCATATCTCTGCAAAATTATTTGAGTAACTCCTATCACAAAGGATAGCGATGACAAGCATCTCACGTCTTCTAATTGGCAATGAGCAACATCGACGGGACGTCTAGTAAGTTTTACAGGAAATAAGCTGAAATTCAAACGCCGAGGCTGGAGCTGGACTGTATTCGGAGGTCGAGTACTGGAGCGCAGGAAGCCGAACAAATTGCGCAGACTAGGCTGAGATGATGTGTCTGCTGAGCGACGAGACGGCTGGTTTGTGTCATCACCCCAAAAGTCATTTCCCTGTCTTAGTGTCAGACCTAGCAACAGCTCAGGAAGAATAGAACTGGACTCACATATCTCGTCAGGCCTCTGTTCAAGTTGTTACTTTGCTGTCTAGGGGCGAGATTGATCTGATGAGATAAATGAGTGAAGGATCAAGCTGTTCGAAATTAACGAGCATACATCTCTAGATCGAGTTGCACGTTCCTGGAAAAGAAGTCAGAAGAGGTACGAAAGAAAAGAAACATTACTCGCCTTGAGCTTTGCATTGGACTCAGGATCTGCATCGTTCTGACCGATGCACAAAACTATTTAGAAAAGACACTGAATCAAGTCATGTATACACGCACGCCAACCCCACGAGCATGCCGGATTGCTTCTTCTAAGTTCCACACATAGATTTTTGCATCCGGTCCGGCAGTAGCACTAGCAAAGTATTGTTCGCCAGGGGACATGGCAACAACGTGAACATAGTCGTGGTGCCAGAGTGGGTCTCCGACTTGCTGATTGGATTCGAGGTCCCAGATGCGAACTGAGCAATCACCTGATGCGCTCACAAGATAGCATCCATCAGGAGAGAGACAAAGGGAATCAATGCTTCTGGTGTGACCCCGAAAGACGATGAGTTCTTTCCCGTCAATGGATTGCCATTTTCGTATGGTGCGATCATATAAGGCAGAGAAGATGTATGCGCCATCCTTAGACCAACACAACGACGTCACCGAGATGTCTCGGATCTCGATGAGCAGCTCGCCGTCCTTTGACCATACGCGCATCGTGAGGTCATCGCCGGCACTCGCGAATTTGTCGCCTTGTGGAGAGTATTTGAAACTCGTCACACATTGATGGTTGCTCTTTATCGGTGGTGCAATTTGTCGGCCAGTAGCTGGGTTCCATCGTCGTATGGTTCCGTCTGTTAATCCACCTGCTACCTCCGCACCATTTGGTGACCAATCGAAGCACTGCACTCTATCATCAGTATTACCTTCCCACGGGTGACCTATCAAGCCCTCCTTTATATTCCAGAGCCGTATTCCTCCGCATATAGTACCTACGACCATCAATTGGTCTGGAGACACTGCTATTCTTCTTATATAATATGTTCCGTCACTGTTGAGAGGCTTTCCCACCGGCCGTCCAGCTCTGGTCCACTGGTGAATTGAACCATCCAAGATAGTGCTCATTATATTGCCACTGGTGCCCAAGCAGGCAAGGTTTCCGGTATTCCACGACCTGGCACCCTTGATGGTGCACTCTGGCATCAAACTGCCTGCTGGACGTTCTGGTGCTGGTTTCTTCCACGATGTGCTCCGAGTGTTGTGGTTGACGAAGTAAGACCGACCGAATGGTGAAATGTGCCACTCGCATCCATCAATGAGCTGCTCGAAGCGATCTACGCTCGACAATGAATGTTTTGCTCTCATCGCACTTTCATTGCTCACCTAATCGCACTCCTGGTAAAGGTCGGCGTGATGAAAACATGCAGAGTAGATCATCTTCATAGGTTCGTGTTCCACATGACCATATATTTTCATACCATGAAGGAGGGGGCGCCTCATTCCCTCCTACTTGATATTGAGTCAGTCAATTGGTTTTACAATATGCTGGCTCACCTTCCCAAAGTGCATCCTGGCGGTGCTGTGCACCATAGCCTGGCGGATTCTTTTCGCCCATCCACGGTGGGTCACGAGAGAACTGATGAGAAGAAGGAAGATATTGTCATGCATCATAATGTATCGTAATATACTCACATTCACGCTCAGGAGAACTGGTCTTGATGGGTCTGATATCAATCCTTGATCTACTTCTCCCTGTTTCGCTGACGTGCTTGTGATCTTTGCATGCGGCATGACGGTTATCGGGATGTAGGCAATAGTGGAAGTAATGAAGAGACCCCGTAAGATATGCTGTTTCACATGCTGTACTTGCAGGCGCCTTGATCACGCGATATCTTGTGCAGTGGGATCCTAGGCGTTAGTTCTTACTAAGTAGATCAAACGTTGGCCAGCATGATTCAACACTTGTTCTATATTCAGCGAATTGTATTTCTTGATGCATTCAGAGACTGCACATTGTGCAATGAAAGTCATCTAACAGGCGCAGAAACAATCACGATAATATTTAAATACATATCTGGAACAAAGTCTACGATCAAAGCTCATTTAATGCATCATAATCACTCACATCTGACGGCATCACCAACCCGCTCTCGCACCCACTATCCACATCTTCCAGCCCATCCGACGCAGCCGTCAAATCCTCCACCTCCTCAATGCCACAGCTCAAGCGCACCAGCCCCTCAATGCTCGAAGCCTCACGCTCCGCCGGCAGGATACTCGTATGCGCCATCCGTGCAGGTAACTCTGAAGCATTGCAGTGTCCGAATGCGAATACGTGGCTGGGAATTCCTATTCACCTGAACGGAACGTGTTACTATGCTATGATGTGGGATAAAGTAACGCACGAACCTTGTGTATTTCTAAGAGTGTTGATGAATTGGCCGCAATCCTGCGAGTTGGTCTCGTGTCATGCAAGATCGCGATCAGTCCATATTCGATGCAATGTGCATCTACGTTTCATGACTTGTCAGACAATGAGATAAGCAATGAGAGATTGAAAGACTGACATTGATCTGGACTCATCAGCGATAATAGATTTTGATACAGATGGCATGATTGATTCATTGGATAGAATAGCTCAGGGAAATACTGTTGTCGTTATAAATTACATGAGCCAGTGAGAGATAAGATGTCATTATTGAGACATGCTCATGCATGTCCAGAAATAACTACTCACAAGAGTGACGATACTGGCATTCCCCTCATACCAACGCAAAGACTAGTTCGATGCGGGCCGACGACGAACAAGATAAAATCCACAGCATCCTATCAAAGTCTCTTCTGGAGAACTTTGCCCCTGTCCTTGAGACCCTTGTACCTTCGCTACAGCTTGTCCTTGCTGCGTTGAGCCGTCAGCATTGTTACTATTCGTACGTTGCATAGCTGCTTCTGCTTCTGCGTCTGTCTCAGGGACAATCCCATATCTCTGCAAAATTATTTGAGTACCTCATATCACAAAGGGTAGTGACGACAAGCATCTCACGTCTTCCAATTGGCAATGAGCAACATCGACAGGACGTGTGGTAAGTTTTACAGGAAATAAGCTGAAATTCAAACGCCGAGGCTGAAGTTGAACTGTATTCGTAGGTCGAGTGCTAGAGCGCAGGAAGCCAAACAAATTACGCAGACCAAGCAGAGATGATGAGCGAAGAGGCGTGCGGTTTGTGTCATCACCCCAGAAGTCATTTCCCTGTCTTAGTGTCAGACCTGGCAACAGTTCAGAAAGAATACGGCTGGACTCACATATCTCGCCAAGCCTTTGTTCGATTTATTGCTTTGCCGTCTGGGGTAAAAGCGATCTAATGTAGATACATGAGTGAAGGATCAGGTTGTTCGAAATTAACTACCATACATCCCTGAATGGAGCTGCACGTCCCTGGCAGAGAAGTCAGAATAGGTACGAAAGAAAAGAAAAATTACTCGCCTTGAGCTTCGCATTGGACCCCGCATCGCCCTCGGGCTGACCGGTGCACAAAGCTATTTAGAAAAGACATTGACCGAAGTTATGTACACACGCACGCCAACCCCACGAGCGCGCCGGAGTGCTTCTTCCAGGCTCCATACATAGATTTTGGCATCCTGTCCGAAGATAGCACTGGCAAAGTATTGTCCATCGGAGGACATGGCAACAACTGAAACACCGCCGTCGTGCCAGAGTGGGTCTCCGACTTGCTGATTGGATTCGAGGTCCCAGATGCGAACCGAGTAGTCATTTGATGCACTGATAAGATAGCATCCATCAGGAGACAGACAAAGGGATTCAACGCTTCTGGTATGACCCCGAAAAATGACCAATTCTTCTCCATTAATCGATTGCAATTTTCGTATGGTGTGATCATATAAGGCAGAGAAGATGTATGCGCCATCCTTAGACCAACACAACGACGCCACCGGGTTGTCTCCCTTGATTTCGATGAGCAGCTCGCCGTCCTTTGACCACACGCAGATTATGTCGTCTTCACTGCCACTCGCGAATTTGTCGCCTTGCGGAGAGTATTTGATTATGTTGACCCATAAATCGCTGCTCTTTATCAGTGGTGCAATTTGTCGGCCAGTGGCTGGGTTCCATCGTCGTATAGTTCCGTCTGTTAATCCACCTGCTACCTCCGCCCCATTTGGTGACCAATCGAGGCACATCACCTCATCATCATTCCCCTCCCATGGGTGATCTACCAAGCTCCCCTCCTTTATATTCCACAGCCGTACTTTGCCATCTTTGCATATACCTACGACCATCGATTGGTCTGGAGACACTGCCATTGTGATTGCATCTCCTGCGTCACTGTTCCGGGGTTTTCCTATCGGCCGTCCAGCTTTTGTCCACTGGCAAATTGAACCATCGTCCGACAAAATCATTATATCGCCATTGGTGCCCAAGCAGGCAAGGCTTTCAGTCTTCCACCACCTGCTACCCTTGATGGTGCACAGTGGCATCAAACACCCTGCTGGACGTTCTGGTGTTGGTTTCTTCCACGACGTACTCCGAGTGTTGTGGTTAACAAAGTAAGACCGACCGAGCGGCGAGATACGCCATTCGCATCCAATAATGAGCAGCTCGGAGGAATCTACGCTTGACAATGAATTTTTTGTTCTCCAAGTCACCTCACTTTCGTTGTTCACCTAATCGCACTCCCGGTAAAGGTCGGTTTGATGAGCCCATGCCGAGTAGCAAGTCTTGATAAAACGGGGGTTCATCTATATCTTCGCTCTCTTCGCACCATGAAGGAGGAAGCGCCTCGTTCTCTCCTGCTTGATATCGAGTCGGTCAATTTGTTTCATAATATGTTGGCTCACCTTCCCAAAGTGCATCCTGGCGGTGCTGTGCACCATAGGCTGGCGGACTCTTTTCACGCTTCAGGGGAGCAACCAGTTTTGATGAGCCTGACAGCGCTCCTCGATTTGCCTCTCCCTGTTTTGCTGACGTGCTTGACTCGGCCTTTGCATGCGGCATGACGATGGTTGGGACGCTCCCCGACTCCCACTGATACCGGGGGAGGGCCTTGTCGTGATAGTTGAGGTAATGGACAGACCTGTTAGATATGGTGTTTCGCACGCTGTGCAGCCTTTGCTGTGGTCATGTTAATTCTTAGATAGGATCAACTCAAGATTGATTCAACCGCACGAAGCTTGTTTCTATATTCAGCAAATTAGATTTCTCGATACTTTCAGAGGCTGCACATTGTGCAATGGAAGTCAAGCCTCCAAAGCAATATACCATCTAATAGACCCAGAAACGATTACGATAATATCTGTACAGGTATCTGGAACACCAAAGTCCACGATCAAAGCTCATTTAATCGCTCACATCAGACGGCGTTACCAACCCACTCTCACACCCACTATCCTCATCTTCCAGCCCATCCAATGCAGCCCTCAAATCATCTATCAAATCATCCACCTCCTCAATGCCACAGCTCAAGCGTACCAGCCCCTCAATGCCCAAAGCCTCGCGCTCCGCCGCCGGGATACTTGCATGTGTCATCCGCGCAGGTAACTCTGCAAGACTCTCCACACCACCCAAACTCTCAGCAAGCGTGAACAGGTTCAACTTCGGCAGAAGTGCCTCTGCACTTCTTGCACCACCACGTAGACGGAATGAGACCATCCCACCGTATGGTATACCGTGTGTAAGGCTCGATGGCGGTAGGGTTTTGATGAACTGTTCCGCGTGTGGGCTGAGGGAGGTGCGTGCCAGGGCGTGTAACGGATGCGAGGCCAGACCGGGATAGATGACGTGTTCGACAGCGGGGTGTGAAGTCAGGAAGGAGGCAATGCGGAGTGCATTCAGACCATGGGCCTTCATCCGTACTGCGAGAGTCTTGGCACCGCGCTGGGCGAGCCAACTGTCAAAAGGACTCGGGACGGCACCATGGGCATTTTGGAGGAAGCGAAGCTTTTGGACGAGGCCTTCGTAGTCTCTGTCTGGTGTAGACGAGGAGGGAAGGATGGCGGCGCCCATCACGACATCAGAATGGCCATTGACATACTTGGTGAGGGAGTGAATGACGATGTCAGCGCCTTGTAGGAGTGGGGAGGCATAGAATGGGGAGAGGAATGTGTTGTCGACGAGAACAAGGGGTTTTGATGGAGCGCGACGCGCGAGACCCACTATGCGCGGAATGTCAATTAGTCGGAGGGTGGGATTTGTTGGTGATTCGATCCAGATAAGCTGAAGTATTGGCGTCAGTGACTGGCTGAATTTAAATACTTAAAGACAAACCTTGGTGTTATCCTTTATAGCAACTAGTATCTCATCATCTGTCGCGTTCTCCAAGTCTACAAACGTCGACTCGGTACCCATGGTTTCCTTCGCAACCCTTGTGAGGTACCTGAACGTACCGCCATAGACATCGTTCACACTTAGTACGTGGGCGTTTGGACCTAGAGACTGCAAGACAGTAGCTGTCGTCGCACTGCCAGAAGCAAATGCGATAGCGTGTCCTGCGCCTGCCTCCAGGCCTACAAGTGTGCGCTCTAATGCATCGCGATTTGGATTGCCAGAACGAGAATACTCAAAACCCTATTCACCATATACACGTCATAAGTACGGCATGTGGGGTCAAGCTGAAACACGAACCTTGTGCACGCCTACTTCATCTTGCTTGTATGTCGTGCTAAGAGATATGGGAGGGATGACAGCGCCAGTTGCAGGGTCTGGCTCCGACCCTACATGAATAGCTCGCGTAGAAAAGCCGAGCTCAGACGAGCGTTTCGAGTGACGCTTGACGCCTTTTGCATGGCCGCTGGTGTGGCCGTTGGTAGTGAATACAGAGATGGTCATGTTGCAGTGGGGTATCGATTAGATGGGATAAACCCGATGTGGGAGATAAAAATGCGAGGATGTGGGGAATCTGAGATAGAGAAGAGTTTATATAATGTACACGCTGCCAGCATTTTGAAAGATAATTTTTTTACCTGCATTACATTTGCTTTGGAATGATGCATGAATTGCGAGCTCGATGGCGTGCAAGTCGCTTACAAAGCGCTTGCAATTCTGGTGGTTACTTAGTAATTCAATCTACTAATCACATTACAGTAATCATATCCGCATATACCGCCAGCGCAGCACAATAGATAAGCGGGAGTATAAGCATCCCCTGTATAGCTAGGCTATGTCCAACATGAGGACAGTACATTTGTTTTTTTTTACAAAACAGTACCTCTTGGCGCGCGAACGTGCGAGCTTATGATCAGCAGGAGAAGATATTCTGGGACATCCACGCGTCTTGTCATGTCTGTGGCACCGGCAGGCATCAAGAACTACTATCATAGATTTGGTTTGTCTAGCGGTGCCAGTGCTAAGTATATAAATGACTCAGTGATCTTTCTCAAGGTGTCAATAATCCTAGGTCTACTACGGTTCGACGTTGACCCTTTGTTCCGTTGTACGTGGTGTCATCATGACCTCCCTCTTAATTCTTTCCATTCGGCCGACGAATCACAGACGAAGAAGGTGTGTTCTGATGGGCTAGCTCTTTTAAGGTTTGGATGGGGACAATGTCAAGAAGAAAAGGGCAATCTTATCTTTGACTCAAAGCCTGGGAGTATCACTTGTCGACATCGTCCAAATGGCTGACAGTTTCGTACAACATGACATCAACTGTAGTTCTGAGAGACGTGGCATGTTCACAACAAAATGGAGCCGAAAATCGACCATGCTTAGCTTAACCGAGCAAACACTGGCAGTAATACCATGGCCAACTCATGACGTATCGTTGTGACGCAATCTTGACAGTGGCTCTAAGCGCCCATCCTCCCCGCAATACAATACTATATGGTCCGCCTTGTCTCCACCCATTGTTTTATGTATGACTAACCGCGCGACCACTTCGCCCTAGAGTTCAGTGGTCATGTTTATTTTCTCCCAGATTGCAGTGCAAATGACTCACCAACTCCACTGAGTACGACTACAATCAGCCCCGCGATCAGAACGAATGATCAAACTCTAACACCGCAGTAGTTCTCATCAAGTAACGATTCTCGTTATCCCCTCCATTGCGTTGTTCAAGCGATCATGCGTGGCATCGAGCTGAAGATAAAAAAACCCATCAGTTGCTCCGGAGCGTAGACTGGACGATGCCATGCGTAACGGACAGTTTGAGCAGATGAGAAAGCGACTTGAAAGCTACGGTGTTTTAGTAGGCTTATAATCTGGAAAGGACACAGAAGAAATCATGACATAGGCTATGCGAGAGGTGAGTCACGACAACGTCGGATGAGGTCACAGAATAATGACATACCATTCCGCATGCCATCATTCCAGACGTTATATATCCATTCAAAGTCCCTGGTACGCCTTCCTGAAGGATAAACCCCGATAGCCATTTCTGAGAGACCTGGTTTCCTTGACAGGGGCTGCGGAGGAACGGACGCCGTAGGAGTGGCACAGAATTCAGTCAGAGCAAAACGACATCATGTGTGAGGTCGAAGGCTCAAGTGTTTACAGGTATTGCGAAACTTATTGCCAACGATCCCGAAAATCCGAGTCCGTTGCATATGCCGAAATGCCTGCATTAGCAAGGTAGAAGTTGCAGTAAAAATACCAAGCGGTCCCATTTGGCGGCAGCGGGGACTTCAAACTGGGTCCAGTAAACGGGGGAGAGACTTTGATTCGAACATAATCGGGATTCTAGTGCTTGGGTAAAGTACCAGCATCGCTGCAAGGGTAATCCCGGTAATGTTCCCGAGATCAACTTTTGAGAGGAGATTCTGCATTGAGGAAGACCGTCATTGCTGGCTGTGCCAATTCTGTTGGCAGTGACGTGGATTTACCATTTTGTTATAAATGATCCAGAATGAGATAGGTGCATTGTTATGGATAGCCCTGTGATGATGATGGTGTGAGTGCATTCTCAGGCTGTACTGTCACGGTTGAGGTCATCAAGCAGCAGCGTCCGCAGTGTCATCTACAACGATGGAATCCGATTCGTGCACCGACACCGAATGAGTCGGTACTCACTGGGCTTGAGCTTGAACCACTATCAAGCTCGCGAATAAAAGCTTGCCAGCCTCTTCGTTGGTCACAACACTCCTGTTTTCTTCGCGAGTTGTTCTAAACAGGAGTGATAGATAATTGCAATTGGATGTATCGATACGATCAGTGTCCAACTTTTGAAAACCAAAAAGATGACGTCACTGTTTATAAGGTCTGACGACTTTGCACGCAGGAAGTTTGTCCACGTACAAATTGCATATTTTAAATTCCGGGTCATGCATCTTCATCATGGTTAGAATGGAGCCTGTGCTAGCTCGCGCTCATTACCTTATTTACGTTTACAAAGGTCACTCACAGCTTCATTATTGTGGTTGAACGTTTGAACGATAAAGTTATACCCAATCGTACATTATATATGCCCAATAGATGAGATAACTTTAGAATACGAATTGTTTCTGTGTGTCTTAGACACACAGTTGACATGTCACACTAATGACGAGAATGACTTCATTTCCATCGTCGATGTCGTCGACTGTGGCTAAGGAGTGTCAATGAGCCCTCTCCCATCAACCATAACACAACCACTAACCATGATACCCTGGATAGGTTGCGTGATATGCAGTACCTCATCCCTAGGGTCCCTCCGGGATTTGTGAAACTCTTCATCTTGCGATCCACTAGTGTGGAGTTCCTGGTGATAGACGCCGTGGCGCTCATAAAATTGGGGAGGATCGACGATCACGTTGGCCTGCATGTAGTATCGCGCGTTCAAGAACGCGATAAACGAGTTGACATATACTTGAAACGGTATATACCGCTGGTCAGCACGATCATGGTAGAATGTGTTGTTGATCATACACTTCGTCACTAAAAATTGAAGCCCGATAAATATGAAGGTTGTCGGCAGCACAGCACACTGCAGGCAACCCTCAGAGACCTCGCATGTAAACAATACAATGGATATAGCCTCACTGTGATTATGATTGACATCGAACAAATGCTGTCAAGATGTTAGTCAAAGTACTGTGGGGTAGGCTGGAAGGGGGGATACCTTGTCAGACAGCCGGTACTGATGGTATAGCCCACAAGCTTTGTTATGAATGAATCGGTGCTGAGTAGTCTTCGCTAGTACATCAGATCCCGATAGGGAATGAAATGCTCCGTACCTAGAGAACCCAGTACGTGAAGTGGCAAGGAGATAGCATAGCGATGATGCGATGAGAATATCAATAAAAGTGGCCGTTCCCAAAGACAGATATGTCATCCACTCGATGCTAACCAAATCCTTGAAGAATTTGACCTTATATCTACTCGCAATTAGCATCTCCTGAAGTAAGGGAGCTGCCTGACTCACTGCGCCCACGCAAGGGCTGTCATTAGGTCAAATGATGAGCCAATCACGAGAACATCGTTGAAATCTCACTGATAGCAATGCCTGAGGATAAGTTCAAAATTGCATAAAGAACGTTTACAGAAAAGAGACTCGCCTGAACCTAGGGCCACGATTATGCCCTAACAGTGAATCAACACAATGAAATACAATTGAACCCCGATTGCAAACCCACCAATGCTATGACCGGGAAAATTCTTGATCGACCCTTGCTTACTGGGTTCATTTAGTAAACCCAACAAACTCATGATAGTAGGGGAATAATCACCTTTCCATATACGATGAACATACAAACTGTCGACCAAGACATGACTTGAATGTTGCAGTAATAGTCATTGAACTTACAGATGTACCATAGGAACGATGAGAATCTGTGTAGTGCGTATTGTTGGGTGGATCACAATAACAGAAACAAAACTTACGTTGATTACTAACTGAAGCTGTCCCAGCCCATTAGACGCTGCATAAAGGGCCATTATAGAAGCTCACTTTGAGACTCCATACGATTTCCGTGAGTACACCAAAGTTCGCATAGTTGGTCACCAAATAATAGTAGACGCAATGGATTGTCAGGGCCAGGTGCAGAGCATCAAATATCCTATAAGTTTGGGAAGCAATCTCTTCGCGATCAATGATTGCAACTCGAAAGGACACCTACCAAAGCCAGGCAACCTGCCAGAACGTGACATCAAGACCAGAATCAACAACAAGGCAGTATGGACGTACAACCAACTTGAAAAATGTTATCCCAGCGCTTCTATGCGCCTGCAAGTATATGAAAGCTTGGACATTGGTTAGCCCAAAGAGACTGTTCCATGGGATATGTTACGACGAAAGGTCACAGGAAGCGCTCAGCTTTTGACTGCATCATGAACAAATAGTTTACTAACACTGCTGCCAGGATAACTCCAATAAAAAGTGCCCCGAACGTCTTTCCCAGGTCAAGTTGTGGAATAGGATCTTGCGCCGAGGAAGACATTGTTGCTGACTGAAAGAGTTCACCAGTTCACCACTATATAACCGCACTGCCATTTGTTCTGTGAGAGAATCATGACTTTTGACACTGAGCGCTGATGGTAGAAGCATGTAAGTACAGCATGGCATGAACGAAGGAGACTTGTAATTAATACGTATGCCATATATGATGATCATGTGTCCACCAGGCCCGAGGAGTGGCGCGTATTACATAAGATAGAGGGGCTCCTTGCCCGTGTACCTTGGACTCCGACGTGCAAGTCAAAACATTCAGTGCTGATCTTGTGTGAATCAGGATGACCCACGTACGAAGGCCAAATAGTTATAATACCTGTACTGATCTCTAGCCTGGCTAAGTTTAGGTGTGCGTGGATAGCACAAGGCGGCGCTAACTGTCGGGGTTCATATCACCATTCATTTCGGCATCATGATGCGGCAGCCTCAGGTGCACAACGAACCTGTTGCGATCACATGTGATGAAGCCCACTCAACGGACCTCGCCGAGTAGCATGAACTATCACCCTATCTCATCATCTCCTCCTATATCATAAATACCATTACGGAAAGTCATTGGAACCCGACTCGCCGCTCAAAGGGGTATCGCATCAAACAATGGCTACCACTCATCTCTACGAAGAACCATTGCACAACTTGGGTACCTTCACAGACTCATTCCAAGTATTCCAGTTCTAGAACTTGAGGCGCCCTGGAAGCTTCAATCAGAAATACCTAATCTTTGAAGACTACTTCGTACTCCCGAGATGTTCAAACACTCTCACAGGCTTAGTGTTTGTGGCAGCTTCTTCCCCGTGTAGCACTTAGCCCTGTTCGCAGCTATTCATTTTCCTCGAAGCAAGCAGTGCGTGAGGCACTTTCGGTTAGCTTTGACGGACATCTCAATCCTGGCTTCTCTCAAGCTTCATCTCCTGCAAGTTTATCGCCAAAGATCATCAATGAACGACACACATGTTGGCTTCGTGTTCAGGCCTGCAGGGTCCAAGTTGGGTGTTTGGCTTCGCTAAGCTGGATACCACCGCAACCACTGAACTGTAAAAACGCTGAGCGGAAGAGCACGAACCAACGTACAGGATCAGGGGCGTGGCTTAGGACAGTCCGGATCATATGGCGTGCAAGTCTCAGACAGAAAGTTGATGTTTCACAGCCGGCAATCGAGGTACTTCCGTAAATATGTCGGGTAGGGAGTGACGATTTACTACGAACCCATAGATTATTTGTGAGCGCTACTCGTGAGGAAACGTACAAATGATAATGCATGCCCACTGGAAGTTCATCACACCAACGAGAAAGACTGCATCTGCATCTTCCCCGTCGCTGGCAACTATGGATAAATCATACGCCATCAGCCCTCTTGCATCAACAATAATACAATTACCAACCATGACAGCCTGAATAGGTCGAGTAGTATGGAGCACTACATCGTCACATCTGTCCGCGATGTTTGAAGCTTCGAGTCATCTTTCGATGTCTTAAATGCACAGTTCGGGGTGGAAAACATCATGGCTAGCACGCAATTGACGGTCAGCTTGAACATGGAATATGATTTAGAAATACTCACATGGTCTAGAATTTGCAACTCAAGTCACCGAAACAGTCTTTTACTCACAAGCGTGATCAGATTGTGACGAAGTTTTCTTTTCCAGGAAGGAGGAAGTAAGCCTCATCATCCTGTTCGCCCTCGTCAAGTGAACGGTCCTTGAACTCCAAGTTGGAGGCTGAGAGTTCGATAATCTCAGAAAATGCGGGATTTCATCGGTCTGCATGAGGTCTATACCGTAAAACTAGATGCAGACTTGCGTCCTGTCAATGTGTTGCTCGGATTCAGAAAGTGGCGACTCCGAGTCAGTGAAAACACTCATCACAAAAGATGGGCAGATATCACCGTACGTAGGCCATGGAAATTCGACGAGGAGAACATGGCAGCCATTGGCAGGCCGGTAAATGGTGATCATGTTTTCTCACGCTGGCCCGACCGGGACGAGTCACGGTACGTTCTCAAAATGCGGGAAGACACCGTGACAGTGATACTATGTAGATTGGGGTGGCATACGGCAGAAGCAACACAATAGTGATGGGTACAGTCTACGAGCGTGATGGTCCTGCAGCATGTACAATCGTTAATGCAATAGTGCGCAATCCGAGTAGACATAACTAGTGAATACTAGTATGGAAACAATGCAAGTGCGATAGCAAGAGAATGCAATTAAAGCGAAAGCAGATGTGAGTCAGAAGGAGTCAGAGTCACAGCAACAACAAACGAGAAAATCAGAACGAGGTCAGATGAATTGTAGCATTTAAATGCTAGGATCACTGGCTGCGAAATCTGTCATGATGGACTCGACTCCAGTAAATTCAGTAACAATCTGCTTGACTTGGTATAGAAAACTCGTCGGTGTTGAAACTGGGGTGCCAAGTATAGTACATAACATGGGGAAGAGAATCGGAAACAACTGCACCGCTCAGGAGTTAGAGCTGGCATGCTTGGTACCGTACATGACACGAGCGCATAGCATGAGGAAAGACGCATCGAAAAACAGGAAGCTTGGCCCGAACATCGTCTACTTCTTTTCTGTCAAGTCCTTTGCTGCAAGTTGTTCGTAAACTTCGACCTCGAGGCTCACAACGAGGGACATACACAAGCGATTGTCAAGGATGAACTCAAGAACCTTCTTTCCCAATTCCTCTCCGTGGTAGCCTTGACGACAAATCTCTTTCGCTACTTTCTCTACTGCAGCAACCATGGGAGATTGCAGGTAGTAGCTCACAGCAGACTCAACGAGCTCCAAGCCATCCCAGCCCTTGCTTGGGAGAAACGCAGAGTACTCGAGGATGATAATGGTAGCTGCTTGCTGTGATCAAGACTACAACCGTTGGTGTGGCGAGAAACTAACCGATGCCAGTCTGAATTATTCTGTTCGCAGCAGAAGTGAACAGTGAACCCTTCACAGCCTGTTGCACACTCGTATAGTGTTGGGAATCAATGCGGAGGGAAGCTAACCTACCAAGGGCTGAAGGACGCGGACAATATTATTTCGTTGGGTTTTTTCCTAGCCATAGGTCGAAAGTATGGGTATCAGAATTAACTCCATGAAGGAAAGTACTTGCCCCCTGGAGGAAAGGGATGTCAGAATTATGAGGTGGAAATTTAGCATTTGATTTAATAACAGAGACGCACATTCTATTTTGTCGACGTAACGGTTGTGAATAATCAACCACCAGATTGTAGACAATGACTGCTGTGCTCAGGTAACTTACAAACTGTCAGGGGTTGGAACCGGATGAGCATCACTATATACGGGCGAATACCATTCATGGACGTACGAGCTAGATGAGATTGTTTGTCAGTGGAGTAACATGATGTCAGACAGGATATGATCAACATACATTCTACGAACACATGAATAACGCAAGAGATTATCTGGCTAGAATGATTGACGATTGAAATAGACTTACATCCTACAGATCGACAGAGAGTCAAAATGATTGAGATATTTAACGCTTCGCATTATGAAGGTCAAACGACTCACATTCTGCATAGGACACAAAAATATGCAAGATGAATAAACATGGAAAATAAGTTATCAAGGAGAGATACTCAACGAACTAAGCACTATGTGAGTAATGATGATTCGGCTCATCTGATGAAATAGAATATGCTTACATGAGGCTATGAAAATGAGTGAACATCATTATACTATTGACCTTCATCCGAATACAAAATATGATCAAGACACGCACCACCTGCCAAAAAAACAGTAAGTGTAAGAGCTGTTCACATGAGTTGCAAACGGAAAGCCATCAAGGGACTGACCTTGTGTCAACAGGTGAAGAGCAGCGATTATCAGCATGGGTTGAGGATGAGGGACAGTCAAAGTACATACGTTCTGTCAATAAACGAGTAGCAGGGAGATATGAGGATGACGAGCATGGGTCAAGAACTAGAAACCATGAAGGAACTTACCCGCTGTGAACAGGCGAGCAGCAGCAAGGGATAGCGATCATGAGCTTGGATCGAAGACTAGAAACCATCAAGGCACTTACAAGCTGTCAACAGGCGAGCAGCAGCGAGGGATGGGGATCATGAGCATGGACCGAGGACTGGAAACCATCGAGGCACTTACTTCCTGTCAACAGGCGAGCAGCAGCGAGGGATGGGGATCATGAGCATGGGTCGAGGACCAGAAACCATCGAGGCACTTACATACTGTGAACAAGCGAGCAGCAGCGAGGGATGGGGATCATGAGCATGGGTCGAGGACTAGAAACCATCGAGGCACTTACATACTGTGAACAAGCGAGCAGCAGCGAGGGATGGGGATCATGAGCATGGATCGAGGACTAGAAACCATCGAGGTACTTACTTCCTGTCAACAGGCGAGCAGCAGCGAGGGATGGGGATCATGAGCATGGACCGAGGACTAGAAACCATCGAGGTACTTACTTCCTGTCAACAGGCGAGCAGCATTGAGGGATGGGGATCATGAGCATGGACCGAGGACTAGAAACCATCGAGGCACTTACTTCCTGTCAACAGGCGAGCAGCAGCGAGGGATGGGGATCATGAGCATGGGTCGAGGACTAGAAACCATCGAGGCACTTACCCGCTGTCAACAGGCGAGCAGCAGCGAGGGATGGGGATCATGAGCATGGGTCGAGGACCAGAAACCATCGAGGCACTTACATACTGTGAACAAGCGAGCAGCAGCGAGGGATGGGGATCATGAGCATGGGTCGAGGACTAGAAACCATCGAGGCACTTACATACTGCGAACAAGCGAGCAGCAGCGAGGGATGGGGATCATGAGCATGGGTCGAGGACTAGAAACCATCGAGGCACTTACATACTGTGAACAAGCGAGCAGCAGCGAGGGATGGGGATCATGAGCATGGGTCGAGGACTAGAAACCATCGAGGCACTTACGACCTGTCAACAGGCGAGCAGCAGCGAGGGATGGGGATCATGAGCATGGACCGAGGACTAGAAACCATCGAGGCACTTACATGCTGTCAACAGGCGAGCAGCAGCGAGGGATGGGGATCATGAGCATGGGTCGAGGACTAGAAACCATCGAGGCACTTACTTCCTGTCAACAGGCGAGCAGCAGCGAGGGATGGGGATCATGAGCATGGGTCGAGGACTAGAAACCATCGAGGCACTTACGACCTGTCAACAGGCGAGCAGCAGCGAGGGATGGGGATCATGAGCATGGACCGAGGACTAGAAACCATCGAGGCACTTACATGCTGTCAACAGGCGAGCAGCAGCGAGGGATGGGGATCATGAGCATGGGTCGAGGACTAGAAACCATCGAGGCACTTACTTCCTGTCAACAGGCGAGCAGCAGCGAGGGATGGGGATCATGAGCATGGGTCGAGGACTAGAAACCATCGAGGCACTTACATACTGTGAACAAGCGAGCAGCAGCGAGGGATGGGGATCATGAGCATGGGTCGAGGACTAGAAACCATCGAGGCACTTACGACCTGTCAACAGGCGAGCAGCAGCGAGGGATGGGGATCATGAGCATGGACCGAGGACTAGAAACCATCGAGGCACTTACATGCTGTCAACAGGCGAGCAGCAGCGAGGGATGGGGATCATGAGCATGGGTCGAGGACTAGAAACCATCGAGGCACTTACATACTGTGAACAAGCGAGCAGCAGCGAGGGATGGGGATCATGAGCATGGGTCGAGGACTAGAAACCATCGCGGCACTTACCCGCTGTTAACAGGCGAGCAGCAGCGAGGGATGGGGATCATGAGCATGGGTCGAGGACTGGAAACAATCAAGGCACTCACACTCTGTCAACAGACGAGACGAGCGGCAGTAAGGCATCAGCGTTGTCCTGGCTTAGCTCTGTAAGCCACAATCTTACCAGCTGTTATCAATAAACAACTACAATCAAAGAAAACATATCAGAATGTCTCTACAGTTTTAGCCCTTCGATATTTACCATCCGTGAGAACCATAACCAGGGATCGTCAGATTGAATGAATCTTCGTCTTACTTTGAGATGCGGAAACCACTTAGCAATATCATGCTGATAGCCTCTATCATCGATTTGCTTATGCGCACGATCAACGAGTGTTCTAGATACTGTTGAAACAAAATCATGTCACTTGCAAATCTGAGACTCACGTGATGGCACACTTGATGCAAAGTTCCAGGTTTGATTTTGTGTCGACACCAAGCACAACCGCAGTTCTTCGTTGTCTAGTGCGAAAGTGGTGTGTTCCAGTAGAGTGTTGCAGTTTGCATCCGTTTTGTTTATTCCTAGCACGGTTGCTAATGTCAACTTTGACATGGGACAAATCAAAACTGAACCACTTACCCTGCAAGCGTACATAGGCCTTGGGATGCGCACGGTTTTCGGGGTTGCGCAACTGATCCAAGACTCCTGTCTTAATAAAAGTTCCTCGACGCGCTCGGCAATCCTCTTTGAGCGCTCTTCTCCCGATACGCCTTTTAGTTGCTTCTTGATTTCTCCAAATGCGACGGGACGCAGAGCCTCGAATTTGGTGAACACCACGACCACAGGAACTGAAGATCGATCATTTAGCCCGAACATGGCAACTGACAATGAAATTGCAAGCTCACCGTGTCCGGTGTCGCACTCCCGGAAGAACTTCTCTTCTGACCGCTGGAATGTTCGACAATGCTCATCCATCGGAATGCAATACCTGATGGCAATCAATAAGCGCGGAGCATCGGAAGGGGGCTGCTTACCAGATGGCGTGAATTCGCTCCTCCAATTTCGTCGCACGCGCCCGTTCTGATATAAAGTTCTGCATATTCTCGAATTCTTCTTCAGATCCCGCTTCGAAGCCGCACGAGTCGTGAATACGAAACCGGGATTGCTTTTGAATACCATTTCGTTCGCGATATCGTGATTTCCTCGCTGAACATCCGTCAGCGCATGTATGCCCACAGGGAAAATGATGCACGCACCTTGATTGAGGATTCCACGATGGTAGTATCAATCTACCCACAGTTGATCAGCGATAGAGGCGTGCATGGCATAGATCATCACCCGCACCTTCTTTCCTTTGGTATCGTAAATTTCTGGTTGATCTGTGGTGTTGCAAACCTTCTGAAGGATGGTCGTTTTGCCTGCGTTTGCTCTCCCCATGATCAGAACTCGAAAGCGCTTCATCATCCTTCTGAGTTCCTGTGCTTCGGTAGTTGCCATTGAGAGATCTTGATATGCGTCCTGAAGTAGAGGTAATTTGGTTTATCGTGAAAGCTGTACTGCGGTACAGAACGAGGTCGTGGCGAAATATGACAGCGAGCGGACACGAAGCAAGGGCCTTATCGCTTGTGGCACAACAGCTATACACGGCGTCTATCTCTTATCTATGTCCCTGCCAATCAGGCAACTGAATATACCCTCGTACAGATACGAAGTTGCAACTGTTCAATCGTTCGTACGATAAAGCACAAGGGTGACACAACAGATGATATCGAACAATGAGAACATTGATAGAGATATGAACTATGATGAATAATCAGAATACGACGGAAATGACAGAATTTCGCTCTTTCCTACCCGTCTAGTTGAAAAGCAGTGATATCGGAAATCTAAGCTCGATCTTCCAAGGTCTTCCAGACGATTGGTTCTTGAAACGTCTGAGAGCAAACAAGAGATGTTAGGATGTGAGACACCCTCTGGAATGGGTGACATCCCGTGATGCTCGACAAGGTCTGCACGCTTGGAGTTTCCCCCGGAAGACGTTGGTCCTGAGTACGAACTAAAGGCGACGGAGCAGTAGATGTTGTGCGTGTTGGGTGAACTCGAACGTCGAGCACGCTCGTTAGAAAGGCTGATGTAGCAGACCGCAGGAGCTTGTGTATTCATAGATGACTCAAGGCAGGTCTGGTACACGTCCGCAGATGAGTCCGACTGTCCATCATACTTTATAAATTGGCGCATATATTATCAAGTATCAAAGATGACGTACCGGTCAACATACACATGAATTCTTGGGGCTGGCGTGCGTCTCGCTGGATTATAACGAAATCCGTCCCAAGAACCTTGAATACTCACTCATGAGCACGATGGACAAATTTCTTGTAGTCTTAAGAATCGCAATGTGCACCACCGTTTGACTCAGCCCTCCTCCGACTCTTCCTGCACTGCTGGTGCCTACTCTGATGGGTGATGTCGTTCAGGCTAACTCCTTCTCGGTCCTTAGTGAGCTCCCTGTTGTCTTTCGACGGTATTGAGATCACATTGGAATCATATAGCGTCAACCATCGTGATGTAAGGCGATGAAGTACATGGCTCTGCACCTGGAACGTACAAGATCACATGCCTTGGCAAGGATACGATCAGTACAAGAACTCGCGGTATGATCCAAGACTCACTGGTTTGAACGATATGCGTGATTGTATACCTTGTATCCAGCCATTTGAAAAATGTCGACAACATTGCGAGACATAGCATTGCATGCCGGCGTCCAACCGTGAAGCTCGATGATTATCTTGCGCGTCCTTGTCTGAAGCTGAATGTGGAAGGTAGAGCTTGACGGCGGCAGTGGTAATCCCCTCACGCGAAGGCGTGAACTTCAGTGGGAATTTGAGCCGTGCGACGGTTTCTGTGCTCAGCCGAGTCAGCCCGGTGTCTTCGTCATCTAGACTGGCTGTTTGCGTCCACAAGACAAACGTATGTGAGTGACGAATTATGACGTTTCACGTGAGTATAAATCCTTCATAAGGACACACTGGTCCGCATCTAGGGGTGCGAGAACACCGCTGTCATTAGGGTCTGATAGTAGTGGATCCGGGGACGGACATCGTTGTGGAATCACATGGGAGGACGGACACCTGTCGTTGTGTCGTGAACGTCTCCAGAGGCGTCATAACCTGCAAAATAGTTCTCCTGTAGGGATAAATTGAAATCATAAGTCATTGTAATAGAAAGCACAAGAAAAACAAGACGAACCTCTATACCAGAATAATGATCCTGTTGATCCTGCTGGACAGGTTGTGGGTCCCGATCCAGGGACCTAGGAATATCTAACGCGCTACCATCAGTAGAACAACCCCGGGAAGCACGTTGCACGACAGAGCTTACCATATTAGTATGCGTTCTTTTCTTCAGAGAACACGTCCCCTTTGTATCGGGACCTCCAAACTCTGCATGCCGTCTACACGTTCCATGAAGTACTTGGTGCAGCTAGCTCTTGCATAATCTCTCGCAGTCGCAGGTATATTTTTTGGTGTCACTGTGACTGACTCTGTAAAGTAGCGTGGAGTCTTGGGCATGGTGTGTCGACGAAGGCATGTCTTGCTGACACGAGACGCTGACACAACGCAGATCACAGATATGTTTTGTGTGATATGCACTCTGCCTGCGTTTCGTGCGTTGGAAGAATTATAAACGTAATAAACAACTTTGACCTTCAAAATGAACATTGAGTCACATGACAGGAAGGAAGTACGTTTTCGAATTCATTTCGATGAGCACATGTCTTGTTCTTAACACATCACGATCATCTCATCTGACCAGGTTTTGCAAATTATCCACACCTCTGACGTGTGATGTCCATTCAACGGACCTCGCCGAGTAGCATGAACTATCACCCTATTTCATCATCTCCTCCTATATCATATACAATGTCAACACCAGTCATTGGAACCTGGTTCAAAGAGGTATCGCATCAAATATTGGCTGCCACTTAACACTACGAAGAATCATTGTGCGAATTGGGTACCTTCGCAGACCCATTGCAAGTATTCCAGTTCTAGAACTTGAGGCGCCCTGAAGCTTCAAAAATACCTGATCTTTTGAAGACTACTTCGTACTCCCGAGATGCTCAAACGCTCTCCCAGGCTTAGTGTTTGTGGCAGGTTCTTCCCCGTGTAGCATCTCAAGTTAGCCCTGTTCGCAGCCATTCATTTTTCTCAAAGCAAGCAACGCGTGAGGCACTTTCGGTTAGCTAAGACGGACATCTCATTTCTGACTCCTTTCAAGCCTCATCTCCTGCAAGTCTCTCGCTAAAGATCAACAATGAACGACATGCATGTGGCTTCGTTTTCAGGGTCAAAGTTGGAAGTTTGGCTTCGCCAAGCTGGATACTGCTGCAACCCGCCATCTCGAAAGTCTGACGACTCTGCGCGCAGGAAGATTGTCCACGTACCAATCGCACATCTAAATGCTGGATCGTGCATCATGGTTAGAAGGGAGCCTGTGCTTGCTCATTACCTTATAATATGACGTTTACTGTAAAAGTTACTCATATTGTGGCTGAACATTGAAACGATAAAGTTATGCCCAATTGTACACTGTACTCGCAAAACCAATAAACATAACCGTACGATGAACAGTAAACAAAGTCCATGTCGACAAAGTTAGTCCTTTCTTCCGCTTTCAAAACCTGATGTGATGCCTACCCCTACCACTCCACCATTCCCGCCGGCCGTTGTAGATGCGCCGCCCTGATAACTTTAGAATACAAACTATGTTTCTGTAGGTGTCATGTCATCTCTTGATCAGACACATAGTTAACATGTCACACTAATGACGAGGGAGACTTCATTTCCATCGTCGATGTCGTTGGCTGTGGCTAAGGTGTGTCAATTAGCCTTATCCCATCAACCATGACACAACCACCAACCATGATACCCTGGATAGGTTGCGTGATATGCAGTACCTCATCCTTAGGGTCTCCCTGGGATTTGTGAAACTCTTCATCTTGCGATCCACTAGTGTGGAGTTCCTGGTGATAGACGCCGTGGTGCTCATAAAGTTGAGGAGGATCGACAATTGCGTTGGCCTGCATATAGTATCGCGCATTCAGGAGTGCGATAAACGAGTTGACATATACTTGAAACAGTATATACAGCTGGTCAGCATGGTCACGAAAGAATGTGTTGTTGATCATACATTTAGTCACTAAAAATGGAAGCCCGATGAAGATGAAGGTTGTGGGCATCACAGCACACTGCAGGAAACCAACAGAGACCTCAGATGTAGACAACATAATAGATATCACTCACTGTGATTATGATTGACACCGAAAAAATACTGTCGAAATATTAGTCAAAGCACTATAGGGCATGCTGGAAGGGAGGATACCTTGTCAGGCAGCCAGTACTGACGGTATAGCCCACGAGCTTTGTTATGAATGAATCGGTGCTGAGTAACCTGCGTCAGCATGTCAGATCCCGATAAGGAATGAGCTGCTCTGTACCAAGAGAACCCAGTACGTGAAGTGGCGAGGAGATAACATAGCAATGATGTGATGATAATATCGGTAGAAGTGGCTGCTCCTAAACACAGATATATCGACCACATGGTCTTGGCCAAATCCTTGAAAAATTTGACCCTACATCTACTCGCTATCAGCACCTCCTGAAGTTACGGAACTGCCTGACTCACTGCTCCCAAGCGAGGGCTGTCATTAGGTCAAACGATGAGCCAATAGCAATATTAGTATCACTGTTGAAAGCTCACGGGTGACAAAACCTAAGGGGAGATTTAAGATCGGTTGAACAGCATTTGCAGGCAACAAACTCGCCTGAAATTAGTACCAAGACCATGCCCTGACAGTGAATCAACACAATGAAATGCAATTGAACCCTGATTGCAAACGCACCAACGATATGGCCGGGAGAACTCTTGATCGACCTTCGCTTACTAGGTTCATTCAGTAGATGTAGCAAATTCATGATAATAGGGGAATAATCACTTTTCCATATGCGATGAACATACAAACTGTCGACCATGACATGACTTGAGTGTTGTATGTACTATGTAGCAACAGTGATTGAACTTACAGTTGTACCATAGGAACGATGAGAGCCTGTGCAGTGCGTATCGTTGGGTGGGTCACAAAGAACGGAAACACAACTTACGCTGATTACTAACTGAAGCTGTCCCAGCCCATTAGACGCTGCATAAAGGGCCATTATAGAAGCTCACTTTGAGACTCCATACGATTTCCGTGAGTACACCAAAGTTCGCATAGTTGGTCACCAAATAATAGTAGACGCAATGGATTGTCAGGGCCAGGTGCAGAGCATCAAATATCCTATAAGTTTGGGAAACAATCTCTACGCGATCAATAATTGCGAATCGAGAGGACACACCAAAGCCAGGTAATCTGCCAGAACATGACATCAAGACCGGAACCGACAACAAGGCAGCATAGACGTACAACCAGCTTGAAAAATGTTATCCCCGCGTTTCTATGCGCCTGCAAGTAGATGAAAGCTTGAACATTGGTTAGACCAAAGAGACTGTTCCATGGGGTATGTTAGTACGAAAGGTCGCAGGAAACGTTCAGCTTTTGACTGCATAATGAACAAATAGTTTTACTCACACTGCTGCCAGGATAACCCCAATAAAAAGTGCCCCGAACGTGTTTCCCAGTTCAAGTTGTGGAATGGCATCCTGAGCCGAGGAAGACATTGTCCTTGACTGAACGAGCCCACCAGTGGTACTAGGTTCACCATGATATATAACCCAGAATAATCACACTGCCATTTGTTCTGTGAGAAAATCATGACTTCTGACGCTGAACACTGATGGTAGAAGCATGTGTAAGATGTATAAGTACAGCAATGATAGTATGCCATTCAAGTCGATGCGAAGGTAAGTCACCGTACAGACTTGTAATCACGTGCGTAAGTGACGTAATGATGTATTACTACTGCGGCAACGAGTAATTTTTTACTCTGGTGAGGCGCGCGAGGGGCCATAACCCACTTGTGTCTCCTGGACCATACCTTGGACCGTCGACGCGCAGTCGAAACATTTAATGCTGATCCTGTGTCGAAGAATCAGGACGCCATCCGAGTCGATATCATGTAGTGATCACCAATCTGGCCAAGTTTGGCTGTGTATCGCGGCATGGATCCAACAAGGCGGTAATTCAATCGGTGAGCGGTTCATATGAATCATATCATCATTCAGTTCGGCATTGTGCGCACAACGAACCTGTTGTGATCACATGCACCCAGTAGCAATGTCCATTCGATGAACCTTGTTAAGTAGCATAAAATATCACCTTGTCTCATTGTCTCCTGCTATATCATATACAACACACTGTAAACCATTACAGAAAGCCATCAGATTCTGGTTCAAAGGATCTCGGGCTCAGTATCTAGGTGCTGTTCTTCCCCATGTAGCGCTTAGCCCTGTTCGGAACCATTCATTTCCTTTGAAGCAAGCAGTGCGGCGTGAAGCACTTTCGGTCAGATTCGACGGATATCTATGTCGTGCGGCTGATGGATTTCTCAGCGCCGACTCATTTCAAGCCTCATCGCAAGTGTATCGCCAAAGATCATCAATGAACGGCACGTATGTGGCTTCGGGCTCAAGCGCTCAGGGCCCAAGTTGGGTATCTGGCTTCGCCAAGCTGGATACCGCCGCAACCACTGAATTGCAAAATGCTGAGTGGAAGAGCACGGATCAACGTACAGGATCAGGGGCCGTGGCTTAGGACAGTCCGGGTCATACGACGTGCAAGAAAATTGATGTTTCACAGCCAGCAATCGAGGTACTTCCGTAAACATGGTGGGTAGTGATGATTTACTACAAACCCATAAGTTATTTGTGAGCGCTTCTCGCGAGGAAACGCACAAATAATAATCCATGCCCACTGTAAGTCCATCACGCCAACGAGAAAGACTGCATTTGCATCGTCCCCGTCGTTGGCAACTGTGGATAAATCGTGCCATTAGCCCTTTTGCATCGACAATAATACAATTACCAACTTTGACAGCTTGAATAGGTCGAGTAGTATGGAGCACTACATCGTCAGACACATCTGTCCGCGATATTTGAAGCTTCTCGTCTTGCGACGTCTCAATGCGTAACTCAGGGTGGAAAACGTTATGGCCAGCACGAAATTTGGGAGAACCCGCACTATCTGCGCCAGCCTGCAGGTAGTATCGTGCGTTCATAAGTGCCATGAATGAGTTCACGTATACTTGAAACCGCACCGTTAGTTAGCACGATCCTGAGAGAATGTGTCGGTCTTACATTTAGTCACTAAAAATTCAATACTGAGAAAGATGAAGTTCCTCGGCATCACCGCACACTATAGGTGGCTGTCTGAGACCTCAATCATGGACGGTACAAGAGAAGGAACCTCACAGCGATTACAGCTATTATTGAACATATACTGCAGATATATTAGTTCAAGCATGGGGTGAGTTGGAGAGAGGGTTACCTCGTCAGACAGCCTGTACTAATTATATAACCCAAGAGCTTTGTTAAGAAAGAATCGGTACTAAATGATTGCGTTAGTATGTCAGATCACGACAGCGAACAAAGTGCATCTCGTTACCTAGAGAATCCAGTACGGGAAGTAGCGAGGAGATAACATAGTGATGATGCAATGAGGATGTCATCAAAAGTAACCGCGCCCAAAGTCAAGTATGTCGCCCACTCGGTTGTAACCACATCCTGGAACAAGCGGCACCGATATCTAGCGGATATCAGCAATTTCGCGAAATTAGGTATCTGTCTGACTCACTGCACTAACACGACAGCTATCATTACGTCGAGTGATGAGCTAATAACAAAGGTAGTGACACTGAAGTCTCACGGACGGCAACACCTGAAAAGATTTTCAGAATCGAGTAAAGAGCGTTTCCAGTGACAGATTCACCTCCTGATAGAACCACGACTATGCACTGACAGTGCGTTAACAAAATGATATACCATTGAGCACCGACTTCAAACCTACCATTATTATAGCCGGGAGAACTCTCGATCGGCCCTTGCTGACTAGACTCGTCATGTTAGTAAAAACAAAACATCACTAGGAATGATATACCTATCCATATGCGATAAACATACGAACTATGGGTCCAGACAGCATCAATTAGAATGTTGCGTGTAACATTGCACGTCGAACTTACAGATGTACCGTAGGAACGATGAGAACCTGTTAAATGCATGTCTAATGTAAATCTCAAAGTTCAGAAGAAACAACATACATCGACTATTAGCTGAAGCTGCACGAGTCCATCAATATCGTAAGTGTTATCGGGCTGCATAAAGTGCCATAGGAAACTCACTTTCAAGCTCCACACGATCTCTGTGAGCGCATTGAAGTTCGCGTAGTTGGTCACTAAATAATAATAGACGCAATGTACAACCAGTGCCAGATGTAGAGCATCAAGTATCCTAAAATATGGTGCACAGTGTAAAATTGACATGTTCAGTAAATCATAACTCGGGGGGACACTTACCAAAGCCAGATAACCTGATGTAGCGTAAATGATTGAATTGGAAAATAGGGCAGCATGATATACGTACAATCAGCTTAAAAAATGACATCCCCGTGTCTTTGTGTGTCTGGAAGTAGATAAAGGTTTGAACGTTGGTCACACCAAACAGACTATTCGTGAGAATAATACGTTTTCAGCATTGATTATATGGTGAAATAGTTCACAAACACTGCTGAAAGGACGACCCCAATAAGAAGTGCGCCAAACGTGTTTCCTAGGTTGATTTGTGGTAAGAGGTCCTGGGTAGAGGAAGACATTTCTGGCCGAATAAATTCCACCAGTAATACATTTATCTATATCTCATAGTCAGTGTACTGCATTGCTGTCCATTCTATGGCATCTTACGCTGATGGTGGGAGTACTTCCTGCACAATGAGGCACAGGGACGTTTGATTTCGGGTATGAACGTGATCGTTGTATCATAACGCCCAGCTGGCCAGACATCAGTTATATTTGGGCGATACCGAAAGGAAGGTGCTTCGTTACTCCAAAATTAGAAACCGAAAGGTGGTACAAAATGACATCTGGTTGTAGGGCAATAGATAGTAGACGGTAACTCAGTGAGTCTTCTGTTTTGTGTTGGTCATCCATACTTGAGACTGTTGTGCCCTCGCTACAGTTTGATGACGACTCTGTTATATTGGATTATATCCGCCTCACAAGGCTGTATCTCTAAAAATGGCTGTTTGATCTTTAGATGGTGGATTTAAGGGGCAATGATCGGGAACCTTACAAAAGCTTCGCGCATCGCATTTACAGGGTTGAATGCTGATATGGCCATGATAGGCCGCGAGTGGGGTCGATGTGTGTGGTTTGTATCGTCGCCCTGTATTAACATTGTCAGTGCTGGTGCTTCACATGACAAAACACAAGTTGTAACCGTACTGTAACTTAGTAAGGTTCATCACGCGTGATTCCCCCGATCATGAAACAGGCTTGATATTAGCTTGTAATTTCGGGGAGTAAGACCAGACAAGAAAGTATGGGCATACTGACGCTGAGGTAAGATGACACATTGACGGAGAACTATATGACTCCGTGACTATTTGAGAAAGTTATGAAGGGACGAGCGGAGGGGATGTGTGCTAATTTGAGAATTGAGAATTCCAATGAGAAGTGAGCATAGGGACTCGATATCCCTGTCAACTGTAATGGTCGTACTCCCGTGGAAAATGTAAATGAATCGATGGAGCCACGACAAGCATTCCAAGGTTGCAAAGATTTTCCCTGGTACCACGAACAGAAACATGAGAATTGTTTTTTCTCTGGCATGATTCTGCGAAGATGCATCAATACACATGATCCGACGGGCGTATCCCATTTTCCATGTTAGATGTGCCGGAAACGATAGCCTCATGAAAATGAATCCATACCCCTTGATAAACTCGCAGGTAGTAAGAGGCACGCTGTAGGGATTCATTTCTGGTTGGGCTTGTAGAGACTGTTTTTACCTTACCTTATGTTGGCACTTTTGTAGCTTACATAATCAATCAATCTTTTGTAAGGCTGGATTAGTTCGGCGGGGAACTGTGAACGAGACGGATAGATATGTAGATGTGTCAGCGTAAAACACGAAACAAATTTGAACAAGGCTAGAGGGAGGAGATTTTTCTGAGAGGTTTTCAAACGTTCTTGGAGCGGGGAATTCACTGTCTGATTCGCTGTAAGTATGAATCTACGTACGCTGATTATATACGATTTCGAGTTCTTGACTAGACCGGAACGAGAGTAAGTAGCATATGGTGCTTTGAGAGATATCGGTGAAGAAACGGGAATCGTGAAATCAGAGCACAAGGTATGATGACGAAAGAGTAAGAGAAACGAAAAGGAATGTATCCTTGTAGTTCAGATGCGAAGAGTTGCACTCTTCACATCAATGAATCACATGGACTAGCTCGAACGTATGATCCGTTCGAGCGTCTCAGTTTTAAGCATGGTCGGCACGTAGGGAATAGATAATCCTTACACCACCTCCCCACTTTGAATATCGACCGACCTCGGTCGATCTTCTTGACTAAACAAAATGTATCGTAGTACTTGAAGAAATGTAACCAATTTAGAAGAAAAACGAGACTAGAAAAATGAACAAGTGAAAAAAAAAGGAAAGGCGCATCTAATTGTTTTCTGGCTCGTCATCTACGAGCGTTTGAGGATCGATATACTGCGTGACTTCGATGGACGAGGGTGAACGGGGGTGATAAGGTATGAGTCGAAAGGCGGCGAATTTGAGTTTCGACAGAGTTCCATCAACTTCTGCAAGGCGATACGGACCGTTAGGAGAACGCGAGACCACTACCATTGGACCGAAATATCTTGGCTTGCACTTTGCATTAAAGGACGGTTCAATTTTCTTGTTTAGGACTAGGACAAGCATGCCTGGTTTGAAGTCATAGTCGTGAATGGTCCGAGAAAATCGCCGCTCGAAGTCTTTGATAGATGCGAAACGACTCTTGAGCACGCGGGTGTGAATATCTGCCAAATCTTCTTCTCGTTTAGCTAATTGACAAGCACGTATAGCGATGAGGTGGCTCGTGGAGATTTGGGCAGGAATATCAGGAAGGAGGTATGTGGCTTCGGTGATGTCGAAAGGTAGAATAGGTTCTATGCCGTGTGTCATAAAGAAGGGAGTGTGGCCAGTAGACTTTCGTGTCGTGACACGATCGGCCCAGAAGACATGGTGCGCAAGAGTTGGCCATTGAGTGATGTTGCCGTTGCAGGATTTAACGAGTGAGTCTCGAATGGTTCTGTGAGATCGTTCGACGAGGCCGTTTGCCTTTGAGTTATAGGCGGATATTCGAATGTGCCGGATGTGATATTTGTGCGCGAGCCAATCGAGCGCAGCGACAAAAGGAGACCCATTATCTGTCACAATTTCTTCTACTGCTCCCCACCAGCAGAGAACATCTTCAAACAAAAATGCACCCAACGTCCTTCCAGTTTCTTTCCTCAACATTCTAAACTCTGGCCACGCTGTCAACAAGCATCGTGCTTGTACGATGTAAGCGAATCCGTGAGATGCGGGCATGTACATAAAATCGGTAAAGGTTTTCCGGAAGAGAGTCGCGGGAATTGAGATGGTAGGAGGAAGGACTACTTTCTCGACGGATCGAGTTTGACATTGATGACACGTTTTAATGAACCAGGCGATATCTTTGTCCAACGATGGCCACCAGAACCTATCGGCAATCATACGACGAGTGGCGTAAGTTCCTTTGTGTCCGAGTTCGTCGTGGGTTTGCTGGAGTGTACGCATACGATCTGCTCCGAACACGACTAGCTGATGTCGTCCTGTAGCTTCTCTTCGCCAGAGTCGGTTTCTTTGGACGAAAAACTGTCGGGCAGCGTTTTCATAGATGAGCGTGATGGGACGAGGAAGTGGTGGAAGGAAATGAAAACGTTTCTAAGTATGTCCGAATGGCTTCTAATTCTTCATCAATTCGTTTTGATGCGTCATCCGAAGGAATCTCTATATCGGTCCCATCTTGCGCCCTTGCGTTCGTAACGATACGCCGATCTTCCGTAGCTTCTTCACACTGTTCCTTCTCCACTTCTTTAGCCAACCAGAGTCCACATCCTACTATTTCTTCTACTGATTCATCAATATCCTCCAAGTCTTCTTCGTCTGAATCTTCCTCTGCTCGAGGCCGTCGCGACAGTCCGTCCAGGTCCAAGGTGCTTCGTGCCAGGTATATGTTTGAGCGTGAAGTCGAAGGTGCATATTCCCGCTATCCATCGGTTCATGGCTGCATTTGGCTGGATGTCCGGTTTGTTGAGCATGCCGCGAATATACTTGGCATCTACTTCAACAGTGAATACTTTCAGACCTATTAACCAGACCTTTGCAGCGCGCAGGGCCCTGAATAGCCCATAGAGCTCTATCTTGGCTTGTGAGTAGCGCGATGTAGAAACAACAATACTGAGAGGAACAAAGAAATGCTCCTGACTGTATCTAAAAAGTTGTAGGTCGTGCGTTGCCTAGTCTGCGATACTTGAGATGGCAAGTGCATTCGACCCTAAAGGGGAAGCAGGTGCAGCGGAAATCTAGAGGTACGCGCTTCAGCGAAGCGCGAGAAAGCGCAGGTGCGCGCAAGGTATGAAGGCGCGGGAACGCGCGCGCGTATTAGCGCGAAGCGCGGGAAAGCGCGCGCGTGTAAGCGGAAATAAGAGAGACTAAACTTATGTGAAGATATAAGCAAGATAAAGGATGTGAGATGTGTTGTGCTAATGAATAGATTTCTACTGCGACTTTCTAAGTAGTAAGTACTAGGTAAAGTTGGGTGAAAAGTAAGGTAAATAATAGTATGTACTGCTGGCGCTTATATAGCGCGCCTAAGCGCGCTCATGCGGAGCCGAAGCGCTACCGAGTAGGTATGTAAAAATATATATGAGTGAGAAACTATGATAAAAATAAAGGTGGAACTATGCTAATAAAGGAAATGGAAATATACGCACTAGGGAGCTTGGTGGACAGTGGATGGATGCATCTGGATGGCTGGCGCTATAGGGCGCGCAAGCGCGGGAACGCGCGCGCGCGTATACATCGTGAAGCGTGGGAATGGTGCGCGCATGGCTGCGCGTTGCGCGGGAAAGCTGCGCGTCATATAGGAATCACTGTGGATGGTACACAGAGTGATGCTGCGAGTTGGTGCTGTATACTCCCTAGTGTCAAGCGCCATATCACACTATGAGATGCACGAGTCTCTACAGCGATTCGCGCTCATTCCAGGTAATGGATCCGAATCTTGATGGACATCGACGACCTTCAGTGTCGATTTGTGAGAGTATCCATCCACACGCTATGTGAGACGAGTCGATGGCTAATATAACTTCGAGCGGAGAGGAATAATCGATGGGACGGATAGCCGGGGAGTGAATGACCGCATCCTTAAGTGAGTTCATAGCCTGTTGAGCCGCTGCATCCCATGCAAATGGTGTGTTGACTCGAGTGAGATTCGTAAGAGGTCGCGCTATGCGCGCATAATCCTTTATCCAGATGCGAATGGTACCTGTAGTACCCAAAAACGCGCGAACCTCTGTTTTCGATTGCATGGAGGCCAGTGTTGAATTTTCGACACTTTAGACGAATCCGGACTGCGGCCTTCATATGTGCACATCTGCCCGATGACGAGAACTTCGGGTATGCAAAGAAATAACTTCTTTGCGGAGACTATTGCTCCAGCGTGTTTGAGCCTGTGAAGGACACAATTAGCGTCAAGGCAGTGCTCCCATACAAATCTACGAATCCCCATGTTTTCAGGAATGAGCTCAAATGAGCCGTTAGATGTTTCGTAACGTGTCTGAGGACCTAAGACGTTTACGTCGTCCTGAAAATTCGGAGCGACCTCAATTTCGGCTTGGAGTATAAAGGCCACGTTGTTCTGAAATACTGCGGGGGAGTCGGTCCATCCCTGAGGAAGGACTGTCAAACGATAAGTGCCGAGAGGAGTTTGGAAAGTGGTAATGTCGTGTGATTCTTCTGCAAGCGCTCGATGATCGAACCCTATGAATAAGTCCATCATAGAATATATGGCGCGTCCTGCGCATTGTTCCGCGAACAACTCTACATATGGCATTGATGCGGCATCCTTGACTGTTACAGAATTTAGCTGTTGAAGGTCATGCACGATTCGGACAGCACTGCTCTTCTTTGCGACGCAAAACCAGTGGGACTGGTAGGAGGAGTTGGAGGGTTCGTAGACACCGGACGCAATCTTAGATTTGATGAGCTTGATGACTTCTTCTTTGATACCAGGAGGAATGGGTGGCTGCCGGTGTACCCAAGGTATGTGCTCGATGGTAGGGATGATTACTGGGGGAAAATAGTCGTCTCGAAAGTGTCCTTTTTCCGACTCGTCCCAAGCCAGGGCAAGTTCGTTGTTCTTTAGCACGAGCGCAGCTAACTTTTGCTCTTCTGGCCATAGAAATTGGTTTTTGAACACGCCGAGCTCATCCATCTGTTCTTTGGATAAACGGGAGCCGGGATGGAAGTTGGGCGGATTTGGTGACAGCGGAGGAAGGGAGAGAAGTGGATCCTCTGGGAAACGTCGTACAATTCGAGCATGGGATGGCATGGTGGTGGCTACTGGTCTGACTTTATTAGCGACTTTCTTATAGGCAAAGGTGCGGTGGGCAGAGTTGATTTCGAGGTGAGTCTGGAGGAGAAATTCGGCAAAGGAGGAGAAAGTGAGACGTGATATGGGAATGGGCGTTCTAGAGAATGGGGGGCTAGATTGTAGATTAGCATGATAAATATCTGTCGAGCTTGTCGGCAGGGTGGCATGGTAGATGTCTGTCGAGTTTGTTGGTGGGGTTTGCGGAGTAGATAGAGGAGTAAGGAGTGCAGTGGTGAGGGCAAGAGAAGGATGCGGCCAAGGGCGAGGGGAGGTTGTTATGGTACGAACGTTCGAGCTATCTAGAGGGTCCTGGATGGTTATATATACGTTGTCCGCATCTTCAGACTTTGATAGATGGACAAGCTTTTGCCAGGGATGTCCCAGGAGGAGTTGATAAGGTGCTTTAGGAACAACGTACGCGTGAGCCCAACTCTTAATTCCATCTACTTCAATTTCCAACATCTCAACGCATCCTCCCATGTCTTGTGCTCCTCCATTTGCAGTCTCCATTTGCATCCGAATTTGCTGATTTCGAGGTGCGTTTGTTTTCTTCCAAACATCCTCCCTTATGACTACAATTTCGGATCCTTCGTCGAGCAATGCTAACTCGGAATGGACACCGTTTAAGAGAACTCGAAGTTCGCGAAGCGGAGTGGCGTGTTCTACTTGGGGAGGGGGGATCGTACTGGGCGACTGGAGAGTTGTAGAAAGGCTAGAAGTTGGTGCGGGGACCCGGTGCGTTCGGCAATGTTCAACTGCTTCCTTGCGCAGATCCGGACTAATGGCAAGTAAGTCTGATACGGGTATGTTGGGTACTAACGTTTCCAGGATGCTTTTGTAGATACGATGGGTGGCTTCTGGTGTAGCAGCCTTCGACTCGTATTTAAATGCGGGTCCCTTGGAGACTTCGTTTCGGCCAGCTTCGACGTTGGGGATTGCAGGAGACGTGGGGGCTACGTTTTTGGGTGGTACGTCTTCTGCGATCTGCGTATTCTTGGCTTTCGACCGGGTGATGGCCAACACTTGTCCTTCTTCAACTTCTTCTTCAACAGCTACTATCACGGCGTGATTCTCGGAGATGGGAGTACATTGCAGAAAGTAGGATTCAGATATGAACGCGGAGGAAGGGATGTCTGATGGTTTGGAGGTTTGAGGTGAGACTTCTCGTTTGGTAACGTCAACGGGGATTGCATTTGATCCAGTGGCTGGAGTGGGGATAGCGTATCTTGTGTCGATGGCCTGTTTGAATGTCTCGTTCCCGAATCGTCGTATGCGTGACTGATCCGGGAATGCAAAGTACTGTCCGTCGCGAATGATCCGTCCTGCGCGTAAGTATTCTCCAGCAACTGAGCACGTTCGCATGACATGCGAACCTCCGCAAAAGAAGCAAGTGGGGCTTGACTGATGATTGGATGCGGTTGGAAGAGGCGGGAGAGGAAGATATGGTAATGATGTCTGGGCCACAGGTTGAGTTGACAAGTTGACATGCTTTTGGCGGTGCCCATGCTTGTGCTGCTGCTGGGGCTAAACAAACCAGACGTGTATAATATCCTGAGTACGCCGCTTCTCCAATATCCAGTCCGTGCATTTTGCGTGCAAGATCCTCTACCTCATCTATGGTGGACTTGACTGGGGCGGGTGGAGGGGCTGAGAAGACCACTCGTTTGGTCTGAACTTCCTTTCGTACGTCTTTTCTCTCCTCTTCTTTCGTCTGAATCCCATGGCGGAGGAACTTTTGGTTTGACAGAGCGTGCTTCACGTATCGTGCGTATCCTGGTCGCGATCGGCTCATTGAGGTTAGTGTCGAATGCGTCATCTGAAAACACAAAACGACCAGCTTTTAGTACGTCCTCAAAGTCTGTAGCCTCGTTCCTCAAATAGTTTACATCCTTCAACTCCAATCTTCTGTCAATGGCACATCGTGCTGCCGTTGGCAACCCTTGCCAAAAGTACCGATCTCATTCGCGCGTTGATATTTTGTTATTGGCGACGAGCCAATGGGCGATTGGCCGAAACTGTCTATAATACTGGAGAAGTTCCGTTTCTGTCGAGATATCGTTGTCGACGTTGTTGATCATGATGCGCTCTAGGTCCCGGATGGTATAGCGTTGTCCTTTCGCGGCGCCGGAGTACTGTGCTAGGATACTGTCTTTGAAAACAGTGAAATCCTTACTCTCGTATCCGGTGAGCGTTACCCAGAAGTGTTTAGTTTGTAAGTCAACATATCGAACAATCATCTTACACTTCTCAGCACTGTTGAGAGCACAGGCCGATGCGAGATCCTCGAAGAATTCGAGGAGTTCGCAAGTCTCCCCGTTGAAGGATGGTGCTTTACTTGGATTAGCTCCCGGCATCGCATTGATGCCTTTAGATGCGTTGGACATGGTGAAAGAAGGTTGAGAAGGCACGGAGGGGGTCGTATTTGAGGAGGGGAGTGCTATGGAGGTGTTCGAAGCAGCAGAAACAATTGGGGGTTGAAGTGCTGCCGGTGTTGGGGCTAAGCTTAATGAGGGTGTTCTAGCGATGAAGTCGGGTTTTGAAATGGGGAAGAGTGTGGTGACGGGTTTTGTTGATTTAGTAACTTCGGGTTCAGTTTCGTGTTGACGGAAGAGAGGGAGTATCTGGGTCGAATATGGCGGGTCTAAGGATAAAGTTCTGTTGATTGGGTATAACGGGGAAGGGTGATTCTGCGCATGGGAGACAACTTATAGTATCGTCTGATAAGGAAGATTCGGTTGAGTCTTCCAAGGCGTCGTGGATAAGGCCGAAAGGTCGATCTAACTTTGAGCGAACGGAAGTGACGACAGGAATTTTAGGTGCTTCTTGAATAAAGGGAGTTTTAGGGTATTGGCGCGGTTTCGACGCTTTTTAGGTGGTATGGCTTCGTTTGGAGGAGCCAGCGCAGATGGCCCTTCTTGCTGCTCGAGTCGTATCTGCACATTTGGATGGTAGTATTTGGTAATGATGAAGGAATATGGTCAATGACCGGATGGAAGAAGAAAGATCTGCGGATCAGAAAACGGATCAGTGGATCAATTCGAGGTACGAGGGTTTGTTCTAAGCAATTCCCCTCGCGGTGGGCTCCAATGTGTAAGGCTGGATTAGTTCGGTGGGGAACTGTGAACGAGACGGATAGATATGTAGATGTGTCAGCGTAAAACATGAAACAAATTTGAACAAGGCTAGAGGGAGGAGATTTTTCTGAGAGGTTTTCAAACGTTCTTGGAGCGGGGAATTCACTGTCTGATTCGCTGTAAGTATGAATCTACGTACGCTGATTATATATGATTTCGAGTTCTTGACTAGACCGGAACGAGAGTAAGTAGCATATGGTGCTTTGAGAGATATCGGTGAAGAAACGGGAATCGTGAAATCAGAGCACAAGGTATGATGACGAAAGAGTAAGAGAAACGAAAAGGAATGTATCCTTGTAGTTCAGGATGCGAAGAGTTGCACTCTTCACATCAATGAATCACATGGACTAGCTCGAACGTATGATCCGTTCGAGCGTCTCAGTTTTAAGCATGGTCGGCACGTAGGGAATAGATAATCCTTACACTTTTCACCAGTTACCAGTATGAGTCAGAGTCCTCAGTAGTTTTTATGATATTTCCTCTCCTCTGAGCCTTGAGCCTGGTCCAGAAACCCTTTAGGGTCGAATAGCAGCTAGGTTCTGCAAGACCCAACATATTGTTCAGACTCACCATCTGAATTGTTGTACCTTCAATGCATCACAATATTCTGTCGATTGGAAGGCTACCGTGAAGTGTACGCCGCCGAAGATATTCTTCATATTTGCCGTCCTGACAAATGACATGAACAGGTTGAAGTGGATGAAAAGTAACGATGATCCAGGAGGGTTAGCTGCAAGGAAAGAGTGTTCAGCTTGCAATTGCCAATGAGCGAATGCCTAGGTTTGTTGTTGGACTCCTTGTCGTCTCTTCCTGCACGTATGTCGTCCAGAGTCGACTGCGGGACAGGGTAGGAAGGGCCGATGGCTGCGACGCGAGGTGGGCAGGGTACGATGTTGGTGTATAGCGTATCTGGAGGGTTCCACCATGGATTGTTTTGTACTTGGGACAGGAGCATCGTCGCGACTTTATGCTTTAAGGGATTTGGTGGGACGGGAGGGGGGACGGGGTGCGTGAGGATATGATGATATGCTTGGAGGAGCGCTTGTGCTGTTTGGGGGGTTGGAAGGTGAGGTGGCTGTTTTCTGGAGAGGGCACTAGCTGGTGGGCGCGAGGGGAGGTGCCACTCTGGGGTAGTAGCTAGGACCGATTCTGAGTAGTTGACCTGTGTCACGTAGTCGGAAACGGTGTTGGAGGTTATGTGCTGTGGGATAAGTGAGGGTGGCTTTTCGAGCTTCACAGTGTGAGGGGTTGGCGTTGGCGATACGCTTCGCGGGCGTGACGTGTCATCTGGGAGTGGAGGGAGGAAATCTGGGGTAGTTGAGCGATCGAATAAGTCATCATAGTCGTCAAAGTCGTCTAACAAAGGTTGCGGGTCGATAAAAGGTATCACATCGTCTTCGTGGCCCTCCTGTAGATAACCTGTAATAACAACTGTGTTTAATGAAACGAAGAACAGGAGAATTTGTGAGAGATACCTCTGAATTCTAAGAGATCGTCGAGCCTCCTGGCACTGCTGCTCGCATACCTCCCCAGGTCCTTCCCTTCAGAAACACAATACTCGTCTAATTCTTCCAGGTTCACACCTAAATCTTCTAACGAGCTCAACACATCCCATACTGATATTCGTGAGCGTCCTGAAAGTTCGGCATAATTGCCACAGACAGAAGATAGTAGAACGAGATAGCAAGAAACGAGGCTGGCAAGAACGATGGATGCCTGTGACGATGACCTCGAGAAATTGTGAGCGTGTAGAATCTTTAGTATGACTGAGTCGAGGATGGTCGCTGCTGCTGCTTGAGATGCCATGTCTATGTGTGATCAAGAGGGGGGTTGTAACTTGACGCGGTCGTGACGCGGCTGTGACGAGCCTTAACGCGCCAATGCAAGCGTTCCTATATCAGTTCTACATTCGACTCTCATATCAAGTTGTATAGGTTCACAACCATTTCCTTGTTATTTTATTCACATGTATAACTGGTACATCAGCCAACGACTATCTTGTTTTCCTCCCTCTCTGGACCCTCCGAGTCTGTGGAACACATCGGTGTCTAATGGGCGCACATTCTTCAGAGAAGAGTAGGTGCACAAACTCCATGGTTTCCTGCATTTTGGCAGTACTGCACTCTGGATGAGATATCAATATTGGGCCTCGTAGGAATGGGAGGATTGTTAACCAGAAAGGACAGAGAATCGTTGTCCTGTAAACTCTCAGGGCCATGTCAAACAGGTGCGTAAAAGTGGGCGTAGCTATTTTGACGCGGTCCTGCCGCGCCTGCCGCGGTCGTGACGCGCATGTGACGCGGCACTGACGAGCCTTGACGCGGCACTAACGATCCTTGACGCGGCCACTGACGCGCCATTCCTATATTCTATATTCAACTTCCAGATCAAGTTGGATGAGTTCACGACCATTCTTTTGTTATTTTATTTGCCTCAGAGCCATGTACAACTAGGTATACATAAGCCAATGACTATTTTCTTTTCCTCCCTCTCTGGACCCTTCGAGCCTGTGGAGCACATCGACGTTTAACGGGCGGACATTCTTCGGCCGGCAGAGAAGGAACTGCAGCTTCAGATAGCTTGTCTGCAGACTCCAAAGATGTAGCATCAGAGTTATCACTGAATAATATGGTGCTATATCTGCACATTTATTATTTGCGCATCCCGCTTCACGATGTATACGCGCGCGCGCGTTCCCGCGCTTGCGCGCCCTATAGCGCCAGCCATCCAGATGCATCCATCCACTGTCCACCAAGCTCCCTAGTGCGTATATTTCCATTTCCTTTATTAGCATAGTTCCACCTTTATTTTTATCATAGTTTCTCACTCATATATATTTTTACATACCTACTCGGTAGCGCTTCGGCTCCGCATGAGCGCGCTTAGGCGCGCTATATAAGTGCCAGCAGTACATACTATTATTTACCTTACTTTTCACCCAACTTTACCTAGTACTTACTACTTAGAAAGTCGCAGTAGAAATCTATTCATTAGCACAACACATCTCACATCCTTTATCTTGCTTATATCTTCACATAAGTTTAGTCTCTCTTATTTCCGCTTACACGCGCGCGCGTTCCCGCGCCTTTGTACCTTGCGCGCTCCTGCGCTTTCTCGCGCTTCGCTGAAGCGCACACTTCTAGATCCTTGCTGCACTCACTTCCCCTATATGGCTTGCGCGCTGCACGTTTTCGTCAATCCAGAGTGGGCGTGTTTTAATCAAGAGGTTCCACATTCCCGCACTGCACGTTTTCGCCAATCCAGAGCTGGCGCGTTTGCTTGTTCAAGTCTCTACTAACCGAGTCATTCAAGTTGTGCAGAGCTAACTTAGCGGCTCATGCAGTATTATAGTTTTTTTTCTTCAAATACATACTGTTTTGATGGACCCACAAAATGAGTGAGACAACGCGTCCTTCATACTTAGTCGTCAATGTTTGTATTCAAAGAGTGTGAAGTAAATCATGTACGTGACTCCTGCAAGACATCATTAGGTGAGGCATCGCGAGGATGCAAGGTATAAGTACAGAATGAGATGAGGATGAGGATGAGATAGTGGTATGTACTAGGGCTGGTCACTGTAACCATATATGGCTACGGCCGTACAATTGTACGGTAGCCATACGGGTACTGCCTGTATTGTCCCGTATGCCATACGGTGTACTCGATATTGTTGACGGTACGGTGCGGGTAACTATACGGTCATACGGTCAGTCAATATGGTCATACGGGAGACGAAAAACATCAAATTACTAGTACAGTAGCTAGTATGTAGTACAAACGAGTATCAGCTGGTACTAGTATCATTCAATCAATCACCATGATGGCATTACGAGCCAGGCGCAGCCGCTGTTTGACCAACATTAGTGTTCTAATCGTGTTGGGTTGGAGACTAGCACGTCGAAGGGAAATAGTATCGCGACTGCCTGAAAAAATGCGCTCAACAGCGATGGCAGAGCCTACAGTATGCAAATTTAGCATACCTATACTAGACAATGGTTTTGAGCAGGTTAAACTCACCAGGAATAGTGAGAATATCGTGAGCCTACCAAATTAGCATGCCTGTCATCAACAAATACTAGACCCAGTCACTTGTCAAACATTGTTTGGGAAACGGTAACTGACCCTCCTCACATGAGCTGGAGGTTAGCGGGCTTCATGGAATAGCGAGAATCCCAGGGATTGATCTGCTCCAGTGCAAAAGGGTCGTCAATGTGTGATCGACTGCGCCACAAGACATCCACCTCATTGACTGACACGAATTCAGGTGGGGATGATAATGCACTCTTCGACTTTAGGAATTGAATGGCAGTACCAGCTGGCACTCCGAGTGGACTGCTACGGAACGACGCCATTTCTGGCAACAACAGCACAGGTTAAATTTTAAACAAGTAGCATGAATGGAAAACTCGCTGAGGCTATTGGACTGAGCAAGTTGAGTCAACAGAAATGGCTGAGAGCCTGTCGATGGCCCAGATTCCGTAAAAAAACAAGGGAATGGCAGCTTGAACATCATTAGCTGATTCTGTTGAGTATGTAGTAAAGGATTGAATAATAATAAAAAACATAACAGAAGGAAAAACTCTACCCTGTTTATTTTTCTATCGCCTATGATGTTGGCCAGCATCCAAACCCCACTGCTGGTTGCCTGCAGGTCCTGCTTCTTCGGAATCCTCGAACATCCTTGCTTCTAGTGCGGTCAGACACTTGAGGTCAACATCAGCCACGAAGCTATTGGTAGGATAGCTTATCATGAGATCAGCCCAAGCCATCTTCAACAGCATGCTATTGTTCCATTCTTTGTTTCGAGCTTCGACGCGTTTTTCAAAATCACTGGCCTTTCGATGAGCAACCACAAGAGTCGAAGCATGCGCCAAAGGCATGCCACCAAGCCATTTTTTGACTTGACCGGAAGCACCAGGCGGATGACGCACCTGAACGGTCATAGCAGGGTATGAGGTCCCCAAAACTCAGCAGCGGACCCGGCCGATCTGGATCATTTTGATTCTCAGTCTCGTTGGGATAGAAAAAGTTGAATATATGTTTGATTAATTGCTAAAAGATGGTTATAACAAGTTTACTCCGTATTTTAAAGAACTCACAAAGGCCATGATACAATTCACAAAAGTGCGATAATAAGGGTTGTTTCTCGAGCCCAGAGGAGACAATGAAAGAATGCTTAGTAAAATAAATTTATTACTGCCTATGGACAATTACAGTGTACGATGTCTAATTCTGTCAGGATGAAAAGGAACACTGTTAGAATATCAATTATTATGACAGATATAAAGTAAAATATACTCAAGTTATACGGACAGTGTGACAGTTGAGGTGGTGAGGTTTGACGCGGCATGTGGAGGTGGTGAGGTCTGACGCAGCATGAATGAAGTTTGACGCGGCAGTGACGAGGTTTGACGCGGCACTAACGCGGCATGGAGGAGGTTTGACGCGGCACTGACGCGCATGTGACGCGGCAACTGACGCGGTATGTGCTATGGTTGACGCGGCACTGTAGTAGGCCTTGACGCGGCATAGAGTGTGGATGTTGATATTAGTACAGAGACTGCGAAGATATTTGGGAGAACTTGTCATGGTGTGAGTAGTGCTTGACGCAGCCTAAACGAGGCTTCTGACATGCCATGGTTGGGGCTCGACGTGTTGGTGCAGGGTATAGAGAGTGGATCAAACTTGGCAGGGTGAGGTCAAAGCTTGACGCAGTGAGACAACATTTGACACTGCATCTGAAAACCAACATAGATGAACGAATTAGAGGTAATGCAACAATATAGGACTGATGCGTAGTGTGCCGTGGATAACCTTCTTGGGGGTTATCCACTGTGGATATCCAACCCTGGAGAAATTGGGGGTGAGTTATCCACCGGTGAGTAGGGTGGATATCCACCGGCGGCAAAACCGGCCCGGCGGATCCGGGCGCTGCAAAAATTTTCAATTCATGGCGTGTTTCGCAAAATTTGCGCTCGTTCATCAATACTAAAGAAATATATTATATAGCAGATCTATTCCATGTCCCAGTCTGCCTCCATCAAGACCCTCTCTTGCACAAAGGGTAAATCTAATTCACATCTTTTCCTGCCACGAGAATGGCACCTTGTGCAGCTTCGAGGATGTCGTGCACCCACTTCTCAAGGATGATGTCACCTGAACATTTTTCAATCCATGTTTCCAAAACATCTACGACGGCCTCTATTTCGGGTCCTCGCTCCGTGAGTTTCAGGCCATCAACACGACTGCCAAACCTAACTTCTAATTCTCAATTGACAGCACCAGCCTCGCCAATGTCTGCAGCCCATTCGGCATCCGTGCTGAAGTCGGAGAATTTGTACCTGGATTCTGCTGCTAGTGGAACAGGGATGTGCGTTGGCAGCGCTTCGAGACATAGTCGCAGCTCGACTAATTGATCTTGGAGTTGTTGCTTCATGTAAGTTTAGTGGATCGTGGATCTCAAAGGCTGGGGGGATGAATATCTCAAAGATCACAATAATCCATTCATTTTTCGTGTTGATGTTCAACCAAACAAACATTGCTTGACGTCGCATGAAGTTACGCCAAAACGAGTAAGCTTGTAGACTTGCAATGTTCAACAATTAAGCTTTTTAAGTGTATTTAATGTTATTTATTGTGACCCTGTGCACGCACACTGTTTCTTGAGTTATTCACATAATCCACCCTATTGATTTTGGCTTCGAGTTATCCACCTAGTTACTCACGTGGATAACTAGGTGGATATCCACGTGGGTGGATAACTCAATAGTTATCCACGGTACACTACTGACGCGCAAGATGCATACTAGTTGTCACAACCCAATAACGAATTAATGCTGGGCAGAGACTAGGACTCAAACAAAGAATAATCACGCAGAGGAAGTAGGCAGCAGGTACGTCTTGGTATTGCTCACTTGGAGATACAAGAGGTTTGAACTAAAGAACTACTGACTACGACGAGCTACCTATATACACATATTGAAACTGAGATCGAAACTGAGTATGAACTAACTAACCAATCAGAATAATTAAAGGTATCGTACGATTCTATATATAACTATGATGTCATAACATGTGCCGCAGCCGCAGTAAGACTCTGGAACATTCCAAGAGTGTCGCGAGGCATGACGTCAATATCTTCGGCGTTGTCCGATAGATCACGTGACTCTGGTAATTCTACAATGGATGCAATAATAGGAACTTCTTCAACAGTAAATACATTCTTAGGAACAGGCGCTGTGACTGGGCGCTTAAAGGACTTAGAATTTAGGAATGAATAATGATTTGTATTTGGAACTCGTGACATTACCCCCTCTCTAGGATGAGCGTCATCGCGAATGAAACTAGGACGAATAAACTTCTTGCACCATTCCAAAAACTCTTGGGTTTCAAACACCGATTTGTTAATTTTGCAGGGATTTAATGCCTTCGGATTTTGCCGGTGAAATTCTTGAACTTTCAACCGTGCATTCTCAAGGTTTTCCTCAGGTTCCCATGTCGCTTCTTCTATCGGATATCCTTCCCACTCTACTAGGTATTGGAGTTTTGATCTGTGCAGTCTCGAGTCTAGGACTTTTCGTACTGTCCATTTGGAATCGCCTTCTGATAAGATCTCTGGCAGTGGACGATGATGTGGAGGTCTTTGGACTAAGGTCGAGGGGGAATGCGGAGTGAGTAATTCTACGTGGAATACCGGATGAATCTGATATTTTGCTGGAAGGTTCAGGCGGTAATTTACATCACCCGTCTTCTCTAGCACTTCAAACGGACCAAGTCGTCGATCGGAGAGTTTCTTATTTGGTCTTTTCTGACGGATATTTTTGGCATTGAGCCAGACCAGATCTCCTTTCTTGAATTGTGGTGCGTCTTTTACTCCTTTATCGTAGAATCTCTTCATCCGCTCATTCGCCATTCGCAGCATACTTTCTGCATCTTCCTTTGCCTCTTTCATTACATCCACTCATTCATCAGCTGCAGGTACTTTAGAATTGGAAATTGGTGAAAAAGTAAACTCTGGATCGTATCTGTAGAGTACTTTGAATGGACTATGACCCGTTACAGTGACAGAGTTATTGTGAGCGAATTCTGCTATCGGAAGCCAGTCTACCCAATCATTTTGGCGGTAAGACGTGAACATTCTCAGATATTGCTCTACTTCTTGATTGATTCTCTCTGTTTGTCCGTCTGTCTGAGGATGATAAGCCGTTGACATGTTCCATTTTATGCCTAGGCGTTTTGACACTTGTCCCATAAACTTGGAGACAAATTGTGTTCCTCTGTCCGATATCACCTGTTTCGGAGTTCCATGGTGTTTCCATACATTATCTAAGAAAAGTTTCGCGATTCCTCGAGCGTCAACTTCCTTTTTCGTAGGCATGATGTGTGTTTGTTTTGTGTATCGATCAACGACAACAAAAATAGAATCGAACCCTTCGCTTTTAGGCAAATCTACTATCAAATCACAAGTGATTGATTGCCAAGGTCCCGCTGGTATTTCATTTGGTTTAAGCGGACCATGTGGTTGCGTTGGGTGAATCTTTGTTGCTCTGCATCTATCACAGCCATCTACGTAATCGTGGACATACTTCGTCATTGAAGGCCACCAATAATTTCTGGAAATCAATTCTAAGGTTTTGGCACGTCCAGGGTGTCCAGCCGGTGGAGTCGTGAAACAACTCCAATATCTCTCGGCGGATCTCTTTATCATTTGGAACGTAAACCAGTCCTCAGAATAACACCAATCCATCCTCTACATTCCACTCTTCGACTCCTCTTCGCAATTGTACCGGTGCTGCTTTTAATGTTTGTAGCACTTTAGCGACTTCGGGCTCTCGTTCTGTGCATTGCCTTATCTTTCTCAGCAATTGTTTTTCTCCTTGCACTAGAACTTGACCTCTTTTAGCAGCTTTTACAGTAAAAAACTCCGGTTTTAACAAAATACGATCAGAATTGTCGTTTTCTACCCCCCCTCTGTGGTCTTCTCTCCGAGAAAGCTTATCGGCCTTATCGTTGACTACACCAGGCTTATGTTGGAGCGTAAATTCATACTCCGCCAGGAACAGACTCCATCTGGCTTGCCTTCTTGTCAACTTTTGGCTCGTCATAAAGTACTTGAGATTTTTATGATCCGTCCAGATCTCCACATGATGAGGTTTTCCCTGCACATAGTGCCTCCACTCCTCCAACGCTCGAATGATTGCGAGTAACTCTTTGTCATGGATGTCATAATTTCTTTCTGCATCGTTCATTGACTTAGAGTAATACGCCACAGGGTGCCATAGGTCATCTTCCATTAGTTGAGATAGAACCGCTCCAGTTGCGTAATCAGAAGCATCGGTTTCTATTTTCATCTTTTTCTCAACATCAGGCATTACTAGGATCGGAGCTGATGTAAACCTTGACTTCAGTTCATCAAAAGCATCTTGCTGTTTCTCCGTCCAATCCCATTTGACATCCTTCCGTAGTAAATCATTCATTGGTCTAGCGATGTCTGAGAACCCGAAGATAAATCTTCTGTAGAAGTTGGCGAAGCCCATAAATGCTTGGATATCTTTAACGCATTTGGGTACAGGCCATTTCATTACTCCTTCTACTTTCACAGGGTCCATTCGAACACCACCCTTCTCCACTATCAACCCGAGGAACTCGACTTCTGTCTGTTCGAAGCTACACTTTTCAGGCTTCAGATACAGATCATTCTCTTTTAGTCGTTTCAGTACCTCTCGTACAACTTTTCGGTGTTGCTCCCTATTGCCATTCGTGAACACGAGGATATCATCGATATAGACAACTACGGTCTTTCCATCAATTAAATCTCTGAATATCTCGTTCATCATGGTTTGAAAAGTGGCAGGGGAGTTTGTTAAACCGAAGTACATTACGGTTGGTTCATGGTGACCAAACGGCGTTTTGAAGGCCGCCTTCCATTCGTCTCCTTCTTTCATGCGAATATTATTGTACCCCCATCTTACATCCATCTTGGAGTACATCGTGGCACCAGTTAAAGCATCAATTAAATCTTGAGATCTCGGTAGCGGATATGCATTTTTAACCGTCTTCTCATTGAGCTTTCTATAATCCATCACTGGTCTCAACTTGCCATCTTTCTTGGCCACAAAGAAGAAAGGTGCTGCTACTGGGGATTGTGAATTTCTAATACGTCCCAGTGCAGTTTCGGCTTTTAACCAATCTTTCAAAGTGTCCATCTCCTTGGGTGATAAGGGATAGGGTTTCGCATTCGGCGGAAGATCGCCATCATCTTTAAGATCTATCGCATGATCCCATTTCTTTCTTTCAGGGAAGCACTTAGATTCTTCTTCTGAGAAAACTCCCAGGTACTCGTGAAGCCAATCGGGAACCATCTCTTCGACCGATTTCTTCACCTTCGTTGCTTCTTCTGCAACCTTCTGCTCCGTGGCAACCGAGGCTTTATACTTGATCCATTCTCCAGGATACTCTTCGTCTTCTATTTCCTCAACTGTCGCCCTCTTCATCGCCATGTCTTCTTCGTCATCCTCTTCTGTGGGAATCAGATCTGGCACTTCTTCTATCTTTTTTTGTTCTTTTCTTTTTTCTTTATTTTTTTGTCTTTGTTCTTTTTTAGTAATACATTTAACCGGGCAACGAGAAAGTGCAAAACGTCCAGCGTTCCAATCTATTTCCGGGTTGTGATATCTTAGCCAATCTATGCCAATAATAATGTCATCGCTTCCTAAGTCCGTAACCATGAAGGCTGCTTGATCCTCAACATGATCACCGATTTTTAGACCTAATTCAGCGTAATGCGTCATCGATCCAGCGGCATTTAACGAGCCATCAATATTTTTAACCGGAATGGGCCTTAATAATTTATGGCACCGGACTTCGTTCTTTTTCACAAAATTTTCGCTAATAAATAATGTCGATGCACCGCAATCTACCAGTGCTTTCACTTCTGCTTGTTGATTCTTTCCCTTCAATGTGATCGGAATGTAAAAATGTTCAGATTTGGATTTAATATATACTTCTGATACATCCGAGAACGTAGATAGGATAGAGAAACGATTGTTCGGGTCTAAGTTCGCAGACTTTGACTTCGACCCCTCTAAAAACCCTTGCCTTCTTTGGAGCTGACCCAAGCTTTGAACCAACTTGGGATAGGGTCTTCTTCTTTTGGCACTGTAGTAGCCTTCACCTGCACCTTTGGTGTGACTGCGTCTTTGCAGTTTCTAGCCATATGGCCTTCGCCTCCACAGCGGTAGCATTTGAAGGATCCAGTCCTTCCTTGAGGTTTTGGAGCACCTCGCTGCTTGTTGGCAGTGGACGTCCATAGCGTCGCTTTCCCTACTAGGGCCAGGTCTGTATTCTGGGGTTCTGGGGCCTTGTTTAGGGGTCCACCAGGTTGTCTTCTTCTTGTCCGCATCTAGCTCTTCGAAGTTGCGTCCGATTTGGATGTTC